TTCCACTCAATGTATCTTCTTATGTAACCTAGAGTCGGACATACAGAAAACACATCACTGTCCGTATTGTTGTAGGCATTGCCTAGCAACAGCTGTTTACTCGTCGTTGCTAAGCAATGAAGCTTGTGTTGTCACACCTGCTTGAATGTGGGCAGTTCCCACATTGTGAACCTTTTAACATTTTACTTAAAAGATTATTATACACATTTTGACATGACAAAATATGAAAGTTAGTCGTTAACAGAGGAATCTCTTATATATTTTGCTGATTCTTAGTTAGCAAGATAACTCTGACTTGTATTCAGGAAGTGCTTGGTTCGAATCTCAGCCAAGACAATAACCTGACAAAGGTTTTTCATGTTTTTTCTCAGTTTCTCAAGGTATGTCAAGACAGTGCCTTAAATTAGGCCACAACTGCTTTCCTCTATATCCTCTCCAATTCATTAACAACTATCATCTGGTCATTTGACACTATACAGTCTGAGTTACTAACAGCATCATTCAATAAACTACAAACTACAATTACAGTGCTTTTGATTCTTGTGTTGCATAGCTGAAGACATTATTTATTACTGTGTATCTGTATATTACAAAACTTACACCATGGAGCTCACTTTTTGAGAAGCTGTCACTAAAGCAGTCAAGAGATTTCTTGCCTTTTATAGAAAAAAAGGTTCAATTTCATGTATATATGAGCCTGCCACTGTTCTCTATCTTGAGTCCAGGGTACACCAATTCATTGTGAGTTAAGTGGATGAAGTACGTTCAGAAAGACAATATATGTTTAAAGCGTTCTACGTGACTGTATATATTTAGTAAAACCTGGACACCAAGCAGCGACTAAATTTCACACAAAAGTACAAAAAACTTCCAAGGAGATTCAATATTACATCTACAAGGAATCTTCACCTACTTACAACCAAATAAAGTTTTGGAACAAGCACTTAAAATCAGGGAGAAAGTCAAGAGCTGACACACAGATCTGAGCACTCAACTCACACTACTGATAAGGGCATTTGTGACAAAGTGAAAGGCTGTCACATCAAAGTCTCAGTTTCAAGTCATGAACTAGGAACAGTTTCTTTCATGAAAGACTACTTGTATGTAATTTCACTTTCATTTGGCACCTAGAATTAATGTAACTCAACACTGATTTGAATGCTGCAGTCTGCTTTTACCGGTTCTCACGGTCTCTTCGCTTGCGGATTTCTTATATTTTTCCTTCTACCACCGTGAGAGCCTCAAATCTTACAAAATTCTGGAGGTTTATGAACACTATGTGATGCTTGTGTAGAGCACTAACTGGCATAGCTCAGTTGGTTTGCTGCTGGCTTCTCACTGCAGCAGCCCAGGTTTGATCACAGGTCAGGTCATCTGAGATTTATGGTGGACAATACGGCACTGGGGCAGGTTTTCTCCGAGTACTTCAGTTTCCTGTGCCAAGTCTCATTCTGCCAAATGCTCCATATTCATTGAATCATTCTATCACTGACACTCACTGACACTATAAAGACTTGATACCGACACTGACATTAAACAACATACTGAAAAAATGGCAACAAAACAAAGGTTTACCACTGAGATTCATAAATGAAACAGGGACAACATACAAGTGCAAAAGATACTCAAAATGAAACAAATTCTAGATCTAGAAATGCGATGAAATGACTGTCATTCAGAGGAAACTTACTGAACTACCTCCATACCTTACCCAATACTAACAAATTGCTCTATAAATATTTCTTTAATTCTGTCAGACTTCTCACCACAAATCCAGTGTCAAGACACTGGAACAAACTGCCAGCTGCTGGAAAGACAAGTTTTCCTGACTCTTGGTGGAGTTCATATGAAGTGATTCCCCATGTTGCTAACCTCCTACGCTCCGAAAGTAGCTGCTCTTCACGTGAGAAGGTGCTGTCAGGAATACAAATGAACAAATCTGATTAACAGCAAAAAAATTATGGTAAAGCGTCAGAACATTAATTTTCCATTACATGTTTCATTGCATATGGCAAGGTAGTAAAGAATTACAAATAAATAATTATACAATTTAGTGAACCATTTATGTAGATAATTTCTATTAGTATGGATTCAAAATACATTAAATTTTTCCAACACAAGCTTGAAGTTTCACATCACTCCATTTGCAGTTATTAATGTATAATAGAATGTTCATACAGAACTCGGTGGCACACTTATGATCTACACCTCTGCAAAATGTTGCATGCCCAACTGCAATGAATCATTAGTTACTGCTATCAAACCAAAGGCTAGAGGATGATTCAGCAAAACTACTGTCATTGTTTCACATGTTACAAAAAATCAACAGATATTATATATTTTCACAAAATGTCAGGAATCAGTTCTGGTGCCCTAGAACTGACAGCAGAATGGGTCCTACCAAACAACTTCACAGGGATACCACAATGGTATTATTAATAAGAAGAAATATGGAAAAGTGATGTGGCCTCTTGCAACATGACGTTGTTAACAAGTTTCATGAAGATCCTTGTATATGTTTAACAGTTAATTGGCAGTGATGGTGACAGGCGGATATACAGAATGGCCAGAAACAAATGACAGTTTTTGAAATGAAATAACTTTACAAAGCAAAGTGGAAAAATTTATTAACACAGGCAGATACATTTCCATTTCCATCGAGCATTTCTTTTAAGTATTAATGTTTGAATACAACACGTTCAAGGTGATTTTCTTGTTGTTAAACACATTCCTGCAGTTGAGACAGCATGGGTGCCATAACATGTTCTAGGATTTCACTAGGCACTATGTGAATGCACTCCCAAATTTGCTGTCTCAAGTCAACAAAATCGGCAGGACGTGTCTCCTGCATCTTGCTTTTGATGTAGCCCCAAATAAAGTTATATGATGTTAAAAGCTCAATTGAAAGGGCATGCCAGTTGATGTCCCCGAAACAAGAAATGTGTGTGCCTGGAGACACCTCCAAGAATTACCACAGAAATTTGTGCTGAGTGAGAGGTTGCTCCATCTTGTTGAAACCACAGTGAATTAAACTGATGGCGATTTAACTCATTTCACAGGAATGTTTCCAGCATCGACTGTTACAGTTTGTCCCTGCTTTCCCTCAGAGAAATATGGACCAATAATGCCACCAGAAGAAACTGTACACCACACTGTCACTTTTGACTTACATAGAGGGTGTTGGTTAAGTTCATGCAGGTTGTCTGAAGCCCAAAACCGACAATTCTGTTTATTCATAGAACCTGACATGTGGAAGTGGACCTCATCTGACATCAGTAACAAGTTCACAATGTTGCGATTGTTCAGGCCTAAGGATTGATTGCGAAACTGAAGTTGGTTCACTGTGTCCTCCTGTTCACTGTAAATCTTTGTGCAGAATTCACCCAATGCTACTGTTTTTCAAACCTAGTGTGACGGCTTGCTGACGAGCTGACCTACAGGGACTTTGCAATGTGGCTTCTCTTACTTTCTCCGCATCATCAGGTCTACACATTGAATGTGGACATCCTTGAGGTTTACTGTCTTTCACTAATCCTTTCTGATACCATTTTGATACCCATGATGGCAGAGTATTGCAGCCAAGCGCTTCCTATGCTCGAAACTGAAGTCAGAAACCAAGCTGTGTAGCTGTAATAGACTCTGCTCTGATACACAGTCCCACAGCCACAATGAGGTGTTGAACAGACCACTGCTCCATCTCAAGTAAACACTAAAGAGCAATCTACACAATGGGTGTTAGTAAGAAAGAACTGTGAAGAAGGAAAGTTGGGAATTACATCTAAAAAAACCATCAGGTATTTCTGTTGCAGCCTGTACAGACACATACAAGACGATGACAACATAAATCAATCATATTTATTTTTTCCATACTGTTGTTGACATACTGTAGGCAAGAATAACACAAAATCCTATCCTTTTTCAGAGAATGTTTGTAATTTTTCTTCCAGATCTGATCTACTTCTACTAGTAAGGAAGCACTGTAGGATTTATCATCAAACCTCCACCATCTGCCAAAGCATCACAGTAAAAATGACAGGCCACCAAATATGTCCATCCTGAAAGGATGCATTATTTTTTGCTTGTTTAAAAAGATACTATATTGACTGCACAAACTATGTAATGTCTAACAGGAATCCTGTGAGAGATATACTGGAAATAGTATGTCTATTTGGAATAAAGAAAATCGCAGAAAACAAAATTAGAATATAAAGTTTTTCATGGGATCTCCCAAATACAAAGCAGGAATCAGTTTGAAATGCTGGTCTCTTGTCAAATGACACACAGATCCATAAAATACAAGATACTGTTATTTGATTAAATAGTCTGTACACTACACATACCTGCTCACACTTGAGAGACTCTGGAAGTTTGCTTCTATAACAGGTACCCACTGTAAGCGATGTGATCCTGTGTGATGGGCACCATTCATTACATCTGCATAAAGTAATGTCATTTCCCACCCATTTGCTGGTGTGCTTAAAAAATAAATGCGTGTCCTTCCATCAGGTAATGTCCGGAATGACACAGAACCTGGCACCATTGTTGATAAACCAGATAACTGCCGACGTAAATCACAAACCACATTCCTCAGTTCAGACCATGACAGCTTTTCACCATTATTACTGCTTCGAGGCTCCTCATGGCCTTCCATCTTCCACGACTCCAGCCTCAATAATAGAACATAATTCTTTAATTCAGTAAATCTTATAAAGCAAATGTACCACATATATGTTCATAACTTTAAAGTTACTGCTCACAACACCACCCAGACTATAATTCTTAGATATATTACCTGCCAAGACTTTTAGAAGTCCTTTCACCACAACTTTCTTTTGGAACAGGGCCGCATAGCAGGTCTATAACATTACAAGCACAACTGCTCCATAATAATAATAATAATAATAATAATAATAATAATAACCATTTCTTACAATAATTAGTTTATTCTTAAGTTTATTTACTGGGTCCAATAACCCAATTGTAAATGAGATAGTGTCAATATAATTCAATACATAAATAATGCACACTTAGTTATTTCACGTACCAATTTATAAATTACTTATCACTACTGTAATCATTATGCTTAATAATTTTCCATATACGTATCATTTCTAATGAAATATGTATGCAAAATTTGACAAATATAGCAGCAGCTGATGCCAAACCATACTTTCCACAACAACGAACTACAGGGCAAACATAACGCAAAATAATTCTAACAATCTTGTCATCCAATTCTGATCATATAAATAAAAGCGGATACATTTTTAATTTTCACCTGATATTTTGCGAAATAAAATGACTTGGGATCACAGATTGCCCCAACTTTTCATTTATTTATTTATTTTTTTACCTCACGTCCATGTTCATTGCCCTCTATCAGTAGACGTTGAAAACAGGCGCATAAGACGATCAAACAGCGTTTCCACCGCCTTCAAAGCATTATATATGTAATTTGCTTGCAAAGAAGACCTTGAATTTCGGATATTTAGTCTACCATGTATTAACAGCAAAATGTTTTGTTTCAATTGTTCAGGACGGGCGACTTTCTACGGCATAGCAAGCTTAAAGATTATTTGGATAATACGAGGTTTATCGGAAAGTTCCCGTACTAGGTAAGAAAATAAATGCTGGCTTAAGTTACTCAATTTTGGCTGCCATCTCCTTCAAAATAGTCTCCTTGGGAACATATACAGCGATCCCATCGGTTTCTCGACGCTTCAAAAGCACCGTGGAGGTCATTTCTTTAATGCTGTCGAGTACCGCTTGCGATTCATTCATTCATTCATTCATTCTTTTATTAATCCTGTAGATCATGATACAATGATATAGGACAAGCCTTTCAGCTAATATACATGATTAAATTACAATAATCTTAATACTAAAAAATTGTATAAGATATACAAAATTTTATACGTTATATACTATATACGTCTGCTTATACCAGTAGCCAATATTCGAGAATTCATCGTTCAAATAGTCCTCCGTTAAGTAATAGCACCTCTGAATAAGTAACTTCTTCAATTCCCTTGTGAACTGATTTTTGTTTTCTATTTCTTTTATGTTGTTAGGCAATTTGTTGTAAAAGATACAGCCAGCTACTGAAGGATTACTATTATAAAGTTCTAAGTTGTGCCCATATATATGATAGTGTTTATTATTTCTTGTCCTTTTTCTTTTGGATGTCAGACACTGTTTCAAAACGTCGTTCTTTCAATTTCATTTTCAATTTGGGAACAAAGCGAAATCACAGGGGGCTGAGTCCGGTGAGTAGGGAGGATGGGGAAGGATAACCATGTTGCTGTTAGTTACAAACTCTGTGGTTTTTTGGTACGTGTGGGCGGGCGCGTTGTCAACGTTGGAGGAGCCAGTTGTGGTTGCGACAAGTGCCGGTCTTTTTCGTCTCACATTTTCTTTCAAGCGTTTCAAAACGTCACAGTAAGTCAGAGTTGACCTAGTGTTAAGAGGAACAAATTCACGGTGTACAACCCCCTTCACGTCGAAAAAAAAAAACGATGAGCATGCTCTTTGTTGAACTCCGGATCTTTCGCTCCTTTTTTTGCTCTTGATGATCCTAGACATAAAAGTTAGGCCCTCTATATGTATAATATAAACTCCGTCGTAATGTAACACTTTATTGTAGTTCTTGTCCCCTTCTTTCATACTAGAAGTTTCGGCCGCAACCGGCCATCATCAGGCATATTTCACTTCACGTAGCTGTCACACTGCACTCAATATTAACATTTAAACTCCAGATTTCCAATCGTTCATTGCTCTGTCTTCAATCGGCACCCGATATTCCAGAACTTCCCTTGTCGATTTTGCCAATATGTTCAAATCTTTATTAATATTCAGGCATCGATTGATTTAAAATTTTAAATTCTCAATTTAGCTTTAATATTTAAAATTTAAATTTAGATTTAAAATCAAAATCAGAGAGATACCTTTTCTACGCTTATATGTGCTACAGCGGCTACCTCTTGCTTTCAGCACAACTCGCCTGTTATTTTGTGCAGGTTCTATGTGTGCGTGCCACTGCTTTTCTTTAATACGTTTGCTCAACCTCGGCGTACCATTTCGTCCAGATCGGCTCTGGGGCTCGCACAGCTTCCTATGAAATGTGAATCCGGGGGTAAAACGGCTGGACGTGAAGCTGACCATTCACTTCCAACTACAGCCGAGGTCAAGAAAGCTTGGGTCTATACATTCACTCCCTCATGCGTCTACATGGCGTAGTGCTTAATTGATTAAGCACAGGGACAAATTTACTTTGCATTACTTTTGCTTTACCTTACAGTCCGAGGAGCCGGAGTAGCGTAGTCGGTATAGCGAGTGGCTATGGGTTTGACGACAGAGGGGATGGAGTTCGAGTACCTATAGAGTCAAGAATTTTCACTTCTCCAAATCTTCCAGACCGGCTCTGGGTTCAACCCAAGCTCCTATCGAAGGTGTACCGAGGGCTCTTTCCCCGGGGGTAAAGCGGCCGGGACGTGAAGCTGACCGCTCACCTGCACCTAGTGCCGAGGTCAAGAAAATAAGGATCTATACATCCACTCCCCAATATGCCTTCATTGCGTAGTGCTTAAATTCGTTGAACACAGGGACAACTTTACCTTTCTTACCTTACAGTCCAGCTGTCTTAAGCCGCTTAGTCAAACTGAATTTTCAGTACCAGTCCTAGGGATGTCGGAAGACCCAGGAAAAGGCTGAGAGATAAAAAATGCCATGAGGTTTAGAGGAACCGGTCTTAAGTAACACTTGTTTATGTTCGCGAAAAAGAAAAAGTCCAAATAGGAGTGGTTTCGTTATGTGGCGAAATACTTATAGGTACTTCCTCGTGTAAGGTCAGTTAGGAGAAGAAATAAACTAACAATCCTATTGGGGTTGCGAGAGATATTTAAAGATATTTAATAACGATAACATGAATCAACATGGTTTCATAGACAAACTGGCATATGCAGCAGACATTGTATCTTACATGAGAAGACAGAAGAAACGTCACAACAACGAACGAGGGAGTAATATTGTGCTGATACGTGTATGAAACGACGGATGATTTTATAACTTGCGAAGGCGTGCCGCACCATAGCTCAAGCGGTTAGTTGCTGGCTTCCCACCGCGGCGGCCCGGGTTCGATCCCGGGGTCTGGTAAAGTGGGATTTGTGGTGGACAAAGTGGCGCTGGGGCAGGTTTTCTCCGAGTACTTCGGTTTCCCCTGTCAATCTTCATTCCACTAACTGCTCCACAATCACCCTCACCTATCATCTGGGGCTGGTACAATAGGCCAGAAGTGGCCGCAGTACAAGGGACTTAATCCCACCCCACTAGCAAAAAGAACTTGGCAAGGCAGCTTGTGGATAGCTATCCACATCTTCATGTTAGTCTACTATTTTTGACCTTTTTTATATCAATGGCTCTCTCCGAAAATTACGGGTGATTGAGCTTCGTATTCGCGAGGTTTCGAATTCTGATCTCTGCCTTCAAATAGGTTGTCTTGACTCAGGTTTCTAGTGGTCTTCTCCAGTCCCTCAAGACGTCCAATATAGTACCCCAAATTAAGGTATGGCGGCTTTCTTGCAGAATTTCTCTCATTCGTTGTTCACCAATCATTCTACAGCGTATTCAATGATCGAGGAAAGCTGGCAGCAGCGTGGATCGGACACAGCATTTCTCACAGGTTGCTGCTGTAACTGCCGAAAGGGGAATATAATCGGAGTTACTGGTCTCAACATCTAATGAACTATAGACAAATAAAATAATACAACAACGAAACGATTACATTCCTATGAACCTTCAAGCTAATTTTGTCAATGGATTTGCAATGACAAATAATTTTGATACAGAAACTAATAAAGGTAAAGCTATCCCTCTAACAGACCTTGGAGGCCCATAAAGTTGTGGGACATCTAGGCTCCCACATTTTTTAGATAATTGACTCATATTTGGCGGTGAGATTGCCAACCATACGCACCTACCGTCCTTCCCCCACACAGGAAGATTCCTGGTACTCATTTCTGTTAGAGACTGAGTCGACCCCAAGGCCGTAGTGCGGCTGGAAGGATTAGGTCGATTGGAAAATCCACTGACATCATCGGGAATTGAACCAGCGATCTTCCGGCTTTTAGCACAGTGCCTCAAGGATTCCTCTTCATCACAATATTGGTACGCCATCAGGAAGGTACAAATATGTTGCATAAGCAGTAGCGGACAGCTGACAGAGGGTGATACATCATTCTGTGACTGGATTGCTCGGAAACAAATAATATGTTACGAAATATTCATAGGGACAAATGACAGGCAGTGCAGTAGTGCAGAGAGTGGGAGTCGATGGCGATCGGCCCCTCTGCTCATATGACAACTTTGACGCTGCCTTACCTGGTATTGCCGCTGCTGAAGCTGCCAGGTCGTAGCTGGTTTCGGCTTGATCCGGCTCCACCGCTTCTTCCTTCAGTTGAGATTATTAGTGCTTGGATTTACAGATTTGATCCGAGAATATGGGCGCCAGGAAACAGCTAGAGACTGTTTACGATTCATAGTAAGTGGGGAAGGAATGAGCATGTGAAAACTGACGGTGGGTTTGACTAGCTAGTGGAGATGAGTCTCTCTTCAGGTCGGATATGGGCCAGGCTCGGACAAGTGAAGGTGACGCACCTCTAATCAACACAATTCACTGTACCACCACAACACTTTATTGGTGTTCTTCTTAGGGACACTCGGCTGCGTAACTTCTCACAAACTGCTTTAGTTTCAGCTTACAGCAGCTGGTGTTACACAAAAATGCACTCGATCAGCTCGCCAAATTAGTTGGTGCCGCGCTCTTGTTGATTAAGCTAAATCTCAATATGAGTCGTTATGAGAGCAAATTTTTGTACTTCTTAGAATTATCGTTTAGCGCGAGTGATGCGGGGTTGGCCTCCGCCAAGTTCAAAAGTTGATAGACGACTAAAAATATTAGACTGAACTCTCTGCCGAACCAGAGTTCCTAACTGAGTTGTATCTGCCTATTTTCCTCTCCCCCTAATTTCCCTAGGCTGATTCAAATAAGGGGAGTTGGCTTAATTTTGGTTCCGGTCGATGACAGACTATTTTTAAGGGAATTTCTTCCTAAAAGACAAAACGGCGAAATTGACAGCGATGCAACTTATGAGGGGTGCTGCCCTATGTGGAGGTAAAGGCCTTGCGATGGGCTGATCCCCCTTCCAAGGAGTCATACCGATTGTGTAAAAGATCAGGAAACTGAGAAAGCGGGTAAGGTCCAACAAAGGGCTGTAGAACCATAGATAGACAGATAGACAGATAGATAGATAGACAAATAGATAGATAGATAGATAGATAGATAGATAGAGAGATAGATAGATAGATAGATAGATAGATAGATAGAGAGATAGATAGATAGATAGATAGATAGATAGATAGAGAGATAGATAGATAGATAGATAGATAGATAGATAGAGAGATAGATAGATAGATAGATAGATAGATAGATAGAGAGATAGATAGATAGATAGATAGATAGATAGATAGATAGACACTTCACGCGTCAAGATTTCCTGAGTACAGAGATATGCTAAGTAAGTCTTGCCATGTTTTTGTTAGTCATGCCTTTGTTAAGAATTCAGGCTCTGTAGTTTTTTTAAATTCGCTTAGTGGGGGGTGGAGTCCAACTGGGTCCACTCGGCACGGCGGTCACTCATTGGCCTATTGTAGCCTGCTCCGGGTGATTATGATGATGGAGAATTTGGTGGAAAGAAGACTGGCAGGGGAAACCGAAGTACTTGGAGAAAACCCGCCCTAGCGTCACTTTGTCCACCACAAATCTCACTTGACCATACCCGGGATCGAACCCGGGCCGCTATATTTTTATATTTTTATAATTGTTTTGAAAGAATTTGCTGCCTCCAACTTCACATTTTAAGAGTACCATGAAGATACGGCTTGAATATGGAAGTAGCAGGTTTCTCCCAAAGTTCTGTAACGATAAATCAGACTACAAGGCGTCATATCCCAGATGTCTGTGTGCATAATCTACAGTACATTCACCGCCATAACATCTTTACTTGTCACGTTTGGCTGATTTGACTTTGTACAATTTTTTTTTATTGTTAGTGGGGTGGGACTAAGTCCCTTGTACTGCGGCCACTTCTGGCCTATTGTACCAGCCCCAGATGATAGGTGAGGGTGATTGTGGAGCAATTGTTGGAATGAAGATTGGCAGGGGAAACCGAAGTACTCGGAGAAAACCTGCCCCAGCGCCACTTTGTCCACCACAAATCCCACTTTACCAGACCCGGGTTCGACCCCAGGCCGCCGCGGTGGGAAGCCAGCGACTAAGCGCTTGAGCTATGGCGCGGCCCTTGTACAATGTTAGGTGCGCGGATGTGCCATTCTCGGCTGCAAAGTTGAAGGCTGCTGTAATATTTCCTGACCGAAACGAACTGGAATCTGGTCCTAGGCGAATGAGAAAGCGGTGTGTACTTGTTCTCTTCTTCTATAAATCCGATTTTTACTTGAGAGTTTCCTCGTTTCTGTAGTTGGAGGAAATGGGATTCAGTAGCGCGGAAAATGATGCTACATCTTTGACGTCATCACGGACTTGCATGACGTCCGAGACAGGTTCTGTATATATTGTAGTTAGCATGACGACCAGCAGGTCAGTTCGTAAGGTGGTTTCATACGTGTGACACTTGGCAGAAGATTCGAAAGGAAATGTCGTCTTTTATCGCGTTCTTATTTCTAGCTACTTATATTTCTGCTCAACAATTTGAGGGTAAGTTATAAGCGAACGTTGGCTGTGTTGATTTCCTGACAGGTTATTAACCAATGTTATTTTACTTGTACGTTTAGTTCTCGCTATGACTTACACTAAGTGAACGCATGATGGAGAAGGTGTTTCTGCTCTTATATTTATGAAAGTTCACAAATAATTTCCATAAAATGTTTGTTTAGAATCTACATCCAACGATATAGGAAGAATTTAATTTGATTCATAACCATAATAAACAATCAATAATTTATACGAAGTCCAAATTGAAATTTACGAATTTTCTCTAAAGACATAAGTTAGGACATTTTGGATTAGCATGACAATTATGCTGAATTTGTTCTCCTTGTCGACATATTTTCAGTCAGAATTTAAGTTTATATGTTACTTAACGATGCTGTCAGTAGCTAGACTATGAAACGTCGAATGGTAGATGAATGATGAATTGTAAAGGATTTGGAAGGAAACTCTCGGGGCCTAATTTACGTATANATTATGACACTAAAATTTTCTTTCATTTAGTGTAACACTTCAAACGAAATTAAATTGAGAATGTAGGTAATGAGGTTAGTTGATTTGCATTTCATTTAATGACTCCAGTTGAACTATTTTTTTTTTCCTTGGCACTACAGCCTCAATGGGCCTAGGCCTACCTCCATGAACTCCGTTCACTTCGGTTTTTCTATATCTTACACATACGGTAGGACTCCTTGGGCGAGTGATCAGCTCGTCGCAAGGCCTCTACCTGTAGACAAACACAGAAAAACGCACACAAACATCCATGCCCTGAGTGGGATTCGAACCCACGATCCCGGCTTCCGAGCGAGCGAAGACAGTACATGCCTTAGGCCGCTCGGCTACCGTAACCGTCAGTGTATAAGAATAATATATAAGAACTCAGTTCGTACCTCACAGGAAACAGATTCGAACCCACGATCCCGGCTTCCGAGAGAGCGAAGACAGTGCATGCCTTAGACCGCTCGGCTACCGTGACCGGCATGTAAACCATTATAGTCATATCAGACTGTTCGGTAGGAATGTTTCAATTAATAATTACTGCACGTAATTACTGTGAAATAAAAGTAAGGTCATAAGCAAAGCGATATTATGATCGAGTGCTTTACGTCAAGGAGATGTAATAGCAGTCTTTGTTCAACCGGCAGTCTCAATGTCATGACTGCTGAGTTACACAACGTTTACCGGGCGCTCGGCTTTCATGTCCTGTTCTTTTTTATATCAGGATCCTTGTCTTGCACAGGTTTACACAACACTACACGTATGTGGCTTAGGAATTACAACCAAAAATCTCATAGTTCCTCGAAAGGGCCAACGATGAAAATTTATATTATTGATGTTCATTATACAGACGCGTTTCTTCGCTGTGTGGATGAGACGTTTCGGAGGTATACGTTACCTCTATCTTTCGAAGATAATGACACATCTATCTTCATGATAGACCTTGAAGAGAGAGGCAGAGTTTACTTAGAAAATTCCGTCAACATTGCGCAAGCGCAAGCGGCGTAAAGAACCAAGAATGGAATTAATATCGATAATGAATGACCGCCAAAGCCTTAAATCAGTTATCTGTACAATTTCCGTCCATATTTACGAATTCTCTTTGTTTGCGCCACGTGCTTTGTTAAGACATGGATTATGACACTAAAATTTTCTTTCATTTAGTGTAACACTTCAAACGAAATTAAATTGAGAATGTAGGTAATGAGGTTAGTTGATTTGCATTTCATTTAATGACTCCAGTTGAACTATTTTTTTTTTCCTTGGCACTACAGCCCCAGTGGGCCTAGGCCTACCTCCATGAACTTCTCCGTTCAGTTCGGTTTTTCTAGATCTTACACATACGGTAGGACTCCTTGAGCGAGTGATCAGCTCGTCGCAGGGCCTCTACCTGTACACAAACACAGAAAAACGCACACAAACATCCATGGCCTGAGTAGGATTCAAACCCACGATCCCGGCTTCCAAGCGCGCGAAGACAGTGCATGCCTTAGACCGCTCGGCTACCGTGACCGGCCCAGTTGAACTATAGTTATATTTAATTTCAAACGTTATAATACGGTAGAGGTGAACCCCAACTTATGAATGTAATATTCTTTTAAATGTGTTTGTAACTTGGATGTCCGTAAGTTGAATTTATTTTTTTTTTCATAAGATATATCGTTGTGGACACTCGGTAGTGTAGCTGGTTGAAGTACTATGCTGCAAGCCGGAAGGTCGCGGGTTCGAGTCCCGATGAGGTAGTTTTTTTTTTATTTACCTAATCCTTCCAGTCGCACTATGGCCCTGGGGTTGTCTCAGCCTCTAACAGAAATGAGCAACAGGAANTGCGGCGGGGGGCTGTGTGACCAGTGAAAAGAAAATAGGAACGAGAGTCTTTCTGGGGGGGGGGGGGGGTAAAGGGCGACCGGTGCGTAAGGCTGACAAACTTACCGCCATCTGTGAGCCGATTGTGTAGAGAAAATGTGGAAGGCTCGACGTCTCACAACCCTATGGGCCTTCACGGCCTGTTACAGGGATAGTTTTTAAAATTTATCATTAAATTTATTAATGCTAATTTGTTGAAATGCTCGTAAGAACAGGGTTCTGGGTTCTTTAAATGAATTATTAGTCTGTTCAACATACTTAAATACGAATTATTCGTTTCTTGAAAGTTCGTAAGTAGAGGCTCACCTGTAGTTGTGTAAGATGGAATGAGAAGAATTTGTTTACTTAACTACGCTATTCAAACTGCACGATTTATTTGTTTGTTTACGGTTTATTGTAAATTCCATGGAGACCTGAGGTTCTCAAGGCCGTTCGGTCGTGAATATTCAGACTACGGACTTCTGAGTTGTGTTCTGAGATGTGATGCCATACGATTTGGTCAGTATATTCCTAAGGTTCGGAGGAACATCCTGCATCCATGTTCAGAGTTGGGGGAGAATTCTTTTCCACACAGAAGATGGGGGCCACATGTTCCTTTTCTAACCTCTCTACTTAAATACACTGGGTCATGCTCCAAAAGACTGTAATCCAAGAAGTGCATTAGAAAATACGTAACTGACTCCATGGAGATGAGCTCTTCTTGAGAAGCCGCTAGTCCTTAACTACTGAAGAATTTTCCAAAATTTTATGGATCTCAAAGGTTCACTTCCGTGTTTACGAGAGCCCTCCGCTGGTCCCTACCTGAGCCACATGAGTCCAGCCCATACTACCCCATCATATATCTCTAAGATCTATTTTAATGTTATCCACACACCTACATCTTGGTCTTCAGAGTGGTCTCTTTCCTTCTGGCTCTCCCAAAAATATCCTATATGTATTCCTATTCGCCCCCATTCGTGCTACATGCCCTGCCCATCTCATCCTCCTTGATTTGATCATTCTAATTATACTTGGAGAAGAGTACAAGTTATGAAGCTCCTCATTATGCAGTTTTCTCCAACCTCCCGTCACTTCATCTTTCTTCGGTCCAAATATTCCTCTGAGCATCTTGTTTCCAAACACATTCAGTCTATGTTCCTCTCTTAATGTCAGAGACCAAGTTTAACACACATACAAAACAGCAGGAAAAATAAAAAATATTTAATTTATATGAATGTGAGCTCTAATTTTTAATGAAAGCCAATAAAAATTAAAGTTGCAGTAGGAAATTTATCCTGCACTGTGTGTGTAATAGTAGTGAGATAGATTCGTTACTAATTTTCTGCGTAAACGTCAGATCCTTCGGCAGTAACTAACGCGTCCAGACTTCAGAGTTATTCTAACGTAGTATTCATGTCTTATACGCCACAATGGACAACGGGTGTGAGGAGATTTTCATAAAGGATCGTGAACAAAATCTGAAGATATAAAAATGGCAAAAATGAAGTTCAGTGGTTGATTTTTTGGGCATTATCCATCGTCCTATTTATAGTCAAAGCGACATTTTGTAGACAGGATTTCGTCTTCGTCCTCATCTGGGTCCAATCAATGGAGATAGTCACTATCTCTGGAGATAAAGGCCAGTTCTATTGATTGCATTTAACTGAGGTTTGTTAATAGCAATAAAATCAATGATTTTAATAATATACCACAGTAACAAAATTTTAGTTCTTATTCATATAAAGTTTTTTTATTTAACTCCAATAATTATATCTATCTCTGGAGATAAAGGCCAGTTCTATCGATTGCATTTAATTTAGGTTTGTTAATGGCAATAAAATCAATGATTTTAATAATATACCACAGTAACAACATTTTAGTTCTTATTCATATAAAGTTTTTTTTATTTAACTCCAATAATTATACAATCTATCCATTAAATGTGGATAATAAGTACATTTTATGGTTAATTTACGTATAGCAAAAGGAAAGAGAGTACTTGACGTGGTGAGCATATTCCAATGAACATGCTCAATACTTATTTTAACTGCTTAGTAATCTGCAGTTAAGTGTTGTATTATTTGAATCTGGTGGGCAAATCTGATGGTTTAAATCTGTTTAGCCTCCTGATTTCCCCTTCGTCGTCGAGCAGTTTTTGTGCCAAGTCGTTCGGATGGCCCTGGAGTCTGATTTTATACTTTTTGCTGTTTTTTTTTATTTCCTCTCGTACTGTTGGTACATCTAGGTCCTTGTGTAGTACCGTGTTCGGCACATACCACGGTGCCTTAACTATTATTCATCTATATAAAGTTGTGTAGAACATACTTAAGTAGGTATATAAAAATATATATTCTGTTCGGTAAAGTCATTATATAGAAAAATATTTTTAATTTTGAATATTAAAAATAAACATTCATGCATTCACACTAACCGTCCTTTGAAAGTATCAGATGACGTTACGGTTGAAGTTATCAAGTCCACATAATGGCCACCAAATTCTGCGCATTTGAATCCGTTACATTACCATGTCTGGAACGAATTTAAACGGTTAGCATATAAAAACCAGAGAGACACGTTTCCGCCCATGAAGTTACTGCAAAAAATTGTTGAAGATGTGTGGTCTGACGTACCACAAGATGGACGTTCACTCAACCGTCGACCAATAGAAATGACAGATTCAAACCTCGATGCAAGGAAACCGAGGCCATATTCGATATAGAGTTCGATAAAGAAAATGTGGTTTAATTGAAAACGTATGCCAACTTTTATCGGCCAAAATAGAATTTTTTTTGTATAACGAAGCAATCAAATTAATTTTTATATACATCGTTAGGTATGTAAGATTTGAGATTTTAACGATGGTGACTATGAAGAATGCCGTCTTCTGGGAAGTGACGTCGTGTTGATCTTGTGTAAACCGACGTTTCGGAGGAACGTATCACCTCCATCTTCAGGGTAGAAAAATCCGAGAGCGAGTAACCAGCATGAGCAAGTGGCTGCAGACTGAGCTCGCGGTTTTTTCTACCCTGAAGATAGAGGCGATACGTTCCCCCGAAATGTCGGATCACACAAGATCTACACGGCGCCACATCCCAGAAAACCGCATTTTTCAGATCAGTCCAGTTCACACCAAGCCATTCTGTCAAAGATTCATTTTATATTGTCCACCCACCTACATCTTGGTCTTCCTAGTTGTCTCTTTCCTTTTGACTTCGCCACCAATATCCTATATGCATTTCTTTTCGCCCGCATTCGTGCTACATGTCCCGCCCATCTAATTTTCTGTAACTTGATCATTCTAATTATAAAATTCTACCAGATCACACGGCGTCATATCATAAATATCATCTGTATATTGTAAATATAAACTTTACCGCATCAGCTCGAACAAAAGTCTAGATTTTTTTGAGCACTCTTTCTTAGAAAGCGGGGTCGCCTTCATTTCAGGTCATTAAGAATAGATATATAAAGAAAATAATTATGATGAAATATAATTGCTAATTCTAATGATATTAACGAAAATATTTATAATTATATTTAAGGTATTAAATTTTTTAATTTATTGCTTCTTTAAATTATAATTTTACTTACTTCTGCTTACAACCCTCAGGACAAAATTACATATTCAATTTTATCAAAATATTTTTTTTTTTCTGATTTGTTCATTTCAAAACAGGAAATCGCCTTATATTAAGGCTTTTCGGTTATTCAGATTCGTTTAAGTCGGGCGTAATAACTTAAACATGTGTACGGAGGGACAGACATGGCCTCCCGATTATGTGCTTACGTCATGAGCATCTTGGAAAGAAAACAGATTACACGAAGCTGCAGGCAGGCGTATTGACATGCGATCTTCAGTGACCAGTGTTTCCTGCTCTGCTGTTTCGACATGCGTGCGTCCTCGTAAGATGACTCATTAAACAGATACAGCAACTCGATGTGTCATAGATTCAAATGAAACAATTTAAATTAAAGATTGCTTAGTCTGCAAGAATTTGTACGAGTGTATCTAGAAGTTTGTCAATAGCACATACGGAATCCTTTAAGACAGCAATTTTCAAATACGTGGTATATTATAAATGTTGTGGTCTAGTATTTATTTTTGTTTGACTGAAACACACAGAGTGTTATTTTATCATCGGATACTTGAAATTTTCAATAACTTCGTTGATATTTAATCAGGAAGCCTTCAACATTTTCCTGACATTGGTTCCCATTGTTATTTGTCAAACTGGTTGAACAGAACGAGTTTGGCAGGGGGTATAAAGCTAGAGCCGTTTTCAAGGGATGCTCTGTTCAGATCTCGCCCTGGACATAATATATTCTGAATGAAACTTTTTGTTATTTTTCTCATTTTGTCCAAGAAAATGTCGGGATAGTGTGTCTATCAGGACACAATTGCTTCCTTCCAAGTCCTTTACAATTCTCCAGTCATCCTGTTATACGTCACTATAAAATACAGCTACTGAGAACACCGTTAAACAACCCAGGATAGAATGAAAACAAGGAAGAAAGAAAGACCCCACAGCAAACAGCTGCCCGAATACTGCTCCAGGCGAGAAATTCTGCAGCCCTCCAATTAACTTTATCAATACTTCGTCACAGTTAATAACATGAAATTCTCAAACACTGTGAAGAAATCAGCNTTGGTTTCCTTGGACTGTGAGGCCGCCCACCTGTCTTCTCCCCCATTCGATATTCTTTATGTGTTTCTCTCTTCCATTTACTTATTTATTTATTTATCTGATAGGGTGTTTGATTCGCTTACAATCCAACCTCATCAAGCAATATTGAAAAGATACACAATGCATGTTTTATGAAGCCTTACTAACTAAGCTTCTCCGGCCGAGCAATAGCTCAAGCGGTTAGTCGCTGGCTTCCCACCGCGGCGCCTCGGGTTGCATCCCGGGCCTGTTCAAGTGGGATTTGTGGTGGACAAAGTGGCTCTGGGGAGGGTTTTCTCCGAGTACTTCGGTTTCCCCTGCCAATCTTCATTCCAATAAATTCTCCATCATCATAATCACCCGGGGCAGGTGTAATAGGCCAATCAGTGGCCGCCGTGCCGAGTGGACCCAACTGGACTCCATCCCCCACTAAGCGAATAAAAAAAACCAAGCTTCTCGTGAAAATAACAATACCTGAAGACAGAACCACCTATCGGCAGAGACAGTACCACCAGCAACCAGCATGTGAAGCATTACTGGAGCCGTATGTTACTACAATCTCAAGAATCATAATTACCATTTTTTTTCCTTGGCACTACGGCCCCAGTGGGCCTAGGCCTACCTCCATGAGCTTCTCCGTTCACTTCGGTTTTTCTAGATCTTACACCTTCCGTAGGACTCCTTGGGCGGGTGATCAGCTCGTCGCAAGGCCTCTACATGTAGACAGACACGGAAAAACGACACACACAAACTGAACATCCATGCCCTGAGTGGGATTCGAACCCACGATCCCGGTTTCCAAGCGAGCTAAGACAGTACATGCCTTAGACCGCTCGGCTACCGTGACCAGCAATTACCATTTTACTGTATAGATTTATTTATTGAAATCTCTTTGCTTTCTTCCTGAATGAGTTCTTCAGGGTCTGAATAATTTACAAGGACAAGGAAGAATGCAGCAGGAAATAGTCTGGAAGGGAAGTGTGAGTGTGCAATTTGTGAGACGTGTTTAAACTGTCGGTTGTTGAAATTAATTAAATTTGGTTTGTTTACAGGTGATACTTGCACCACTCACGATAGGTCTGAAGGTGTCTGTAAAAATATAGAAAAATGCCAGGCAGCCAAGGATGAAATTAGGAAGGGAAATCTACCTTCGATATGCGGGTTCGATGCACGAGTTCCGATAGTCTGTTGTCCCGCACCGCGGTCAACTACACTACGGCCAACTCGCCCTGCGCCAACTGCATCAGTGATACCAACCGAACAGAGCAAGAGCAAGCAGAGTGAGTAGCTCTTGGCAACAAAACATGGCACCTAGTTTGTAGTTTTCTGGGTTATGTCACCATGTAATCTACTTATAGCAAAATTCTTTTATTGGTTTGTATAAAATTATAAAATTGCATGCTGCTCGCTACATGCTTCATGCTCGTTATTAGCTTGGCTTATATTTCGACCCTGAAGGTGGAGGCGACATATTCGTCCAAAACATACGTTTTCTTTAATCGGACTACATGGCTTATAGGATTGAAGAACGGCGTCTTCTGGGATGTGACGCCGTGTAGATCTACCCTGCAGCCACCTGCTCACGTTGGTTTCTCGCTCGCGGATTTGTCTACCATGAAGATGGAGATGATACGTTCCTCCGAAACGTCGTTTCATACAGATATACACGGCGCCATATCCCAGAAGACGACATTGTTCATATTCACCGCAGTGAAAACCTCAAATTTTATATATTTAGGATTATTGAGTTTTTGGTCTTCGTCCTCCATCGTCTGGTATTCTAAGTACACAAAGTTTCGGAGACTGAGTCTGTTTCCATCCTCAGGTAAAAGGATTGGAGGCACCTGCCCTGTTGGGTCCGTTACAAAGTGCTCACCTCAATTCATATGCTAAGCTCTGTGAAAAATGTAAATCCCATATGGAATCTAACCTTTATTCCATTCATAGGGAAGGAGAAGCAATGAATAATTATACGTTTCAAACACGTTTGGTTAAGGTTCCTAGCGATATAATCGAACTAGACGGGTTCAGGGCAGTGTACCGGATTTTTCTTGGGTACCCACACGCCCTCATGACACGTCTCTTCAACGTAGACGGCACCAAATAAAAATTATAAAAGAACTGTTCTTAAAGCATTTGTTGCTTTCTTTAAAATAGAAAGATTTCATTTAATAACGCAACGTTATTTTGACATGACGCCCGAAAGCAGAAATAAAAAAAATTAAGAGTATTTGTGTTAATGGTTTTACATACAGTAGTTATATGATGACTCTTTTTTTCCTTAGGCCCTACAGCCCCAATTTTGGCTTTGTCCTACCTCCATTACTCTCCGTTTCACTTCGGTTTACTATGTCTTAGACATTCGGTAGAATTCCTTGGGCGGGTGATCAGCTCGTCGCAAGGCATCTCTACCTGTACATACACACACACACACACACCAAACATCCATGTCCTGAGTGGGATTCGAACCCACGATCCCGGCTTCCGAGCGATTGAAGACAGTGCATGCCTTAGGCCGCTCGGCTACCGTGACCGGCTTGATGACTTATTTTTTTTTCCTTGGCACTACGGCCCCAGTGGGCCTAGGGCTACCTCAATGAAATTCTCCGTTCACTTCGGTTTTTCTAGATCTTAGACACACGGTAGGACTCCTTGGGCGGGTGATCAGCTCGTCGCAAGGCATCTCTACCTGTACATACACACACACACACACCAAACATCCATGTCCTGAGTGGGATTCGAACCCACGATCCCGGCTTCCGCGCGAGTGAAGACAGTACATGCCTTAGACCGCTCGGCTACCGTGACCGGCTTGATGACTTTATAGTATAGGTAAAATTGTCCCTGTGTTTAATTAGAAGATGTACAGGGTGGGGTGGGGGTGGAATTATGGGTCCACCATTTTTGACCACGGCACTGAATGAAAGTAAACAGTCAGCTTTATGCTCCATGTAATGACCTGAAGTAGAAGTTTTAATCCAATTTAAGTGTGTTCGTTTCGTTAGCTCTCTGCCGTTCAATTCTGAATTTAAGAATGTAAGGCTGTCATTATGCAACAAGCAGAACAGTCTCACGTCACGGTCCATGCCAATATGGCGTGCCAAAACGCCGTGGCATTTTTATTTTTAGGAATACATTCTTGGGCACATTTAGTGGTCGAGATGAGCTCTCTCTAACTGGTCTGACGGAGGAGTATCTTCTCCAAAATTACAGAAGACGATGTGAATGGATTTAATTTCTGAAAATTTGTGTTCATGAACTATATCATTGGAAATGGATGAAGTTCGCCATTGCGTTCTTCTGTTGAGAATACGTGTACTTATTGCGAATTGTTTTTACAGAGTGTAAGGAGTACTCGTCTCTAGTTTATGTTAAAGAGGGCGCGACGGTCCTAATACCGGATTTTGAACCGGAAAAAGTGTCACAGTGTGTGGATGGCAAGAAACTCATTATTGGGGGTGTTGAGGCTGAACCAATGGAGTTTCCCCACGTGGTAAGTTACTGGTAAATAGGATAATGCGTAAGGAACAAGTCTAGGAACCAGGGTATGGCATAATTATGTTGGCAAAGTATGAAGAATTTCCTGTAATTTTATTTGAATTTCCCACAGACGTAGCAATAGAGGAAGTGTGTTGAAAGTAGAATCAAGTAACGTTCTAATGATGACGTAACCTTCAACGTCACTAACTGATTGACGCAACCTCTTTCTCATAATGGATAGAGTTAAACTAAAATGTATTTTGGTAGTTATACCTCCTTTAAAATTAGGTCAACATAATATTGTATTAACACATGATGGTAATTTTATGTCTGGCCATATTTCAATTGTTTCATCTTCAAATGTGCTCATGTCAGATTTGGTACTTGTTAAATAAACCAAATTTTAGAGATTATAATCAATTTAGTTCGAAGACAGAAATTTCTAACATTTCTCGAAGTATTTAGAAAATTATTGAAAATATATTTATAAATAAATTAAAGCATTAAAATATCTTAAAATACATACAGACGTAAATTGTGACTACATATGTGACATAGCTCATACGTGTGCAGCTTCCCATTGCCAATCACAGTGGCCGCTAGTTCTAAGACATGAACTGCCTTCGTCCGCTCGAACATTGGGGTCGCGGGTTCGAATCCCACTCAAGACATGGATGTCTGTGTACATTTATATTGTGTTTGTGTTCTTCTGTGTGGAGGTAGCGACCATGCGATGGGCTGATCCCCCATCCAAGGAGTTCTACCAACTGTGTATAGATTAAGAAACTGAAAAAGCTGCCAAGATCCACAAGGGCTGTATAGCCATGGATAGAGTTTCACATTGCTTACAAAATGAAGACTTCGAAGACGGTGCTTAAATCCTCCTATTCGCTGTTCCAGGCCGCGGTAGGTTATGGTGAAAGGAGCCAGATCAACTGGGCGTGTGGTGGAAGTCTCATCAGTGAGAAGTTCATCCTCACAGCTGCGCACTGCCTCTCCTCACGCGATTGGTCAGTAGTTTGCACCAAAAACCAGCTCATGAGGTCAAAAATGGTCCTTGTTTAGAAAAACAAGTTTGGAATGCACATTAATGCGAACACTGTTGGAGAGTTCACTACATTTCCTTGTTATTATCTCTAAAACCGCAAAGACTTACTGAAAATGTTTATTGAATATAAACATCGTGTCATATTTCAATAATTTTTGTCTCTTTCTGTGTTAATTATTTGATTTCAAGATGCGTGCAGAAACGCATGTAGAATTTCACATAAATTATCCGTAATTATTTTCCGATTTAATCTAAAATTGGATGATTTAATGAAACTCCAATATAAAATTTTATAAAATCCCTTCAAAGATCCTCAAATTGTTACATACAGATAGGCAGACAGAGAGAGACAGCGAAGTTAATATGAGGGTTCTTGCATAATTCCCTTGTTATCCACCCCCCCCCAAAAGTGACACATTTTAATAATATGTGTTTGTAATTTATCTCCATGCAATAGTTGACGTGCTTAGCTCCAAGGTTAATTAATTACCCTTATAAAGACCGCCTCTGTGGTCTAGTAGTCAGAGTTCCTGACTACAGATTTAGAGGTCCTGGGTTCTATTTCCGGCGCTACCAGATATTCTGAGAAGTAGTGGGTCTGGAAGGAGGTCCACTCAGCCTCGTGAGGATAATTGAGGAGCTACTTGAATGGAAAAGTAACGACTCCGGTCTAGAAAACCGAGGTTAACGGCCGTGGGGATTCGTTGGGCTGACCACGCGACACCCTCCATCCGCTAAAGTTGGCACTAACGTCGCCGACAAGTGGCGGTCGCTCAGTCTTTATAGTTCGCTTGAGGACTACAGGTCACGGAGTTTATAAAAACCCATATAATATTTTGGCCGATAAGCATGCAATTGTACATTCTGCGAAGCAATAAATATGATTTTAACAGCATTTAAATACTTTTCGAATATCTGTCACTACACAAATTTTCAGAGATCCACGTTAAGTGACGTTAATATCGATTCCACCTCGGAGTTATTATGTCGGTGTTATGGGCGGCAAGAAATACAAAGTGTAAAGGTAGAGTGGCCTCTGATGAAAGCGCATGTTTCTTGTCGGATGTCTTGGACGGCTCTGAAACACGCTGAAGTTCGGAATTTTAAGGTTAAAGAGTGCGCAACAGGTACAGTCATGCATGCGATGTCTCATTCATACATCTCTGCCGCTAGGTAATCTCATTCATGTGTTTGTACAGGGGCAGCCAGATGATCTCTTTCTCATGTTTCTACACTGGGCGCTAGATTATCTCATTTGTGTTTCTACAGACACCATGAGATGATCTCATTCAGGTGTTTCTACAAGCACCATTACATGATCTGTTGATGTGCTTCTACAGGAAGAGTTAGAGGATTTAATTCGCACGTTTCTACAGGGTCACTTTATGATCTCATTAATGTTTCTGCAGGGTCACGATATGATCTCATTAATGTTTCTGCAGTGTCATGATATGATCCCATTAGTTTTTCTTGAAGGTCACGATATGATCTCATTAATGTTTCTGCAGGGTCACGATATGATCTCATTAATATTTCTGCAGGGTCACAATATGATCTCATTAATTTTTCTTGAAGGGCACGATATGATCTCATTAATGTTTCTTGAAGGTCACGATATGATCTCATTAATATTTCTGCAGGGTCACAGTATGCTCTCATTATTGTTTCTGCAGGATCACGATATGGTCTCATTCGCTTGTTTCCACAGGAAACACTAAATGTTCTCTTTCACGTGTTTCTGAAGGGGTTTGGCGAAGTGGGTTCGTCTCGGTGATCTGAACCTTAAGACAACAAATGACAATACAAGAACTCAGGATTTTTCGGTATCCAGAATATTCCGACACCCAGAATACTCTTCTCCGGCTCATTACAACGACATTGGCCTGTTGCAACTTGACAGGGATGTCAAATTCGACGGATACGTACGCCCAGCGTGTCTTCACGTGGAGCAAGATGTCCCCACTAAGCAACCGGAGGCCATCGGTTGGGGTCTCACAGATTGGAGTGAGTAGACAGTTACTGCCTATGACTAAGGAGTGCATATATAACATGTAAAGAGGGTGAACAGATGGCGGCCTCCTATTGTCCCTCATCTGTGGAAGTTCCCAAAGTTGTGTCCCATGGTTCAACTTTGTTTCTGAAAATATGGAATCACCGACTTATGATACTGCAGCCTACGGGGTGATCTTCTAGGTAAAGATAACATGTAGTTGTTAGGCATGTACCCGGGGAATACACTGCCTCCTTCTTCGTGGTAGATAATTGTAGGTGTTTTCCAAAGTTTCGGAGAAACATGTTGCCTCCATATTCAAGGCAAACAATGTCATAACCCATAAGATCATAAGATCACAATATAGATAACTTATACACTTTATCTTGAAAAATACTTAATAAATATATACAATTTCATCCGATTCTGGCTACTTGACGATATCCTTAACACCTTTACGGAAAAATCTGTAAAATTTTGAAAACATTTATTCGTGAACTTAGATTTCTTTTTGTACAATTATTTTATTTAGGAAGAATAAAATAGTATACCACTTCATTAAATATATTGAGAGTAATTAGGAAAGTGAGTGGTGATTGTCATAAGTGGAATTTAGAATTTCACAGATCTATTGACCGACACGCCGACTACACCTGTCCACGTTTATACCAAATTGTTACACATCTTGAGCAAAGTACTGCAGTTTCATCCTCACGTGGGACTCTGGGACTCTGCATATTTTGGGACAGACAGCGCTGTGAGTCTGCTAATGACAATGAGACAACGGCAAATATTTCAGTGTATTCCTTATTTAAATTTTAGGAGTTATCTTGTATGAAGTACTTAAAATTAATGCATAGTTGGAAGGTCGCATATCTTGCCTCATATGGAATTGAACGATTTCCACAAAGACTTTAGACTTCGTCACGTAAATTTAATTTTGAGTAACATCCGTTAAATTTAATCAATATTTTAAATTTAAGAAAGTAAAAATTTTATATAAAACGGTTTATAGTATAGAAATTAGTATATAATAAATTATATAATTCTGTTTAAAATGAACACATCTTTATTTTGACTCTTCGTATAGTGAATATAAGTATAAATAGACTGAGCAAGTCAAGGAGGATGAGATTAGAAAGGCATGTAGCAAGCGTGAGGCGAAAAGAATGCATGTATGAATTTGGTGGGAAATCCAGAAGGAAAGAGACCACTAGGAAGATCTACACCCACATGGTGTGATAATATTAAAATGGGGTGGTATGGACTGGATTGATGTGGCTGAGGAAAGGGGTCAGTTGCGAACTGTCGTGAACACGGAAATGAACCTTTGGGTTCCGTAAAGTTTTGGGAAATTCGTGAGTAGTTAAGTGTCTGGTAGCTTCTCAAGAAGGGCTCAAGGCCATGGAGTTAGTATAATGAATGAATACGCAAGATTCAAGTAAAAGTGCTTTCTTGCACTATGTAGTGTGATAGTAGTAGTTGCAGCAATGAAATTGAAACTGGTATAAATGATTATCAAGGCCTATTAAGTATAACGGATTGGAAACCTACTCATGTGTTAAATATATTTACTTCAAATCTGATAATGTGAAAACTGATCGACTTTACCTAATATTCCGATTTCGTCTTTCTCTTCTAGTTGGTGCGAAAGGGAGTGATATGTTGCTGAAAGTTGGTCTTAACTTCGTCAATCCCGAGATCTGTAACGACACATTCAGCCCCATGATAGGGGGCAGGAAACTGAGAGTTGGGATCACAGATGAAAGCATGTTGTGTGTGGGGAACCTCGACGGTGGCAAAGACACCTGCAAGGTGAGCTGAATATTGTCTCGCTGGTCCCTCGACGCCTCAACGCCTCAACCACCAACACCAACGAGAATGGCAACACTAACACAGACACCAACGGCAATACCTTACGCAACACCAATACCAACACCAACACCAACACCAACGACAATGGCAACACCAATACCAACACCAACACCAATGACATCGCCAACGCCAATGGCAACACCAACACAACATAACGACAGTATCAACATCAGTCTCAGTATCACAGCCAAATTGAGAAAGATGGCCTAGTCATAAGGCTTCTATCTTACACTGGGGAGGTGTTCGGTTCGAATACCAGCAGGGACATCGATTCTCCTGACTGAGGGTCCTGGAGGTTGGTTCCCCCAGACAAATGTCAGGCTATGTCTTCATTTAGACCACGATTGCTTCCTGCCAAATCCCTTCCAATACTTCTTCTTCCTTCTGTATTAGGCCAGAAATAATATGGTACTATGGATGTTGTTGATAGTCGGTAGAACTCCTTGGACGGGCGATCAGCCCGTCGCAAGACCGCCACCTACACACAGAACAACACAAACACAGAATAAACACAAACAGACAACCATGCTATGAGTGGGATTCGGACTCACGATCCAAGTGTTTGAGCGGGCCTTAGGCCGCTTGGACACCGTGAGCGACCACTTTCCAAATCGTCCTGCTATATTCTGAGCTACTGGCATCGTTGCTAAATGAACCATAAGAGAACATGCATAACCACCAATAGCGACACCAGAAACCAACACAATCTCTGCCATGGCCACTTCTTTACTACCAGTAGCACTATTGAGATTACAATCACCACAGCTGCTCCCGCAGATACTGGTCTACAGGTAAGGCTATGAGCCTGTATTCGGAGGAACTCCCTTGGAGTCTCTTCTGGGTCATCGGCTGTCCTGATTGAGGTTTCGGTGATTCTCTTCAGTCTCTCCAGGCAAATACCGAAGTAGAAAATCGTTTAGGCTACTACGCTTCATTCCTAGTTCCTTCCAATATACTATACATCAGAATATGGCGGTTAGTATGCGAATGTATATAGAAATTCAAGGAAATATATGTTTTGCTATTAGTGTTATTACACCTATGATGCCATATTGGTTTTGTAACAGTACGTTTTATCTGTAACTCGTATATGCCTAAATAACGTACAGGGTTGTGTTCCTTAGGTACAGAATTTTTCATGTCATATTAGGATAAGTGACGTCATAATATATTTAAAGACACATAACGTTTGTACTTCGCTCCTGTAGGTTATATATTTCCAGTCTTCTCTGTCAAAAGAAAACTCCGTGGCTTTAGTCCGCAAGCGAACTATACTTCTCTTGTCGTTGAAGTTAGTGCCAACTTTAAGTCTTCTCTGTCACAGCCAGAAAATGAAGATGACTACAGCGACGCTGACTCAGATGATGATGATGATGATTGATCTTACTTTTGCAGGGTGACTCGGGAGGTCCCCTTCACGTCCGGATGGCCGAACCATACTGCATGTTCGATATAGTGGGAATCACGTCCTTTGGGAGTATTTGTGGTTCCAAGAATTCTCCGGCTATCTACACCAGAGTGTCCCGGTTCGTGCCCTGGATTGAGAGTATCGTGTGGAGTTAGTACTGTCTTTCCTTCAACACCATTGACTCATGCCTCTCAATAGTTATGTAAACATCGAACCTTCAGAGAAGGGCACTGCCCTAAACCGACCATTCGACAGGATGTCCAGGCCATTTCTGTGTATACCGCGTTATTAATTTTAATATAAACATGAAGCTTAATCCAATAATTCATATAAATTTCATTCTTTAAGTTTACAAGGATTCTATAGATTCTGTATTCGTGAGATCTGAAAATATTCTCTATTTATATCATATTAAGGGTAGCGCCATAGCTCAAACGGTTAGTCGCTGGCTTCCCACCACGGCGGCCCGGGTTCTATCCCGGGTCTGGTCAAGTGGGATTTGTGGTGGACAAAGTGGCGTTGGGGCAGGTTTTCTCAGAGTACGTCGGTTTCTCCTGCCAATCTTCATTCCACCAATTGCTCCACAATCACCCTCACCTACCATCTGGGGCTGGTACAATAGGCCTGAAGTGGCCGCAGTACAAATCCCACTAGCAATAAAAAATTATATATCATATTATCTGAAATGAAACACTTAACAATAAAATTCATTAGTTTTAATAGCTAATATATTTTACGCTATACATTAAATTTATGTAAATTTATAATTGATGTATGTACACTTTGGTATAAGGGAAACTGAAAGCTTATGCTTTCGTTATGTAATTAAATAGTATTATAATATATTATAGTGGATTAGTCAGCATCGTGAGGATAATTGAGGAGCTATTTCAAGGAAATAGCGGATCCGGTCTAGAAAACCGAAATTAACGGCCGTGGGGATCCGTTGCGCTGAACACGCGACACCCTCTATCCGCAAAAGTTGGCGTTAACTACGCCGACAAGGAAGGGTCGCTCTGTCGGTATAGTTCGCTTGCGGACTACAGGCCATGGGAGTCTTGTCATGGATTAAATTTGGGGCTGGATTTAATTGGGCAGCGAACTGGGTCGAGTTCTGCACAGAACTGAAATGTAACCCACATATTTTATTGGGACGTTTGCCTATCTAAAATCACGAAAAGTTAATATTACTTTTAAATATAAGGAATAGGGGGACACGCGGTAGCGTAGTTGGTTGAGGCACTATGCTGCAAGCCGGAAGGTCGCGGGTTCGAGTCCAGATGAGGTCATTGGATTTTTTCAATTGACCTAATCCTTCCAGCCGCACTGGGCGCTAGGGTCGACTCAGCCTCTAACAGAAATAATTACCAGGAATTAATTAAATAATTTTCCTGGGGAGTGAAGCGCGGCCAGCGCGTAAGGCTGACAATCTTACCGTCATCTTTGAGCCGATTGTCTAGATAATTTGGGACCCTCAACGTCTCACAACCCTATGGGCCTTCACGGCCTGTTACAGGGAGAGCTTTCCTTTTTACTTTTATAAGGAATAAGAAAAGAAATTTCCATATGCTAAATCTGTTGTTACTGTTATGGGCCCCTGTATTTTCATTGTCCCGGGGTCTCTACAACTGAAAATCCGGCCCTGATTACTGATATAATCAGAAAGTATGACTTGAATTCGATAGGCGCTCGGTTCGAACCTAGACTCTGTCAATGACTGTTATGATTAAAGTTTTTCCTGGTTTTTTCAATCCCTTAATGTAAATGCAGGAATAGCACCTCAAATAGGCCATTGTCGCTTCCTTCCAGATACTTTCTCATCATTTATTAATCTTTCTACTAATACATACTGTGCAGTCTGAGGCAGCGACAGACACACCTGCAGCTTGGACTGTAAAGCATTTCTAATATTAGAACAATAAACTAACTAACTAACTAACTAACTCCATGGAGCTGAGTCCTTATTGAGAAGCTAATCATTATTGAGCTATTCAAGAAATTCTGGATTATTACGGAATCTGAAGGTTCTTTATCATACTCACAAGAGCCCGCAATTTGTCTCTATTCTGAACCATATGAATCTAGTCCATATCCTCCAATTCTATTATTTTAATATTTACTTTAATATTATCCTCCTACCTACACCTAGATTTTTAAGTGATCTTTTCATTTCTGGTTTTCTTACCAAAAACTTCCATCCACAATTCTCCAATTTTTTAATGCACGCCCAACCAATCTCAAATTAGACAAGTCATAAATACTTTGAAAAATGGAGAATATAAGGCAGAGTGATGTTAAGTAGGAAATCTTCCTTTATGCAGATATCTTTATGTTTCTCAATTTTAATAATATGCTGTGACGTAATTGTTAAGAGAAGTACATTTTATGAAGTATGTGTTTACTTAGGGGTTGTGATGAAATTTAAGTTATGTATTGTACGCGTATAGTTTTCTTATTCTGGTGAAGCTCTGAAACCGTGACAATAATTTGCAGACGGCATAGGAAAGTTTTTAATTAATATTGGCAAAAGTAGTAAAAGTAAATTTAACACCAAAATCAAATTGATTTGTGTCAAAAGAGAATAATTGCTTAAATAAGTAATTCATAAAAACATGAAGAAATAAGGTATTTTTTATTTATTTGCATCGCATGATTTGTTTCTAAATTCTGAGAAATTATAAATTAAAAAATTATGTAAGTTGCATGATTAAAAATTAAATTTTAAGGATTGTGATTTTAAAAAGGAAATATTCCAATACTGATATACAAAATTAATTTAATAAAAGTAGCCTCTAATACATAATTCAGTACACAAAAATATACACTTTCATACCTTTATATATTTTTATATTTATTTGTAATAAATATATTTTGATATGATGTTAGAAGTTTATGTGTGAGATATATATATTAAGACAATTATTGATTATACTGTGATAAGTCAATGCATTGCCAGGCAACGGCTCGATAAACACCCCTCGAAACGCGCACGCAACAATAGGACGAATGTTTATAGCTCGTTGCTAGGCAACAATCAGTGCTCCAATGGACTGGTGAGATAGCTATCACATGACTTGTTTTCTGTGTGGTCTGCGCTAAGCAACAATAGAACTGTGTTTTTTGCGCGGTCCGTGTGTGTGGTTCGGGAGTTGTTTGGCAATGGATTTACATGTCACAATATTTTACTTGCAAGATCTCCCATTTTTCTTCCAAGTTTCACTCAAAAGAAGTCGTAATTTGTCATGAAGAGCTATTGCATATCATTTCGAAAGAAGCTTCTCTAAGGAAATACAAACAAGAATTCAATAATGAAGATTACTGTAGGTTATTCATGTGAAACATCGGTATCCGCCTACAGGACTTTACAAGATTTTACTATGTCACAACCCATGACACCGCAGTCTGAAGAGTAACAGCTGTGAAAATTATCTCACTAGGATTACTACACCTAAAATTAAGAAAGAAAAATAATCAGTCACCACTAATACAACCTCAAAATTGGTAAGAAAAGTTGAGATCTTATTTCTTAGCTAGTACAGATAAGCTACTATCTTTTTTACAGAAACTGCATTAAAATCCATATTTCTCTAATTTACTTGACTCTTATACACGGACTAAATAATTTGTTGGTGATATGCTTTTCACCTATAATGAACAGAATATTACGTAGGATTTTGACATTTTCACAGCGGTGGCTATGGAGAATATCGTCTTCTGGGATGTTACGCCGTATAGTACAGTAGAAGTTCACCGACGTTTCGGAGGAACTATTTCTCCCCCTATCTTCAACCCAGAACATTAAAGTTGGAGGCACTATTTTCTTTCGAAACGTCTGCTACAAGACGTCGCTTCCCAGAAGAGATTATTCTTCAACAGACTTCTCCGGCTTTAGCCATTTACAAGAAACAAAGAGAAGTTGAGCCTTAGGTCTGGCACTAAGTGCGCATGTCCTTTGTTCGACGGTCTCCTATCTTTCTGTAGTTCATGGCTGAGAAGAATGGATAAAGAAACTGCGTCGATAAAGAAATTAGAGCTTTGTGTTTTCTTGTAGTTATCCTACTTTTCGGTATTAGGTGTCAACAGGAAGTAATATCAAATGTATAAGAAAACGTTACTGAATCGTTGAAAGTAAGCGAGTAGAGAATTTAATGTTGGCAAAATCCCGTAGTGACTGGTACGAACCAAAATGTCCACTGAACCAAGCATGGCACTGGTGTCAATGTTTTATCATCCCTACTCACTCACTCAATGAGCTGAGCCTTTCTTGAGAAGCTGCCAATTGTTTAGCTACTCAAGAACTTGCCAGGATTTTATGGAACTCGAAGGTTCACTACCGTGTTCACGAGAACCCTCCACCGGTCCTGATCCTGAGCCAGATCTATCCAATCCATCCCATCCTATCTCTCTAAGATCCATTTTAATATTGTTCACGCACCTACGTCTTGGTCTGCCAAGTTGTCTCCTTCCTTCCTTCCGGCTTTCCCACCAATATACTACATGCAATCCTCCTCTCCAACATTCATGCTACATGCCCTGCATACCTCATCCTCCTTGACTTGATCATTCTAATTATACATGGCGAAGAGTATAAGCTATGAAGTTCCTCATTATGCAATTTTCGCCAACCTCCTGCCACTTCATCTCTCTTCGGTCCAAATATTCTCCTCAACACCCTGTTCTCAAACACCCTCAGTCTATGTTCCTCTCTTAATATCAGAGACCAAGTTTCACACGCATACAGAACCACAGGCAATTTTATACTTTTGTATATTATAATTTTTATGTTTTTGGACAGCAGACGAGAAGACAAAAGTTTCTGGACTGAATGGTAGCAAACATTAGCCAAATTAAATCTTCTCTTAATTTCCTCCTGAATCAGGTTTTGATTTGTTATAGTCGTTCCTAAATATCTGAACTGTGCAGCATTTTCAAAACATTCCATATACACGTTTAAATGTGAAATAAATTATCGATTTTTATTAATATATTCTTAAGTACATCATATGCTGTTACTTATAAAAATGTATTAACTAAACACGCCCTTCGTCTATTAAAACAAAACGTATTTTAAAACTTCAGCAAGTATATTGATTTCGGGTAACAGCAATAAATTCTTGAGAGAAGAAACTGGACGGAAATAGGCGATTATCACCAAAGTTATGATAACATTTCGAAGCATCAGCATCATGTTTTGAAACCTTCGTCCATTGCATTGTGAACGCAACTATACAACATGTAACGTTTGAAAAAAAAATGGATTCATTCAACACTTTCGTTACAGATTAGTGATCTATACAACTTAAACATACACGTATTTGCCTGAAGACACGATTTGATTATATGGACGCTACTTTTCATAATGAAATGCAGCAGAAGCAAAATATGAGAAATTAGTGACAAAATAAATTTGATTTAATTTTTTCAGACAAATTATGATTTGATTTTTGTTATAACTTAACCAATATTTCAGTTTGATTATCCTTACCTAGACTCTCAAAAATATAAAGACATAGCTTTAATCCCACCAGGAATATATCAAATTTGGTAGCACGATAATTCATCATTTTCATTACATTAAGGATCTTCAGGAATGTTCAAAGGTCTGACATCATCTGGATGTACTTCTGTGATCTGATCATCGAAATGAGGGTCCTGTGTCGTTGTGATAACGTCTGGTGATCTAATCTTCATTTCGGTTTTCTTGAGAGATACATCTCCAATCCAGTGCTCCCAAATAAGGCCACGGAATTCGTCTCTAGGATCCGTGGCAGAGTAGAACTCGCCGTTCAGATTTGCTTCGAAACAACTGCAACATAGGAAATGTGAAATTAAAGAAGGACGCAATTCAATGTACTGAAAATATATGTTTAATCTGAAATTCAAGGATTATGTCAAAACTTATTTCATAAGGGAAAAGGCAAAGTTGCCGATCACAGTGTCCGCGCCGTCTAAGGTATGGACTATCTTCATCTCTCGAACACGGATCCTACTCGAGGCATGGATGTCTGTTTGCTTTTATTCTGTGTTTGTTTTGTCCTGTGTGCAGGTAGCGGCCTTGCTACAGGCTTATCCTCCATCCAAGGAGTGTGTTCAGATAAAGCAATTGAAAAAGCGGCCAAGGTCCACAAGGGCTGTAGAGCCATGGATAGACAGACAGATAAAAGGCAAAGTTACCCTGTGCTTAATTAAACAAGCACCACGCCATGAAGAAATAAGGGGAAGTGAAGATATAGCTTCGCCCTTTCTTAATCTTCGTACTAGGTGAATGTGAATGGCCGGTATCACGCCCCGGCCCAGGGAACCATGCAATAACCTTCGCTAGCCACAAGCCCTCTGAGCTGGTTGACGTAGGCCACATGAGACTGAAAGGGAACACAGCACCCTATATTCTCCTCCGGTGGTGTTCATACAAATGTTGGAAGAAATAACCATGTCATAGCTTTCCACTAACGTTAAGGTCTTTGGGATGGTTGATATAGGCCAGATGGTAATGGAGAGGATGGAGACCATCAATGGGACTTCTTTTCGTGGCCCCTTGCACCTCAGATGACCAATATTACCTGTAGAACCACCAGCCACCTCCGTATGCAGGAACGCAGGGGCAACAAGATGGTGCCTTGTCATTAGTACGATCTATCGTGCTGAATGAATACCCGTTGTGTGCGGAAAGTGAATCCGTGGCATTACCTCTGTAACCCCCGATGGTCAGTCGGTATCCGTTCTCTTCGTCAGCTATTCTGGAACAAATAGAGCCAATTAGAGTTAATTAATCAAGTAGATGTCCCACGAAAATTTCATATCCAGTGATCAAATCTCTTTTCTTACAACTCATATTTCTTTTTATGTGTTATATAAAGACGTTTTTATCTCAGAATGTGTAGAATGGCATATTTTAGGTAAAACGTCTTCGCGTTTACGTCATAAATTCAGTCTCGAACCTTACGAACCAAGAACGCAATTCCGAAGATGAAAGACACAACAAAGACAAAAACAACTCCGTCCAGTGTGACTATTTAAGTTTTACCACTTGAAAACTGAGCACCCTTACATGTTTCGATCCTTACGGATCATCTTCAGAGGGAACATCAATACTTATTCAGGAACCACTATCACAATAGGTGTTCTGAGTGCTAAATTACACACACACATATTGCCTGGAATACACAATGTACACTGTGACCGCCCCACGCGTTGGGTTGGGCGGCACTTACCCTCCTCTGTAACCGCTCTCTCTGTATAGTGCCCTTTACGTTGGGTGTCACCTTCTTGTTGTCGCCGTCCCCCCTTTACCTTCCTGTTCCTTCACCTGGCTTCCACCTGCAGCGGCTGTTGCTGATGCTTCTTTGCCAAAGGAACACAGGTGAATTTTCTTACCTCAGAAGGTAGAGATGAGACTGTCTCAGGATCTTTTATACGGGCCTCGCTGAGACAGGGAGGCAGAAGCGTCTAATGATACACTTGCACTTTGCATGTGAGTATAATTTATTCTTTGTGAAGAAAGCGTAAAACAAAACACAGTTCACATACACAATTCACCAGGTGCTGGCACTTCTTTGCAAGGTGAACTTCCAAACACTAACAACTGTTCCTAGCTGGACCACCACTTTTTTTTTTGAAGAGTATTTGAAGACTACTTGATGCCTGTTTGATGAATTTTTGAAGACTGATTGAAGACTTTTTCTGAAGAGATGTGAACCTCTTCAGTTTTCGCGAAGTTCCCAAGTCACACCCTCGACTTTTGAGGATTGGTCAGATTTGAAATAAGGGAGTTGACTCTGAATCCGCTACTTCCAATCATTTTTACTCTAGAGGCAATTTTTTTTCTTTAATGACCTAACGTACCTTTTGAAAGGTAATGATGTATGCTGGCCATAGCGTCCCCTCCTGGCACGCCTTCGTGTGACTTAAGACTAGCAGAAACTGTCAAGAGTCAAATTTCCAAAGTGAGTCGCCGAGCGACTCTGGAACCAAAATTCCAAGAAATGCTGAACTAAATCACCAGGGGGCCATCTGGAGTTTTTGTGTGTGTGTGGTCCATCTGTGAAACAGGCAGCTTCGTGTGTGCAAGAGGTGAGCTATGTCACACTCTGCGTACGCACTCTGCGTAATTATTATAAAATATTGAGAATAACTCTCAATAAAATACCATTTAGGCTTGTGGGCGGTTATAACACAATATTCAACTTTTCACAAACACAGCAGCCTTCCTGGTATTAAAACTTTTAAAGTGTTTTAAAAACTTTGTTGTTTAAGTTAAAATTTATAAACCATGCAGGTTCGTGTGATTTCTCCTGTCGTCTTTCTTGGAGGGGGCTGAACTTGTGCCGCCTGTCTATCTTGAGGAGATTCTTAGCATCGTCCTTGTTTGTTCGTGGCTTGCTGTGCTGTTTTCACTGTTCTAGTGTGCTGTGCCGCGTAATTTATACTTCCTGTGTCTGTGACGTTGATGTGGGTGTGTTCTGATGTTGTATTATGAGGTTNATAATGCTCACAATCTTACTGCCATCTGTAAGCTGTTTGTCCAAAGAAAATGTGGGAGCCTTGACGTCTCACAAACCTAGGGGCCTTTATGGCCTGTTACACGGTTAGCTTTTTTTTTTTTTTTTTGCTTTTTCAATCATTTCCACGATTACTGTCTGTGTTGGGCAAATGCTGATTCGTCCTTCTTTAGTCTTATGTTTCTTATGTGTTCTTTGTATCTTGTTAGATTTCTACCAGTTTGGCCGATGTATACTTTTTGGCAACTTTGGCATGTTATTTTGTATATCCCACTTTGTTCTTAGGGGTTCATTTCTCGTTTTTCATTTTTTAGTTTACCTATTGTGTGGGTTGTCTTGAAGGCTATCTTTATGTTAGTGTTTTTGAATAGTTTTGTGATTTTTCGTATGTAATTTCCTATATAAGTGACCCATTTTTGTTCTTTTTCGTCTTTATTATCCGGGTTACCCACCTTTTACTTAAGTTTGTTATATAGATGTGTGATGTCTTCCTTTCTATATCCATTATTTAGTGCTATATTAATAAGAGTATTTAATTCTTTGTTTTTAGCATTTTCCTCAAGGGGTAGTGTAAGAAGTCTGTGTATCCAATTTTTATATGCTACCAATTTTTGTTCTTTAGGGTGTCATGATTTATTATTTATTGTTATGTCTGTCGTTGTGGGTTTTCTGTATATTTCCATTTCTATTTGTTCATGTCTATTAAATATGTTTAAGTCCAGTTAAGCTATTTGGTTGTTTATTTCCTCATGTATTGTGAATTACAGGTTTTTATGTTGTCTGTTGAAATGTTCGAGGATGCTTTGGGGGGTTATTTTTGTTTGTTTATATACTATGAAGATGTGGTCTACGTATCTGTTATAGTATGATATTTTCTTGTCTTCCAGCAGATGACTTATTCTGTTTTGTTCTATGTCTTGTAAGAAGATTTCTGCCATTGTACTTGATAGGGGGGAGCCCATGGCTACGACTGCTCTTGGTTTGTAATATTTTTCGTTATATTGAAAATAGTTTTGATTCAATATCATTTTAAGCATGGACAAAATTTCTTTTATAATGCTTTCGTCTATGTGATTATCCTTGAGTAGTTTATTGGTTACGAGAATTGTATCGCTGATTGGGATGTTAACGTAGAGGTCCTTAATATCCACTGTTAGTAGTTTATGATCTGGATTTAGTTTTAGTTTTCTTATGTTTTCTGGAAATTGTTTTGTGTTAATGATGTTGTACTCGTGTTTTAATTTTAGATAGTCGTTTAGACTTTGATGTATGTATTTAGCTAGTTTATGTGTGGGTGCATTAGTGTTGTTTATTATCGGTCTAATTGGGGCCTCCGGTTTGTGTATTTTAATTTTTGCTTTCAGTTGCTTAAATAGTCACACTGGAAGAAGTTGTTTTTACCTTTGTAATTGTTAGTGTGACGGACCAGAATGAAACAAATCAAATTCATGAAATACACAGTTAAAATCTTCCAGAAACTCCATGAATTACCTGAATATGAGTTCAGCTATTACAGCTGTAAAGTATTTGGCTAATATTTCGAGGGGTTCTGATTGGAATCCCCGACTAGGAATAAGCTTTTCCACTTAGAGTGCTTGTGGTTTTCTACGGTTCCTCCAGATATCACAAATATGGCATTGCAAATTTATTCTCTTTACTTCCAGATTCATCATAAACAATTATTCTACCACATGTAGTTCTGAGGCTTGAATAGCCTCAGCACTTGATACGACGCCGTGAAACAATAACCAGTAATCCTCGCTGACATGGATCTCTGTACGCCTGCAATATTAGGCTGTCCGACTCACTTATCTCCGAAGAAGCTGCAATGATAGGATGAGACGCCTCCACGTTAAAAATTGTACTTCTTTCCAAAATGTTTTATTGATGCAGCGACTTACCTGAAATTTGAATATTCAGCCCAAGCTGTCTTCCCGTCGAAAGATTCTAGGTCTACCCGCAGCGTCACTCGCTCCTGAAGATTAGTCAACCTGCAGGATACGACAAGAGCAGTGCATTTATCTTATTCTCTTTCTCTCATGTCGTTAGAGTTTATGTCCATAGCGTGAACTGTTACACGATACAAAGTATGAATCAAATCAACTACATCTTTCTGTTAGTAAAGGAGCGCAGGAAATTAGATACCTAGACAAACAGACAATTCTACGAATCAAGTTTTATTTGCATTTAAAAAACAATGGCTTACTTCGAAATCTTTATTAATATAAAATCTAGATAATCAGTTTGGGAAGAATATAACTAAATAAATCTCTAATTTAATATAGATGAGCCTAAATAATTAAATTTTAATTATACAATACTGACTTAAGTTACTCTAATTCAGATTCACTCTCTAGTTCAAAGCGGATCGGATGATTTAACCACTTAAAACACTGTGGTAACTATACATACCATCTGACATAATATTCAAGATCCCTGCATTTTCCCCACAGAACATATGAATATATTTCGTTAAAATTATCGTAAAAAAAAACAGTTCATATTGTAACGGAGATACAGAGTACGATATTTTGTACCATGAAGAAGGAGTTACTGCATTCCGCCGAAATGCTGGTACCCAACTTTCCAGACTACACGTTGTCATGACTGAGGAATTCACAATATGAGATGCAGTATGTTTGGAATGAGATGACAGAATTTCTAACATTATTCGCAATAAAGTCATCCTTAACCCCTTAAACTGTTATGTGCCTCGTTTTTTTTCTATTTCCTTTGGTATGAAACAAGATCAGGCCCCGCTCGTATTCCTCAGAGGACAGTTGTCTTTCGCGCACCTCCGGAAGTGAGTAACACTGCAGCTGTCACCTGTGAATGTAATCATTTCCGAACCAGAACTCCTGATCCAGAACCCCGAAACCGTTCTTGTAATCCCGCCATGGTACTGTGAAGTTGAGGCGAGGTCCCGGGAATTCCCCGCGACGCTGCAAAACCTGAAATATAAACCCAGATAGATGAGGTTTTAGTGGCCTATAATTTTCAAACATAAAACAAGAAAATAAAACTACCTATGGCATATGAAATTTGAATACAAAAAGTTTCGTTTAATAAACAGTAGAACTTTTTGAGTTATATTTTCATATCTCCTTGGAAGTTATGAAATTATGTTTTATTGTTTCAATATGAAAAAATTATAGGCCATGGAAATCCCGACAATAATTTAGAATCGTTCTGTATACTCCGTGGAGATGGGCAAGGACTTCGCAAGAACATTCTATACTAAGGCATAATCTTAGGTCGTTATGGCCAACGTTTTAGACCCTAATAGCCCCAACGCCGGATCCGGGATATCTCAGACTAAAGACAGGGCAACCCGGTTTAATTCACAGTAGGGGAACGCGTCTAGAGTAAAGTACCACTGCTGAGAAATTGGTCGGGTAGAAGACCACCATCGCAGTGTCGCTCCTACTTCCGAAATTGGGGGCCTATCCGAAATATAGTGACTTTACCCTATATTCAACATCTTTTCAAAGTTATTCCTTCAGACCACTGGTTCCTTAATTTTGGATGATGACAGCAGAATTCAGATGGTTTTTATATTGTGGCAACGGCCCGTAATAGCTACAGAAGCCCGGTGTTTTCTGTGCGGGCCGTGCGGAACAGTTAGTGAAGAGTCGGTGAGTTGGTGGGTAAGTTAGAGAACTGCTGTGGTTCAGCCATTATGAGCTGTTGTTATGAGAAACCGGTAGCTAAAACAATGGGACCTTTCGGGAACCCAGAGGAAGGGGAACGTCCGTTGTTGGAAACCGCTACCGAGCAACGGCAAGGAAGACGTGACTGAGAATACTAGTCTGTGATTTGTAAAGTGCAGTCATGAATTATGTGTTAAAGTGTTCAATAAATTTGATTACTAAACCAAACCCCGTCTATATTCACTATATCACGTGACAATATATTCAGATGTATATTGTAACGTTATTTTAGGGATTTATATTATTTGCCGTTGCTACAAAGGTTACTGCACCTAGAATGGAGGCCAAATACACGGTTGGACGGGAGTGAGTTCGAGTTACACAACTATTTCAAAATTGTATCTGTCACGTGATTATGTTATTCAACATTCGAGGATGTTATTAAATGTATCGATATATTCTCAGTCATACATATTGAGTTAACATTAATGAAAATATCTGTGTTGGTGACAACCACTAATTTAAGATTTTTTTTCTTAAATTTCCATCCAGAATTTCATATATCAAATTTTCATCATTCTTTTGTGTATTTTTTATATTTTTATCATGAGGTGAAACTGAGTCCACTTGGTACTGCGGCTAATATTGGCCTATTGTACCAGCCTCAGGTGATAGGTGAGGGTGGTTGTGAAGCAATCAGTGGAATGCGAATTGGCAGGGGAAACAGAAGTACTCGGAGAAAACCTACCCTAATGCCACTTTGTCCACAAGAAATCCCACATGATTTGACTCGGGCTCGAACCCGGGCCTTCCGAGTTATAGCATGGCCTTCGTCTTTGTATATTATCTACTGCAATTTAAACCAACTCTACTGAAGAAACACCACAAATATTTTATTTAAGCAAGGAGATCTGGGGGATTATTCTTCATCATGACATTATTACAACGTGAGAGATATTCAAAGTAGAATTACTAGTGCTCTTGGACGAGAAATCACGTTCATAGGGTCCGAAATGTTAACCAATTTGCAATATTCCTCGTCACCAGTTCACTCACCGTCCATCCTCCGCCGTCTGTCCTCATGTCGCAGTATCGGGTGTAGAAGTCGCGACCTGCTGAGTTGAGCTCGCAGTCCTGCAGACTGTACACCCCACTGTCCATGCCCGAACCTATCAGCTCCTCACAGCTGCCCGCTCTAGACGTCACGATCGGTTCTATCGCATGAACTTGCTGCAAGTCTCCTCTACATCGCGAACCCAAGTCATCGTCTCCGCTGCTCTCAGTGTCTGGGAGCTCCGGAAGAGGACTGGCTGCTACAGGGTCACTTCTGCTACAAGGTGCCTGAGAAAAACACTATTAAGTTTTAGGTATCGGCATTTCTGAAGAAAATTATCTTTTCATTCGTTGAAGAAAACTACACAATGAGGAGCTTCATAACTTGTACACTAGGAAGACTAAGATGTAGGTGAGTGAACAATATTAAAATGGATCTTAGAGAGATAGGATGAGATGGTATGGACTGGATTGATCCGGCTCAGGATAGGTACCAGTGGAGGGGTCTTGTGAACACAGTAATAAACCTTCGGGTTCCAAAAAATGCTGGGAAATTCTTGAGTAGCTGCAGATTTGGCTTCTCGTCAAGAAGGGCTCAGCTCCATAAATAAGTAAGTAAGTAAGTAAGTAAGTAAATAAGTCTCTTTCCATTCTCTGTGTCCATGAAGATTTCCACTTTCCTGTTCTATGTTCCTTTCACAACACGTAATACTACAATATTAATTAAGGCTATGAAATCTTTTTTTTTTTTTCGCTTAGTGGAAGTGAAGTCCAAATGGGTCCACTCGGCACGGCGGCCACTTTTTGGCCTATTTTACCTGCCCCGGGTGATTATGATGATGGAGAATTTGGTGGAATGAAGATTGCCAGAGAAAACTGAAGTACTCGGAGAAAAAGCCGCCCCAGCGCCACTCTGTCCACCACAAATCCTACTTTACCAAATCCGGGACCGAACCCGGGCAGCCGCGGTGGGAAGCCAGCGACTAGCCGCTTGAGCTATGGCGCGGCCTAAGGCTATGTAAACGTCAAAATTTTTAACAAAGATAAATAACTCCATGAAACTCAGCCATTCTTGAGATGCCGCCAGTCGCTCAACTACTCAGAAATTTCCCAACATTTTATGAGACCCGAGGGCTAATTACCCTGCTTACGAGACCCGTCCACTGGTTCATATTCTGAGAGATCAATCTATACTCTTTCTCAAAGGTCCACTTATCTGCCCGCCTGCTCTAAATCTTCATAGGCGTCTCTTTTCTTCTCACTATTCCCCAAAAATCCTATATGAATTCCTCTTCTGCCAATGCGTGCTACATGCCCGTCTCATGCCATCCTTCTCGACTTCATCTGTATAATTATATTTGGCGAAGAGTGTAAGTTATGAAACTCCTTATCACGTAATTTTGTCCAACTTCCTATCACTTGATCCCTCCCTGGTCCAAATATTTTCCTCAGCAGCCTGTTCTCAGGTACCTTCAGTCTAGGTTCTTCCCTTAGTGTCAGAAATCACGTTCCACACTCATACAGAACAGCAGGCAAAATTATAGTTTTTTATGTTTTAATATTCATTGATATGAGATTTGAGTTATACACCGTAGTGAAATTTAGTCTTCTGAGTTATGACTTCGTGCAATCTGGTAGGCGGTTCTCAATATTTCGGAAGAATATGCTTCCTGCATTTTCAGGGTAGAAGACACATCCAGACCTTCGATAAATTGAGATATATGTGGACGGAATAGCAAATTTTTGGGAGCTGTAAATGCAAATTATGATTATGATTATTTACTTTACTGCATTAATGTGTTTTTTCTCCAGTGCTTGCTTGTAATTTGACTTTGGCTTTATGTTGTGGTTGTCCATAATATAATTACTTGTATCTACACTGTGCTCTGTCTGTAATTGGCCTTGCGGCTGTTGACTCGCCACATAAATAATAAATAACTGAATTGAATTTTATCTGCAAATGTGTTTCTATCAGGTGGAAGTGGTACTACAATAAGACACAACACAAATAATACACTTAACATAAACTAACACAACGCTCAAACAAAACACAGCATGCAAACTTACACAAAAAATAAAGGACACACTACACAATGAATACAATGCAAACACAATTACAAATACACAGATACAATTAAAACTACAATTATCTAAATTAATATTAATAAAAATAAGCAAACTATACATTAAACAGTAACAGGAATGAAAATCCTAATGTCATGAACTGATGTACTCACATTTTGCCATGATCTTCACTTCACTTCACTTCACTTCACCTCACTTCACCTCACTTCACCTCACTTCACTGCATTATTTATGATTTTCCCCACATCTTAACTTCGCCCTATTTATAACTTTCCTAACCCTTTTCATAAAATTACCTGGTTTACAGGAGAGAATTCCTAAAGCCCCTGTATTTGTTGTATATATTGTATACAACTTAACATAAATATCCGAAGTTCCGCGATATATAAATATATGCGACACAGGCTGGTGATGGCTGGACTAGAGCCTATGTACAGACTTCCTACCCAGACATCCATAAAAACCTTCCGAAAATACTTTTTATTGCCGTCATAAGATTCCCAAATACAAGGTTTGAACTATAAAATAAACATCGCCATTCACACAACGAAGCAACAGATACTCATACTGAAATTTACACAAAATACACGGCAAAATATACTCCACTGAAGTTTACTTTTCTTTGCAGTTCATTTATTGGCGCTGCCAATAAATTTTATGAATGTTAATAATAAATTCAAAATAATGTGAAAAGAAGCTTTCATGCTCTACTAGATACATACAGTGACGGACTCAGGAAAACCACGAACTCTCTCAGTCATGGAAACCAAAGATTCGAACCGAAAACCTCCCGAATACAAGTCTAGAGTGCCACCGCTAAACTAGGCTGTTAAGTTTAAAACGTTTCAGATAAATTTTCGCATTTTAAAGAATTAAAAACAACAAATATTCTTCTAGAAAATCGTTAAATTCGCTGTGAGTGTCGCATGGAGTATAAATTACATTTAGATGTCGGATTTGAGGTTCTGACGGGCGTGACTATGAATAATACTATTGACTAGGATGTGACACCATGCAGTCTGGTTTAAATCAGTCTCGTGTGAACCAAAATTAAATTCGCCCAACAACGTACAGCTTAGAGTCTCAATACTGAATTCTATTGAAATCCATCCGGTAGCTTCTGATAATGAAATAAACAGACAAGACAGCATAGCATTTTTTTTTTTATTGCTAGTGGAGTGGGACTAAGTCCCTTGTACTGCGGCCACTTCTGGCCTATTGTACCAGCCCGATGATAGGTGAGGGTGATTGTGGAGCAATTGGTGGAATGAAGATTGGCAGGGGAAACCGAAGTACTCAGAGAAAACCCGCCCCAGCGCCACTTTGTACTAGACCAGAACCGGGATCGAAACCGGGCCGCGGCGGTGGGAAGCCAGCGACTAACGGCTTGAGCTATGGCGCGGCCCTTAGCATAGCATTCATAATACTGTTTATTTCGTACACTCTGTGCACAAAGAGGAATAGCAATGCATGCGCTGTCTCACAATTTCGGCTGTTTTTGTTTGCACACATGTTCCATCTTTAAATCGTGTATTGAAATATAGTTTTTAGTTGTCCATATGCTTAATTTGTTTAGTACCACGCCATAGAGACACATGGGAGAATGAAGTTCTACCTTTCTTGACCTCGGCACTAGATGGAGGGGAGTGGTCAGCTTCACACCCGTCCGCTTTACCCCCGGGGATAGAGCCACCGGTACACATCGGATAGGAGGTTGGGTGGACACCAGAGACGGTCTGGACTTTGCGGTGATAAATCCTGCAATACTGTGAATCGAACGACTAGCCTATAACTATACCGACTGAGCGCTTACAATTTTATAGCATAGTCACACGAATAGGGAATTGAACCGAATACAAATATTGTTTAAAACATGGCATGGTCGGGGTGTCTGAACGCTGTTTGTGTGCGGAGCTGGTGTTGTGATTATATTTGGGGCATTCAACTTTCTTCTCGAGTCCAAGTTTAACCCTGTCAACAGGACACAGCGGTGCACGTAACTGGAGCCCACAAATCTTATTGGCTTTCCCCCCAGACAGATTTATGGGATAGCCAGACATGAAAAGGTTGTTATTTTTAAAACTCCAATTGAATCATCCTTCAGGTGGAAGAACTGCATATGTCCTATCGATCTAGCAGACTAATCCGTTTCGTCTGTCGTATGTTGGTTTGGAGCTCAAGCACTGCTTCTTCATTAATCCTTATTCTCCGAAATGTTTAACTGTCTGCACGATAAGAATACGAAAGAAATAGTTTAAGGAGGAGAAGTAAATAAGTGGAAGGGAAAGGTAAACAAATACTGAGTGACCGCCCGTAGAAATGGAATGACAATATTCATAAGCCCAAAAATTTTCAAAATGTTTCTGCCTGTAATAAAAATGCATTATTCTTATGAATCCAATATATATTATTTTGGAATTAATTCTCAATTGGGCAGGCCACAGGAACTATCCATGAAAGATGATGATCATGTTTTGGCAGATTCAGGACTGTCCTATATAGAACGTCCCAGGAAGAAAGGTCAGTATTCTGGGAAGTCATAGTGGTCATAGTATCGGCGTGTGCCCTATTCCGAACGGTTTCCGAGATAGAGCTGTTTCACTGTACAGTATACAGTACACTGTACAGACGAGCAGCACGCCATGTCCTCACACGAGTTGCACCGAGATAGAGCTATTTCACTGTACAGTACACTGTACACTGCACAGACGAGCAACACGCCATGTCCTCACACGAGTTGCAAAGTGCATTGATGTTGACGGTGGAATTTTCGTTATACTAGGTAAACTGCACCAACTTTGTTACTTGTAACAACATATACCGGTATTAGAGAAAGTACGTAATATCTCTTTCTTATCAACAGTTTTGGAACTGTACAGTGAAATAACTTCATCTTGGAAACCGTTCGGAATAGGACACATGTACATATACACTTTTTCGCTTAGAAAGACAGATACTATGACCTCCCAGAATATTGTCCTTTCCTCCTGGGACACGCTGTATAGGTGGATATAGAGTCCTATTCTTCTAGTATATTGTTTTAATATTTTTGTTATTTGGGCAACGAAATCTGTTAAAATATGGAATAAGTGTATTCCAGAATATTTATTACCAGTGTTTTATCCTCTACTGGACGCAAGGCTTACGACCTTGCTCTGTAAAAAAATTATTGTCACGAAATCCAAGGAAGTGAGAACCGGATGCAATATGGCAGAAATTTCTATGCAAGGTTATGGCTCAAAAAATGGCTGTTTTGCCAATAACGATGATGATGATTATGATGATTATGATTGGGAGTGCCAAAACAGAAACATACAACAACAAGGAAAAATGATAATACAAGAGTATCGCCAAGTTGTTGTTAATGGATGCTTTCGAAACGTCTTCAGTTAGTGTTCAAAGATGATACGTAACGGCGAACAGCAGAGATGCAGCCACAATGTGATAATCTTATTCTGGAGCAATCTGTACATTCTGCAATGATGTCTGTAGGACATGAAATGAAATTCGGCTTAGCAACACTTACCACAGGCTTGACAGAAAGAGAAGACGAAGCCACAATCTTCTCCAAGAACTCTCTCTGTTGCTTGAAGTGGCTGTGGAGAGCCTCTGTTCGCTGCTCGTCCTGGAAGGCGATGTTAATGCGCGTGCCTTCTACTTTCTTGAGCAACATGTCGGCATCGCCCGCGTAGACGCGAACGCCGCGACGCGTGTCCTGGCAGCAAGAGAGCAGTTGTTCGAACATGGCCATCTGATCCTCCCACAGAGCCGCCGTGGTGTTGCTGGTTGTCCGAATTGTCTTCTCCATCGCCTCCAAAGCTCGGGCTGTCTTCTTGTGTGGGGAGGTCAGACGTTTCCATAACCTATACAGATGTAATTCATCTATGTTAGCTCTGAGGTTCCCATGACGGAGAAAATGGCTGAAATGAGAAGCCAGTTTGGTAGAGGTTGGATAAAGTTTCTGAGGAATGTGTTGCCTCCATCTTCAAGGTTGAAGAGTAATTTGAAGGAGCAAATTCCAGAAGCAACCCAACATTTCGATTATTTCTCATCTCAGCGGAATTAACCCTTCGAAGCACAATGTTTTTTTTATTGCTAGTGGGGTGGGACTAAGCCCCTTTTACTGCGGCCACTTCTGGCCTACTGTACCAGCCCCAGATGATAGGTGAGAGTGACTGTGGAGCAATTGGTGGAATGAAGATTGACAGAGGAAACCGAAGTACTCGGAGAAAACGTGCCCCAGCGTCACTTTGTCCACCACAAATTCCACTTGACCAGACCAGGGATCGAACCCGGGCCGCAGCGGTGGGAAGCCAGCGACTAACCACTTGAGCTATGGAGCGGCCTAAACACAATGGTTACTTATGCTAACACTTGTTTAAACATTAAAGAACTCTGTGTGCCCCCTCCACGATACAGGGTGGGCTTTGGTGTTTCGTGTTATTCTCACAATAAATATTGAGTATTTCCCCGAAGGCATTGATTGGTCTTTGTAAACGAGACCTATTTTCTTTTGTGTGAGCTTAACGAGGTAGCGTAGTTGGCTATGGTATATGTTACATTTCAAGCCGGAAGGTTTCGACTTCGATTCCCGATGAGGTCGCTGGATTTTTCAATTGACCTAATCTTTCCAGCCGCATTATGTCCTTCTGGGATCGACTCAGCCTCTGGCAGAAATGAGTAACAAGAATCTTCCTGGGGGGGTTTAAAGGGCGGCCGACGCCTAAGGCTGTGAGCCATCAGTGAGCCGATTGTCTAGACAAAATGTGGGAGCCTCGACGTCTCACAACTCTATGGGCCTTCAAGGCCTGTTACAGGGATATTTTCATCTTTTTTTAGACTGAATTATTAAATAATATTTACGCGAAATTTATGCTTCGAAAGGTTAACCTAAAATTGCTTTCATGTAAAATTCCTACTGATGGTAAAAATGTCTTTTTATTTAATTACGCACAGCATGACGCCGTGAAGACGCCATTCTAACTTCTGCTCTAGATGGGGTAGTAACCCTGTCGCTTTGCCCCCCTGGGAACTAGCTCTTGGTAACCACTCTAACGAAAGTTGTTGGGGTGTCGATTGGGTCTGGATGTTGTAAAGAAGATAAAAATCTTTTCCCCTGCCGGGTATCAAACCCCCGTCATCCACTCTGTATCCAGACACTATACTGACTGAGCTATCGCAAATTCTCATACCAAATTCCTATCTAAATTTAAATTGCAACGTTTTCTTACTTACTTATCCAATAACTTTAACTCGTGTGGTTCTCTGACTTCTTCAACAGACTCATCGGCGGCGGTTCTTAGTTTCAAGACTTCCTCTTCTTCTCCTCGTGAAACTTTGTCAAAGATTACGTCAACTTTGGATGCTACATCACGCAACAGTTCTTCCACAATGACGGGCGTGTTACATCGGATCACGAGTTTACCGCGGGCCCCTAGCGGCATCTCCTCGCCACAAGTCAGGCAGTCGGCAGCCGTCTCATTCCTCCTCGAGGACCCGCCGCCATTGGCATGTCGCACAGACTTCAGCCCCGATTTCCCGTTGCCATGGTGATGATGAGACGCCACATGCTGAACAAGGCCACCTTGAAGTCTGTCTACTTTTCTTTCGATAAGCTGAAACAAATTAATGCCCACATTATGATTATCATATCTAATACACAACGAGTTACTGAAGTAAGCAGTCTTCTGGGATGTGGCGCCGTATAGATATTGTTTTAACCGACGTTTCGGAGGAATGTGTCGCCTCCATCTGCACCTGCTCACGCTGGTTCGCTCGCGGATTTCTTTTTTCTTCTACCCTGAAAATTGAGGCGATACGTTCCTCCGAAACGTCGGTTAATACAATGTCTACACGGTGCCACATCCCAGAAGACTGCTTATTTCATAGTCACAGCCGTGAAAACTTCAAATCTTACACATTGAATTATTAGCTGCAAAATTAAGAACAGCAAGATGTGAAGTAACGAGTTGTCATTGGTTATAAATAATTTATGTTATTGGGAGTTAATGTTCAGTAGAATTACCTAATTTCCCGTCCTAAATGGGTTATCCGACAAAAAAAGTTCCATCATGTATAGTAGCGAGTTAATGAAATTAAACATATTAAATTAAATTAATGCCGGTCACGGTAGCCGAGCGGTCTAAGGCATGCACTGTCTTCGCTCGCTCGGAAGCCGGGATCGTGCGTTCGAATCCTACTCAGGGCATGGATGTTTGTGTGCGTTTTTCTGTGTTTGTCTACAGGTAGAGGCCTTGCGACGAGCTGATCACTCGTCCAAGGAGTCCTACCGTATGTGTAAGATCTAGAAAACCGAAGTGAACGGAGTTCATGGAGGTAGGCCTAGGCCCAAATTGGGGCTGTAGGGCCACAGAAAAAAAAAAAAATTAAATTAATAACTAAAAATGGAAAGACCAATTCTGAACCAATTCATTTGACATAATCTAACACGAAATCCACGACGACGACAATAATGATGGTGATGATGATGATGATGATGGTGATGATTGTGATGACGATAGCAACTGCATGGACACCGGTGGTACAATGAGGAAAGTTTATGCTTAAACATCTCTTAAAAGAAAAATAAGGAAGTCTTCAATTACAGTAACGTCGACAAGTGATTTGTGGAAGTGCTTTGAAAGTATTTACAACGGCTTTCAACTTCAAACAGTTTTCTGCACATCATGAATCACGTGAGTGTTGTAAATCCCAGCCCTTCAGAAACATCCAGTCTCAGGGTACTCTCTTTGCTACCCAGCATCCCAAATTTCAAATTTGAATCTCTTCAAAGACCTGGGTTTGAGGCTCTCAAGGCCGCGAAAACGAAAAGTATTATGACGTCACGTATTCAAAAGACCACCGAGGTTTCACGGGAATGTTGTGCCACCATCTGCAGGGTCGAAGAGTAAGCCAAGAAAGCAACCAGAAAAAAGAAGAAAGAACTGTTCTGTTTTCTAGTTGCTTGCTTAGCTTATATTTCGACCCTGAAAATGGGAGACAGGTAGACATCCCAAATACAAGTCAGATGCCTTTATCCATTCAGCCAGTTTCTTTCGTTATATTATTAGGCACCTAAATGGAACAATTCCGTTTGCAGCGAAATATAATTTGAACGACAGATCTTTAGAGCTTCAGTCACTGTTCTCACCTTGAGAGTGCTGAGGACGCCCCGTGTGGTGAACTCCCCAAAAAGGGGCCCGTCCTTCTGGTCGTCCAGCGCCTTTCCAATAGCTGCCAATTTATGGTCTGTCTCACCCAACTTCTCTACGACTCGTTCTACCTTGTAGTCCACCTCCAGCAGGGAACTTACCTTTCCATCAAGAAGAACCATTTTCTCTTGACCCCTGGATAACATTATACGTATAGTGAAGGGATTACACGTTGTTGACGAATGAGTCAATAAAACAGAAGCATACACAAGCTAAACCTACAGAATTCAGTGATACGACTTGTCTCTGGTGCGACCCTCTAAATTTTCTAAGAAATAACATAAAATTTGGCAGTTGCTCCTAATTTCCAATTGTGGAAAAACATTGAAATTAAAAGCAGAATATATACGTGTATATATATAGTTATGTGGTGAATTACAGCAAAATCTAATGATATATTCTGTGCCACAAGGTCGGGTATATTTACACATAAAACATATACAGATTATTTTTAATAAGTTCTGGAAGAAATTAATGCATATATTCTTCTTCGAATATTTAAATATATATAGTAAAGTTAGCAGTAAATATAATTAAATAATTTTTGATCCTTTAAATTAATTTATTCTAAGTATTATATAACAATTCAGTCTTTACCTTACAGGAAACATATTATGTCTCCACTACAAAGACCAACCGGTTAATACTGTTTAGGGAAACAGTTGTTGTTTATTATGAGAACCATACGGAACACACAAATACAGTGTGTGGGCAGAATGCACAGTTCTGTAATATATACAAATCCAGTCCGTACCTCACAGGAAACATATTACGTCATCGCGACAAAGCCCAATCGGTTAATGATGTTTAGGAAAGTAATCGATGTTTATTGTGAGAATCATAAGGAAAACATAAATACACTTTGTGGGCAGAATGAAGAGTTTTATTATATTAAAAAACATAGTATATAGAGTAAACAGTTCCTTTATATGTTTAAAACTAGACTGTCACTTATAAGCATAGTCTAGACCGTTTAGATGAGTAAGACCTGCAGATTCATAATACGTTAAATTTACTGTAGTACATGTAAGTGTCTTGCTGCCGCCCTGTTTGTAAATGTTACAATGTAAACAACTTTTCATGCATAACTTGTATCTGTGTTTACAGACTATTCACACGTGCCGTCTGTTCATTGCCTTCTTAGTTCTTGGTTTACTCTTCACTCCTGAAGATGCAAATTTAAGTCGGTTATATATTTGATGGCCGGTCACGGTAGCCGAGCGGTCTAAGGCATGTCCTGTCTTCGCTCTTGGAGATCAGGATCGTGGGTTAGAATCCCACTCAGGGCATGAATGTTTAGTTTGTGTGTGTGTTTTTCTGTGTTTGTGTACAGGTAGAGGCCTTGCGACGAGCTGATCACCCGCCCAAGGAGTCCTACCGAATGTGTAAGATCTAGAAAAAACGAAGTGAACGGAGAAGTTCATGGAGGTAGGCCTAGGCCCACTGGAGCTGTAGTGCCAAGGGAAAAAAAATATATTCGACGATGACAGAGCCGAGGATAGGCTGATTAGTGAACACGATGCAGCTGCTGGAATGAGAATTAGCAGAAGCAATAATGAAATAGCTGGAGAAAACTCTCCGCAGTGCTTCTTTGTCCACTACCAATGCCACATGAAGTAAGACGTTCTTCCGAAACGTCCGTGGATTTCCACTGAAATACACGATTTCACAGCTTATGATTGTTCTGCAATTTCTGTCATCAAGATAATTGTAGATTTATTTAGGATTTGAGGTTCTCACAGCGGTGGTTATGAAGAGTTCTGTCTTCTGGGGTATAATGCCCTGTATTAGGTTGAGAATAAACCGACGTTTCGGAAGAAACATGTCACCTCCAATTTCAGGGTCGAAGAATAAGTCAAGCAAGAAACCAGCAGGAAAGCTCTGCTTTTCATCTTATTTCATGGTGTCTTCTTACTTGGTTTATTCTCCGACCCTGAAGATGGAGGCGACATATCCCACTGAAACTTCGTTTGACCTTAAACGGACTAGACGGAGTTATATCCCGGAATATAGAAGTATTCAATTGTAGATTAGTTTGGATTAATTTGTCGTTTAGACGATATAAAGAAATTTCCCTACACAAGTCACATATGAGCATTTTTCGAAGACCTATTACCACACCGAAATGCTGGACCCCACTTGACGCAGGACTTGTGTTTCTTCTTCTTTATATTTCTTATAGAACGATGCTTTAGATACATGTCATTAGGACACCCTTAAATTTGAAAAATGAAGATTGCAAGTCTATTTGTTAATTGACTGCGTGACGCAGTTGATAGTCCGAAAGGAATTAACTGTGCAAAACAAATATCAGACAGAATATGTAAGAATATTATCAAAAGATCATAATCTAGAGGTAATAGGTACATACAGTTGGCTTACTTCTGCAGAATTTCCCACAACGCATCGACAAAACTTAGAGACATGTAAGTTTTGAGGTTTTCACGGCGATGACTATGAAAAAAGTCGTCTTCTGGGTATTCTTCGTTTTGGCCGACGTTCCTCCGAAACGTCGGCCAAAACGAAGAATACACGGCGCCTAAACCCAGAAGACGACTTTCTTCTTAGAGACATGTAAATTACTCAAATAAATTCAAAAAACAAATTAGGTTTACTGTACAGGTATACAATGCCGCCTCTCTGGTCTAATGATCAGCGTTCCTGGCTACAGATCCAGAGGTCCGGGTTCGATTCCCGGCGCTACCAGATTTTTTTCGGAGAAGTAGTGGGTCTGGAACGGGATCCACAAAGCCTCGTGATGATAACTGAGGAGCTGTTTCAAGGAAATAGTGGCTCCGGTCTAGAAAACCGAAACTAACGGCCGTGGGTATTCGTTGCGCTGACCACGTGACACCTATCCGCAAAAGTTGGCACTAACTTCGCCGACAAGAGGCGGTCGCTCAGTTGGTATAGTTCGCTTGCGGACTAAAATCACGGAGTTTGTTTGTTTGTACAGGTATATATGTTGTCCCATCTGAAGGGTAAATATATCACTGAATTAATTTCTTTAAAGAAGAAATGAGGGAAAGATGTGAAGGTATTAAAGGAATAGATGAAAGAAAGAAAGGGGGCGTAGGCTGAAAACAAAAAAGCAATGGTTCTTCGTTCAATTTAACATCATTTTCCTATTTTTTCCCCCTTGGCACTACAGCCCCAGTGGGCCTAGGCCTACCTCCATGAACTTCTCCGTTCACTTCGGTTTTTCTAGATCATACACATTCGGTAGGAGTCCTTGGGCAGGTGATCAGCTCATCGCAAGGCCTCTACCTGTAGACAAACACAGAAAAACGCATACACACACAAACTAAACATCCAGGCCCTGAGTGGGATTCGAACCCACGATCCCGATTTCCAAGCGAGCGAAGACAGTACATGCCTTAGACCCCTCGGCTACCGTGACCGGCTCATTTTCCTATAGTGTGCGCAAATATAAGTGAATAAATTGTGCATATATTTTAGGGGCAACCTGTGCATGTGCAATCACAGATCGAATCACATTAACATAGGCTGTAATTGGTTTGGGTGGGGATTTCTCATTTCCGAGGTGGGACATTGTAATCCTGTCCATAGACGGATATAGCTATGGCAAATTCATTACAACAAAGAAGTACAAGAATAATTACACATATAATGTAGCAGTCAATGAACAGAGTCAAGGACGACTGTGTTTTAATCTGCAGTCACCCTTTTGTGTATATACTAGCTTGTCGGTTTGATGTTTATGAGGAAACCCATAACATTGACTGACTTCATGAATCTGAGCCCTCATTGAGAAGCCGCCAATTGTGTAGCTACTCAAGAACTTTCTAGCATTTTATGGAACCCGAAGGCTCATTACCGTGTTCACAGGAGCCCTCCACTGGTCCCTATCCTGAGCCAGATCGATCCAGTCCCTACCATCCCATCCTATCGCTCTAAGATCCATTTTAATACTGCCCACCTACCTACGTCTTGGTCTTCCCACCAATATCCTACATGCATGCCTCTTCTCCCCCATTCGTGCTACATGCCCTGCCCACCTCATCCTCCTTGACTTGATCATTCTAATTATACTTGGAGAAGAGTACAAGTTATGAAGCTCCTCATTATGCAGTTTTCTCCAACCTCCCGTTACTTCATCTCTCTTCGGGTACAAATATTCTCCTCAACACCCTGTTCTCAAACACCCTCAGTCTATGTTCCTCCCTTAATGTCAGAGACAAAGTTTCACACCCATACAGAACCACAGGCAAAATTATAGTTTTGTGTATTCTAATTTTTATGTTTTTGGACAGCAGACAAGAAGACAAAAGATCCTGGACTGAATGGTAGCAAGCATTGCCCGAGTTCAATGTCCTCTTAATTTCCTCCTGAACCAAATTTTGATTTGTTATAGTCGTTCCCGAGTATCTGAACTGCGCCAAATTTTTGGAACATTTTTATATATCTTTATGTCATGATTTTGCCCTCCATAACATTGCAAACGTATAAATTAGGGCCTTAGGATTACTGGGTTTTTGGATCCATGCTCATAAAGAGCACAACTTTCTGAAACTGGATCTGTTTCCGTTCTAAGGTGAGGGGGTCGGAAACATGTACTCTGTTGGGTCCACTAGATAGAGCTAACCTGAACCACAGAACTAAGGTTAGATCTCCCTAACGGACCCAACGGAGTGGGTGCCTCTCACCCCCTAATTTTAGGACGGAAACAGGATCCAGTTTCCGAAATGTTGTGCTCTTTAGAACTCAGGACGATGGACAAAGTAAAAAACCCACTAATCCCGAGTGTTATACGTCATCGTCAGAACCCTTTAGATTTCTTAATGCTGTGTTCTCTGGTTTTTAGAACTCAGGACGACGGACAAAGCCCTCAAAGCCCAGTAATCCCGAGTTCTATACACCACCACCAAAATTGTTCAGAATCTACTAAAAGGTTAGGCAACCTTAACAGGTGTCTGAGTAAATAAATATCCCTAAGATGTCTGAAAATAATTCTGTGGAACATATAGGAACGAATAAACTATGAGGAATGCAAATATTTTTCAAGCTATGTGCCAAAGCTCGAGGGAGAAAAAAAATGTCTGCTTGAATAAACATAAATTTCATTGATAACATCTCTTGGAATAAGATCAACGTCAATTTGGCTTGTAACCTCCGATTTTATCCCTTGTAGTCGCCATGAAAACTTCAGATCTTGAATAAATTTCATTCTTACTTGCATATGTTCGCACGTAAATTAACATAAGTTAAGGTTTCGTTGGTCGTTCAGTTGCTACTTTTATTTAAAACTAGTATTTTGAAGTAACATTTTGCATCAACATCATTTATCTCTGTGTTCGGCTTGTGGAACACTGGCCACTGGTTTATCGTGCCTGACATTACACATTACAGATATGGACACCATACTCTATCCCGCATGTTCTCCACAGCACGGCCATTTAAATAAATAGATATAAGCATATATACGCTATTATATTGTACCGATATAACATTTGAAAATTAAGAATTCGATCTGTCAAATTCTCTATCTGTGGCTCTACAGTCTTTTGCTGGGCCCTGGCCTCGTTTTTCAGTTGTTTGACCTTTTACACAGTCGGTAGGACTCCCTGGACGGGGGATCAGCCCGTCACAAGGCCGCTACCTACACGAAGAACAACACAAACACAGAATAAATGCACACAGACATCCATGCCTCGATTTGGATTCGAACACACGATCCCAGCGTTCGAGCGGATGAAGACGATTCATGCCTTAGGCCGCGCGGTCACCGTGATCGGCCTGTCAGGTTATTTATCACATACTTTATATATATATATGCGGTTTCTCAAGTAGGACTCAGCTAGAAAGTTTGTGTAGTGTGTGAAACGTGAAGTATTTCGCAGGAAGAACGAAAACTACAGCATTTGAAAACAGGATGCTCAGAAGTGTTTACACCTAAGAATATTGATGCTTACCGAGTAGCGAATAGTACAGTCGGTACAGCGACTACGCCATGGGCTCAACGACAGAAGAATCGAGTTTCGCTATGCAATGTCTTGGACAAACAACATGTTTGAGATCATTTCAAAATAAGAGGTAAAATATACATTAATTTTATTTGCCTTAGATACGATATTTGAAATTAAAATATTGTGAACTGAACGATAGCAAGCGTTCCCAAAATATAATCTGTTCTTATTATGGTCCATGATGTGTATGTATTGACCGTCTTCTAGTGGACACAGTCTCACTTGTCACTTCACTACATGTTTCGGCATCACTGTGCCATCCTCAGGTGTGTTATTTACGTTAAACTATTGCACTGTTCGCCATCATGTGTCGTTTATAAAATGATTTAAAATGTATATTCGTCTTGTACTATAATAAAATTTATATATTAAAATTTGTTAAGATTTATCATCTTATACGTCGTATTTCAAACTCGCGTATTATATCAATCTTCCGTTATGGGAGTCGTTCTTCCTATATTTTGTGTATACCTGCAACGTGAAAATGGTACTTATTAATATTATATTTTGACTTCAATTTGTTACGTGTTGTTTTATAATGTTTAGTGCTCACTGTGTCTTGTGATGTGTCCTTCTGTTGTGGCTGCGTGCGTTGTATTGCTGGATGTGTGTGTGTCTTCGTATTGATCGGTATTAATTAAGTTATGATGTTGTGGGGGTAAATGTGGTGGGGGTAGGGTTGTGTTATGTTGTTCTGTGTAAATTGTGTGTAATTCATGAAATATTGGGTTATATATTTCTTTCTTTATATTGTTCATATGCGTGTTTTTCTTTGTTGTTCTGCATATATGATAGTTTTATAATGTGTTTAAATATTGTCCTTTCTTATTCGTTGCTATGATATCAACAGTATTTTCTATTATACCATATGCATGTCCTGTGTTTAATACGTGTCCCGAGTATCCTGTATTGCTGTTATTGTGTGTTCGTATTACCTTCAAAAATGAAATTTGGTTTCTTACTATCGTCCCCAAATATTTGAGACTTCGTCACATTTTGAAACAAAGAAAGCAATCGCCTTGAATAGTTCACATATCAGGCATATTAAACTCTAAATTCATAGAATTCAATATTTGGAACATTCTCCCAAGCTTCTGACTGAAGATAAACAAATTTGTATATGTCTGTGCTTTGATTTCTTTGCTTCATTATTTGCCTTGAGGTTTGGAGAGCTGCCATGTTTCTGAGGTTTGTTTTACTTATGAATCGGATGTGTTGATATACAGGCATCCCGAAATAAGTATTCTCGTCACATCTGCCTTGGAGTTAGCGTTGATACTGTCAATCTAAAATATCTTTGACTGTGAGTCATCGTCAAACAGTGGCATGGATATTTATATATCGATAGAAAGCTACTATATTCTATTTAGAAGAAACATGGGAACCAAAATCATCACACGAGAGATCCCGTTGGGTAGGTATATTTCTTCAATATGGTTGCCTACTATGACGTAACCACAAAGATGCTTTAGACAAAGTATACGAGAATGAAGTGATGGACTGCAACCACAGCCCACTATGAACCTTGGCCTTCTTGTCGATAAACAAATCACCAGTCTTTCTTAACCTTCGGCAGTAGTCGACTGGAGTAAAGGCCCAGGGGAAAACCCTACAGCACCCACAGAGTACGTGAGGCTACTGGAAGTTAAAACTGTAGATTTATTTGTCCCTGTGATTAATTAAACGTTACGCCATGAAGACGTGAGGGAACCTGAATCCATAACTCTTATGTTTATTACCCTCAGTATTATGTGGAGGCGAGTGGACAGCTTCGCAGATCACAGTGGCCGTGGGTTTTAAAGCCTGAACTGTCTTCGCCCCCTCAAACACTGGGATCGTGAGTTCCAGTCCCACTCAAGGCATGGATGTCTGTGTGCGTTTATTCTGTGTTTGTGTTGTCCTGTTTATGTAGCAACCTTGCGACGGGCTCATCCCCCGTCCAAGGAGTCCTACCGACTGTGTAAAAGATCAAGAAACTATAAGAGCGGCCATGGCCGAACAAAAGACTGTAGAGCCATAGATAGATAGATAGAGAGATAGAGTGGTCAGCTTCAGGCTCCACCCGCTTTAACCTCTGGGAAGAGGCCCAGTTATACATTATATAAGAAGCTGGGTGAGCCTCAGACCTGATGTGAACTCTGTGGAGAAGAAGAAAATCTCTTTCGGGCGCCCGCAGTCGAAATTCAGTTCCTCTGACGTCAAGCTCATAATCAAGTTGCTGTATCGACTGCGCATCTCGGATCCTCTCGGTACAAGTACCGCTACAGAAATATTGCTGTTCCTTGTGAAAAGAGAACATAGGTATAGTGATGAAACGCCAGGATCAAATTTCGGCCATGATATCGGTAATCCTAATTAGATTTCCCTCAGTCTCCCAAGATGACTGCCGTTATAGTGCACTGAAAGTACCTTTATTAACTTCCGAATTGTGATAAGGTTTCTTATCTCATTTGCCTGTAAACATCTTCTGAAACTGAGACAAAATCCGTAAAACAGAATCTTTCTCGGATAGACCGTAATTGTTGACAGTAGTCATGGAATTTCCCATACTTTATGGGACCCGAAAGCTCATTAGAGTGTTTAGATAAGCCCACCAGTAGTTCATATTCTGAACCAGGTTATTCAGGATTATTCTAGATTATTCTGATTATATAACATCAAATGGTAGAAGGATTACAGAATTTGAAACGACGTTAAAGAAGGAATTACAGTATAATTTGAGGCAGTGTTCCTGTATGTACTAAGAGACTGAATAAAAGCACAAAATCAGTCAAGGTGGCCGGTCTACGTGCCGAGATCTTAACCTGGGAACATCCGAACACGAAACAGGGGGTACTGTACCGCTAGGCTCGTTTGTTTTTCTCCCCTGTTGACAATACAGTTTCTCCTACTCCAGCATCATATAAAAAGTTCTACCTTCTGAGACATAACACTATGTGTTCTGTTGAAAGCAAACGGACGTTTCGGAGGAACATGTCGCCTCCTTTCCCAGGGTTGAAGAGTAAGACAAGCATGAAGCAGGCAACAAAGTCAATTGATTTTCAACGAACTACAGAAGCGCCCTATTGCAGAAGATAAGAACTCTTCGTGACCAACTCTTTGAACACGTCAAATCCCGCAACATGTAACAAGTTCTCTCATTTGTTCAGTGGGCGGTTATGGCGCCTGTTGACCCCGTGCTCCTCCATTAAGAAGAACCAAGTCACCAGGTCTGGCTTCATGGCGTGGTGACCTTCCAGTTTACGTTATACGTGCCCTATGACCTCCCTCTCACCTGCTCAGTATATCCACTTTCTTGTCCAGCGTGCTCATCTGGTCGTTCCATGCGGCGACATGCAGTTGGAAGGTGTCCCACACATGGGCACGTTCCTGCAGGTTCTTCACGTTACTGTCCAGGCTGCTGAGTGTCGAGGCCATAGACAGCATCCGGTACTCCAGTTTACCGAGGTACAGACTGTTGAATTTCTCCAGCTCGTCTTGAAATGTAAACACCAGACATTACCAGTTACTTACTTATGCTCCTTAGGCCCAACTCGAATTACGGTCGATGGTCTCTCACAAATTTATTTGTTTGTTTGAAATGTTTTGTGTTTACAGTGCAAGATAACACAGTCTGAGATAAGAATTAAATCTCCAGTGAAAAGAGGTGGGTGAAATATCACTCTGAAAAGAAAAAATACCTATTACTTTACCCTGAGACCAAAGAGTACCTAAAGTTTTACCCTGAGACCAAGGGATAACTGAAGTTGTTCCTTGAGAGCAAGGAGTACTGAAGGAGTAACTGAAGTTTTATCCTGAGAGCAAGAAGTATGAATGAATGAAATGAATGTATAAGGGGTGGGCCTTCTTGCCCCTTGCACCGCGACCACAGTGATCTATTGTGCTTCCCCTTCTGATTAGCCCCTCAACAATCCTGCATTTCGAATGAAGCGCAGGATTTTGTACGTGGCGGCGACGAAATAGTCACTTGGTTCCATAAAATATTGACTCAAGTGACGCAATCTTAAATACGCTAAGGCCTCATATTCGTACAGGATATGTGTGGCTGTTTCATTTTCTTCTTGACACCTCTCACAAGTGGGACTATCACTTAGTTCTAGTTTGCCTCGCCATAGCTCAAGTCAAGTGGGAATTGTGGTGGACAAAGTGGCGCTAGGGTAGGTTTCCTCCGTGTACTTCGGTTTCCCCTGCCAATCTTCATTCCACCAAATTCTCCATCACCATTATCACCCGGGGTAGGCTACAATAGGCCAATCAGCGGCCGCCGAGCCGAGTGGACCCAGTTGGACTCCACCCCCCCCCCCCACTAAGCGAATTAAGAAAAAATGTTTATGTTTCTTTTACACACATGCGCATATATATGCAGGCCTATGTATATATGCATGTACGTAAGCATGTGATTGCATATTCTCAACGGGGTTTTGGATTGGTTATTGGATTTAGTGACAATTTATATACACAACTCGCAAACATACTTAATTATAGCTCCATCGGTAATTTTCACACTTTACAGTTCACTAGAGCACATGCCAAGTATTTCCCAGCCTGCAATGTCTTCACTAGAAATCTCTCATAACAGATTTAACAATGGTTGTTCTTCTGTCTCGGAGCTCACGCCCTCTCTGAATCGCGGCTCCCTTCCAACTGATTATTCTTGCTTCCATAGTCCTCCTTATAACACCTTTGCATGGACCTAGTAGAAAACACCGTTTCTCTCTTGCCGTACCTTTGTTGCGTCCGTGTCTGTTGGACTTCCCAAGTGATCACTACTCAGCCAGTCCATTGACGCTCTGCTGTCTAACAAGTCTACACGCTACAATATGCATATGTCTATTTTCTGTACATAAATCTATGCACCAATACACCGCCTGGTCATTCACATCTGTGAAACCCGTTCTCATGTCTACACATCGCCGGCAAAATAATAACTGTAATAAATCGAATTAACTAATTAAAAAATAAGTAAAGCTATCCCTGTAACAGGCCGTGGAGGTCCATAGGGTTGTGAGACGTCGAGGTTCCTAAATTTTGTAGACACTAGGCTCACAGATGGCGGTGAGGTTGTTAGCCTTACGCGCCGGCCGCCCTTTACCCCCAGGAAGATTCCTGGTACTCATTTCTGTTAGAGGTTGAGTCCACACCAGGGCCATAGTGCGTCTGGAAGGATTAGGTAAATTGAAAAATCTAATACCTCGTCGGGAATCGAACCCGCGCCTTTCCGGCTTGTAGCATAGTGCCTCAACCAAGTACGCTACCGCGTGCGCCTATATCTGTTGAAGGTCAAAGTGAAATAAATATATTAACATTGTTTACAGCTCATCGTGTGTATATTATTAGGGTTTCGCAGTGAGCTTTGCGTTCCGCTGCAGTTGTCTCTAAAATGTTCATTTTTTCTGAGGGTGCATTTTCTCGCAACTGGAATTAACGATTCGTCACACTACAGCGAAAGCTTCTCATTGACTCCTGGCCTAGACGAGCCAGATCCTAATAACCATGGGCCTGCTTTATAATGTTCTTCCACGAACGGAGTTGATTTTTCCGCAGGTTCCACCCGCTCAGGTGTTGTTCGTGTTTTCATGTATTTATGTATAATTACATGCTCTTAAATAGCGCCGGTATCTTCAAGCTCGATTTTAGCTTAAAGGTCGAAACATAAAATGGAAACGAGGGTATGGACATTTTGACAATTTTGCCCGTATGCATACCAGCTCAAACAGCAACGTATGATATCCCTGTAACAGGCCGTGGAGACCCATAGGGTTGTGAGACGTCAAGGCTCCCACATTTTCTAGACAATCGGCTCACAGATGGCGGTAAGGTTGTCAGCCTTACGCGCCGGCCACCTTTACTCCTCAGGAAGATTCGTGGTACTTATTTTTGTTAGAGGCTGAGTCGACCACCAGGGCCATAGTGCGGCTGGAAGGATTAGGTCAATTGAAAAAAAAATCCACCTCATCGGAACTCGAACCCACGACCTTCCGGCTTGCAGCATAGTGCCTCAACCAAGTACGCTACCGCGTGCGCCCATGATGTTACCAATGTCAGGTTTTAAGTCACGATTTTATTCGTTCTATTCCCGCAGTTCCCTATTCCCGCACACACTCACTCTCGCGCACGCACACACGCATTCCGTGTCCTACTATACACATAAGGATAAAACCTTACAAAATGATATTTCTGATAGTCCCGTAGGCCTATATACATGGGACTTATTCTGCCGCCGCAAGAGGAGGCCATAGATTGTGTTAAAGAGCAAAGTTCTGAGGTGAGTTTTTGGATCTCATACACTTACTCACGGAGCTGGGTCCTTCTTGAGAAGCCGCCAAATGTGCAGCTACTCAAGGACTTCCCAGCATCTTAAGGAACCCGAAAATTCATTACCGTGTTCACAAGAGCCCTCCACTGGTCCCTATCCTGAGCCAGATCGAGCCAGTACATACAATATTTTCTTTCGCTTACGTCGTTTATCCAAAGAATTCGTCTAGATCCCAGGCTTCTTGTGATCTTTAGTAACAAGCTTAATTTTTAGGGTGAGGAGTTGTTAGCCCCACGTCCAATCCCCAACTAGAAGACCGCCCCTTGTTGCCTGTGAGCGACTCTTTAATAAACATATTTGCTCCTACCCTCCATATCTGGAGGCCGCCTCCTCCATCCGCAACCTGAGGACGCGCCATGCTGTGGTGACAAAGGACCCACTTAACATGGGTTTGGAGTTCAGGGAGAGGGAATAACAAGGAAAAGAGAAAGTCACATAACGAGACACACTGTCAGTTTGTGTTTGGCCCTAAAACATTTAGTTTCATAAATCACAAGATCTGTTTCCTTAATCCCCAGCCTTCAGCTGCGCACACCCACTTGTTCGTGTCTCCTCACCCCTTGTCAACGTCCATTGAGGGCGTTCAGATAATCCTGAATTCTGCGACCCTGAGACTCCACGAGCTCATTTCCAGAAAGGACACTTCTCTGCAGAAGGCCACGCTATTCCCTGTGGCACGGCCCGTGCTGTTGCTTCTCTTCGCATGCTGAATGCTTTATTCGGTCGTTACAAGCTCCTGGTTTCGGTTCCCGATGAGCTCACTGAATCTTTCAGTTTATCTAATCCTTCCAGCCGCACTATGGCCCTGGGGTCGACTCAGCTTCTAATAGAAATGAGTACCAGAAATCTTCCTGGGGGATAAATGGCGGCCGGTGCGTAAGGCTAACAACCTCACCCCCATCTATGAGACGATTGTCTAGAAAATGTGGGAGCCTCGACGTCTCACAATCCTATGGGCTTCCACGGACTGTTACAGGGATAACTTCACCTGTTTATGCCTCTACAATTTGGAATGTCGGAGTCTGACTCCCTGGTTCTGCGCTTCGGTATATTTAGTAAATGAATCATATGTTATACATTAATATTTTAATTATACATATCTATTATTGGTAATATAAACTTATTTTTACTTCACTCTGGTAATTTCTTACCACCCTCTCCAACTTATCATTATATCTAATCATATACAGGGGCACGTGGTAGCGTAGTTTGTTGAGGCACCATGCTACAAGCCGGGAGGTCGCGGGATCGAATCCCGATGAGGTAATTGAATTTTTTCAATTTATCTAATCCTTCTAGCCGCACTATGGCCGTGGGGTCGACTCAAACTCTAACAGAAATGAGTACCAAGAATATTCTTGGGGGTAAAGGGCGGCCGGCGCGTAGGGCTGACAGCCTTACCGCCATCTATGAGTTGATTGTCTAGAAAATGTGGGAACCTCAACATCTCACAACCCTATGGGCCTCCAAGGTTTGTTACAGGGATATCTTTATTTTTTACTTTTTTTATTTAATCATATATATTCATTCAAATCGTTTTTCTTCACACCTTAATATTTATTTTCAATCTTCCTCTTTTTTATGTAGACAGATATTATGTTAAAAATATATTTATCTAATTAATATAGCCTAATTATTCATATCGTACATAAATAAATGAAAAGCCAATCCGTGATGACAGATAATTACAACCAAGCGCATTTTTGTGTATAATTTCCATTTTTCACTAGTACAGATTTCGTTGATATTAACTTTCCTTATATACTCCCATGATCCCGTATTATTTCCATGCCTTTAATTATTAATATATAAAGGTGTTCCTTACATAATTTTGAGTTGTGTTTGTAATCTATCTTCATATAAAACATCAGATTGTTAGCTCCAGACAAAGACCATCGCGGTAATGCTGTTTACGGAGTCACTGTTTATTTTTAGAAACAAATGAAAAACACAGATCCAGGAATTCCTCCACCGAAGGCCTGCGAGTCGTAGGAGGAGACGAAAAGGGAAGTCTGGAATCTGGGACAGTAAAATATGGTCACGAGTCCCAAGGAACTCGGACCCGAGATTGACTGCGCTAGCGAGGGCCAGCAGCAATTATAAACAACAGACCCCTCCTCTCGTCAGAGAGGGCGCCCCACATCAACAAACCCGCAAGTGCCTGACAGCAATAATTGTCTAGAAGTAAGCCCCAGATGGGTGCTTTATGCCAAGACAGACTGGCCGACTGACCGTCGGTCGTGACATAGGGCTCAGACTCAGACTTATACTTAGACTCAGACTCAGACTCATACTCAGACTCAGACTCAGACTCATACTTAGACTTAGACTCAGACTCAGACTTAGACTCAGACCCACTATGTAGTCAAAATGCGATTACTTTACTATTAAAATAGGCGGTAGATATTGATATTGACTCAGAGGGAATACAATTTTCCAGTCATCACAAGCGCTTATACCGGCATATGCACCCCTAATCTTTTTAGTGCCCTTTAAATAAATGTTGGAGTCAAAATAATTCGAAATGAAGTCCGCTTGATACCTTAGCTCGTGTATAGAGTAACTACGGTGCTTTAAGGAGTTAAAAAACTGTTATCGTTGTCACCACGTAAGTCAGAAAGGCTTAAATTTCATTTTTGATGTCGTATTTTAAAAATTAACATTCTTAACAATGTTCATGGAACTCCGTCAGTTTCTTCAAAGCTTCTTATAATGGTACAAATACACTGGGATATTTTTATGATAGCATGAGATGGTGGTTGTTTATAAAACTTGAAAAGTAGGTTAGCAAAACAATGTGTTTCTGTGTTCCACCGACCAAAGAAACAAACTTGAGGGAAGCATTTTTGGGTAGTGACTCACCTGATACGGCGGCCATCATGGCTTTGACATTCCCAATCTCTTCCCACAGCCTGTCCGAGGGACTCGCAGGAACTCCGAGGGAACACCGTGCCAGCAGCAGGATTCCCACAAAGCCACAGAGCTGCAACATGGTAGGGGAAGTTCTAGTCGTTTTGTAGAGATCTCATGAGGAAGTGTAAACATGTGGTTTATCTGACATTAACAAAAGACTACTAGTACAAGTCTTGAAGGAATTTCAGTATCAACGGTGCCACATTCAGGAAGTCAAATATTTCTCTTCTCTACGTTAAATTTAAAGGATTCACGACGAAAAAAACACGAGCTCAAATATTCTTGGAAACCAACGTTTCAGGTATTTCCTGTCTTCGTGGTAAGAGTTATGTCAGTGATGAGTTAAGAACCAACGTTTGAGATATTTTTTCTGTCTCCATGACAGAAGTGTTATATCAATGTTGAGTTAAAAAGCGACGTTTCAGAGATCTCTGAATTCATCATTAGGGTCATGCTAATGTTGAGGGGGCCGGTCACGGTAGCCGAGCGGTCTAACGCATGTACTGTCTTCGCTCGCTTTGAAACCGGGATCGTGGGTTCGAATCCCACTCAGGGTATGGATGTTTAGTTTGTGTGTGTGCGTTTTTCTGTGTTTGTGTACAGGTAGAGGCCTTGCGACGAGCTGATCACCCTCCCAAGGTAGTCATACCGAATGTGTAAGATCTAGAAAAACCGAAGTGAAAGGAGACGTTCATAGAGGTAGGCCTTGGCCCACTCGGGCTGTAGTGCCAAGAAAAAAAATGTTGAGGGGTCGATAGAAAGACGGAGAGACATGATTTTTCTTACGTGCATTCACATTTTGAACTTTGTACTTAGAAAGCTGTACAGAACGAATTTCTAATTTTGTAGGGCGACTCATTGTCGATGTAGATTCTGCTCTTGGGTCTTCGTACTGTGTGAATGTAGGTAATGTTACCAAGGTTTCGGATGAATATGCTGGCTCCATCTTCAGAGCAAACTGGACACCAGCCCCTAACCTTCCCTCTACATCTGTTGAGGCAAACCCTATATACACATGAGCTCTCACTCACCCTCCTCACTTCGACACCGAAGACTGAGGGGCAACACAGCCCACATCACACGGCGCAAAGACCGAAGAGCGGTATCAACATAAACAAAGAAGTGATAGCAAGTGCGGGGCTACTGCCCAAGGCCGACCAGCCTCCTCACTGGGTGCCTGTCCGTCTCCGTTGTGTCACGTCGCGAGTATTACGAGCACTGGCTGCAGAACAAAGCACGTTTCTAGGCGTTCCTCTTCTTTCCCTCAATTATTCTCCAACCACTTTTATTCATCTCTCTCTCTTCCCTGTTCCTCTCACTTTGGAGCATAGGGCATCCGTGAGACGTTTTGTTTTCACTTCAGTTTTTTTAATCATAAGAGAGTCGGAAGGACTCCTTGGATCGGGGATCAGCCCGTCACAAGACCGCTACCTCCACACAAACACAGAAAAAACGCAGATAAACATCCATGCCTTGACTGGGATTCGAACCCATGATCCCAGTGTCCGAGCGAGCGAAGACTGTTCGTGTCTTAGACCGCGCGGCCACTGGGATCGGCACTATTACTACTAGCACAAGTATATTGTTATGTTTTATAGTGGTCCTTTCTTAGGAGTTGGTATAGCGACTGGCTACGGGCTGGACGACGGAGGAGTCGGAGTTCGAGTCCCGGTAGGGTCAAGAATTTTCTCTTCTCCTTGTCGTCCATACCGGGTCTGGAACCAATCCAGTCTCCTTTCCAATGTGTGCCGGGGGCTTTATCCTCGGGAGTAAAGCGGCCGGCGCGTGAAACTGACCACTCACCCCCAGCTAGTGCCGAGGTCATGGGAACTACTCCCCATATGCCTTCATGGTGTAGTGGTTAATTAGTTAATTACAGGGACAACTTTAATGGTCCTTACTTAATTATTAAAATATTAAGTGCATTCGATATGAATGTACGTACACGTATATTTCTTTAAATCTTTTAGGGGAGATTAGACTACTTAATAGTTTAGTTTCTTGGTCTTGAGTTAGTATGTTGTTTTTGGTAATTTTGTCTTTCTTTAGAGCTGCTTACACTTTATATCTTTTCTCTTATAGACAACATGGGGCTTATTATTCTGGTGTTTATTCGTGTTCTTTGGGCTATTCTCGTGAGTTTTTGTTGTTATTTCTTCATTGGTTTCCGTTGAATTTTTTTTTATGAAGGGAGATGTTGTTATGCTTTGGCTATAATTGCNGTAAAGCGGCCGGCGCGTGAAACTGACCACTCACCCCCAGCTAGTGCCGAGGTCATGGGAACTACTCCCCATATGCCTTCATGGTGTAGTGGTTAATTAGTTAATTACAGGGACAACTTTAATGGTCCTTACTTAATTATTAAAATATTAAGTGCATTCGATATGAATGTACGTACACGTATATTTTGTCTCACCGGATAATGGTTGAGGTGATTGCACTTACTGAATTCTTATAATTGTCCGAATAATATAAGTTCCCCTGTGTTGCATTTCGTTCCTTGTGGTTACTTGCAGTTTCCCTCTGTGCTGCTGAGTAAGCACGTAAATAAACAAATAATTGAATTATTACTATATATTCTTACAGAAAATTGCAGAGCATCCTGTCCATAAGACAGGGACAGCCATGTTCCTAAGTATCATCACGTGATTAACATCCTGTAAATATATTTGCTATTAAATTATGAGTTACTTTACTACCTCCCTCAACATGTGCGCTGTTCTCAAAATGGCCGTCCTCTGCAATTCTGCGATGCTCGATTGTTCACAGACAGTATCTTCTAAATGCTTCTGAAGTGATCTCAATATACTTCCAGTAGCATTTCTGATTACTGGCATCCCAGATTATTACTATTATTTACTTACTTACTTACTCATGGAGCTGAGCCCTTCTGAAGGAGCCGCCAATTCTGCAGCTACTCAAGAATTATTACAATTATTATCATTATTAACTTCTATGTGTGTACGTACATGTATTGTCCTTTCTCGCCACAAATGGCATAACTATTGGAAATGTACGTATTTTATTTTTCTCATCTGTTAAAGCTAACTTCAAATTTTCTTGGAATTGTTATTAATTTATTGCTATTATATAGACTGTCACATTTTGTATTTTGCTCTTTAATTATTTTTGTGTATTTCTGTGTACTCGTGTTAACTTTTTAATTGGCCACTGTGCTGTTAAGTTTGCACGTAAATAAAAAACGAATTGAATTATTATTATTATTATTATTATTATTATTATTATTATTGTTATTAGGAGCAGCAGCAGCAACAGTAGTAGTAGCAGTAGTATATATTTTCAGATGTTTGCGTTTAAATTTAAATAATCTAAAATTATATGGCAATTTCCTATCTGCTATTTCGTTTATATCTCTTTGTTTATTTTGTCGTTTTTGTGTTGGCTCTGTAGTTGGTCACTGCCTATTGAGTTCAGCATGTATAAAAATAAAGAAATGAAATGAACTGAAGAATTGACTGAAATTCTTCTTAATTTCTTTGGGGCATAGTTCATTGATGCACTATGTTACAAACCAGAAGGTCGAGTCCCGATGAGGTCATTGGGTTTTTCAATTGACCTAATCCTTCCAGCCGCACTATGGCCCTGGAGTCGACTCAGCCTTTGACATAAATGAGTACCAGGAATCTTCCTGGGGGTACAGGACGGCCGGGGCGTAAGGCTGACAACCTCACCACCATCTGTGAACTGATTGTCTAGGAAATGTGTGAGTCTCGAAATCTCACAACCCTATGGAACTCCACGGCATGTTATAGAGATAGCTTTACATTTTAGATTTCTTAATAATTTCTTTAGCAACGCTAAAGCACATAGCGTCGAAAGAAGGAATGACTGTGCATGATGAACTGAGAAAATTGGGGGAAACTGGTCTTAACGCGTTTTAAGAGACTACTTTAACATTTTCCTGAAAGGACTGAGACTAGATACGAGAAGCGTCAGTGATGATAGCCAGCCTCTGAGAATAACAGCGCAGCTTGAAAGCATTTGCTACCGCTCTTCCGTCCGTAAGGAATATTACTTAAAGTCGCCTCTTTATTTTTCTGAATAACGTACCTCGGTGCACACAAGAGTTTGTCCATGTTTCTAACTCACTTTGAACAGAATTTCGATTCAACTTCGCGTCACCCTACTGGAAGTGGTTACAGTTAACACTGCTGAAGTATTTATTGGATTAAAGAATGTTTCGAGGGAAAATTGCTAAAAAAAAATAAATATTACATATATATGTATAATACATATTTCCTTTCTAAAAGTCTCGTCCTTTTCGAGATCATTAAGCAAGAATTTGACAATTAATGACAGTCTTCCGAACACACTCGAAGATGGCCGAAATATGAGCAATGGTTTTCCGAACACACTCGAAGATTGCAGGAGCCTTTAAGTTTTAATAATAATAAGCGAAATTTCTTCACAACCGAATGTATATGTTTACATGCGTATAGGGTATTTTTTCCCCCTTAGCACTACAGCCCTAGTGGGCCTAGGCCTACCTCCATGATCTCCGTTAGGTTTTTCTAGATGCGTATAGGGTATAGATGTATGTAATTAAAATACAATAATACGTTGCGGCAAAAATATTTTTCGATATTATATTAATATATCATCTTATCGCAAAAATAATGGATATTGGCATGTGATTTACGAGTATAACTAATTCTTTCTGACGAAGGCACCTCTTATGTGTACTCTGTGGACATCTAAATTATTATTTAAAATAATAAATGAACAAAAATGCAAGGGAAGACATCTTCTATGACATGAAGTTACTTCAGATGTATCTTATTTGAGAGATGTCTCATACCTCAGGCGGTTAGTCGATAGCTTCCCACAGTGGCGGCCCAGTTTCGATCACACGTCAGGTCATGTGGGATTTGTGGAGGACTGGGGCAAATTTTCTCCGAGTATTTTGGTTTCTCTTACCAACACTCATCCACTAAGTGCTCCATATTTATTAATCATCCTATCACTGACGCTAGTCTTGATCAGAAGGGCATCGCTAAATAAGAAACAAACTAGAGCCTCTGTGTTGTTATGCGTTCTTTGCAAAAGTGCATAAAGTGAACACATTAAGTGAGGTGTGTCTCTCCTTCTGTCAATATATTTTATGACGGATTTTGATTAAATTTGATATCGGGAGTCTACACAAGTGTATCTGGCAACATACTTGACATCTTTCCATTAGAACCTCTTCTTTACAAGCCTAACGCAACTTCAGAAATCATATTAAAGACCACTTGCTGTCCAAATAAAACCCTAAAATATGCATTTAATCGTTTAATATGAAGTTTCGTCCACAGATTATTACTCGGCAACTTATACCAAAACCTGTGCATAGCAGTCAACTTGGAGGTAGCTTAGTAAAGCTGTGGATTATTTACCTCTTATTCCAAAGCGAACTATTTTAGTTTTATATCGAAAAATAGGCTAAAGTTGTATTATAGTACAAAGAGAAAGTAAACATGAGTATACAGAAATATATAGAATGCATTATTATACCTTATTCTTAATTTACAAAAGAATAAAGTTCATGACATGAGTAAATATTATGGAAAGTGAAGATAAAATAAATGTTTCATTAGGTACTGCAGTTTTTGAAAGAAAATATCATCCAAATTTCCTATATTTGTACAAAAGGATCGATTATGAGATGAAAACAATAATTGTCTTCTGATGTACATTTCAACGGTAGTTATAAGTGCTTTATGGGGACAGCCACCTCTGCCTCTTTTCTTTTATTGCTAGTGGGGTGGGACTAAGTCCTTTGTACTGCGGCCACTTCTGGCCTATTGTACCTGCCCCAGATGATAGGTGAGGGTGATTGTGGAGCAATTTTTTTTTTACCTTTGCACTACAGCCCCAGTGGGGCTAGGCCTACCTCCATGAACTTCTCCGTTCACTTCAGTTTTTCTAGATCTTAGACATACGGTAGGACTCCTTGGGCGGGTGATCAGCTCGTCGCAAGGCCTCTACCTGTACACAAACACAGAAAAACGCACACAAACATCCATGCTCTGAGTGGGATTCGAACCCACGATCCCGGCTTCAGAGCGAGCGAAAACAGTGCACGCCTTAGACCGCTCGGCTACCGTGACCGGCCCTGTGGAGCAATTGGTGGAATGAAGATTGGCAGGGGAACCGAAGTACTCGGAGAAAACCTGCCCCAGCGCCATTTTGTCCACCACAAATCCCACTTGACGAGACCCAGGATCGAACCCGGGCAGCCGCGGTGGGAAGCCAGCGACTAACCGCTTCAGCTATGGCGCGGACCTCACCTGTGCTCTTAGTAAACTGTTGAATAAAAGTGAAGAATGACCAAAGAACCATCTGACAGTTGAAATCGCAGTTTGAATTATAAACAAACTCTGCCAGCAGCAACTGACGAAGGAAGAAAACAAATGAAAAAGAATTTTATTACTTCTGCTTAAAGGTCAGGATGAAAGTTACAGCTTAAAAGTTGCACAAACATATATTCATACGAAGGTAACCTACAACTTTTTCCTACCTCAATTGATTTTACCACCCGGCAATTTTAAAGCATGACACTGAAATGAATTCCTTATATGTACCAGTGTGTCATTAATTCTGTCCTGTGGCCGAGTCTTTCGAATGCCAGACCCAAGGATAAAAGATAAAGATAAAAAGAAATGAAAAGAAGTCAAGCTTGTTTAAGTTGTGTACAATTCTTTATCTTCCATATGCAGCGTCTTCACTAAAACGTTCTCTAATTTCAAATCACAATATGTCTGGGTTTAAATTAATAGAATGTGATGGAAGAAAATGGATTATTTTTACTATATCACGTAAAATGGTACAGTCGGTGTTAGTGTATGAAGACTGGCAGATGCTTGCACCATCTCCAGAATGCATCTCACCTGATATAAGTAGCTCATCTTCGTTTCCGTGTCCCCACCACAGACAGTCTGATGTTTCGCCGTCAGCTTCGTTTCCCGCCGCAACCATAATCATTGCTGAAGAATCCTATCTCATCTGAGATTGTAACAACCTCCAAGGGCAACTATACCATAGCGGCATCTCGTATTTATTGATGGCAACTTAACACAACTGACTGTTGCTACTATTGCTGCTTTCCTGACATCTACTGTAGAAATATGGCACTACTAAAGACGCCAATGCAGTTAATTACCATTTTTCAACACCGAAAAATAAAAGTTTTCTTCCACCACACTCATTAATTCTTTATAAGGTGTAGCTGTTTAAACGATACAAGTCTATTCTTATCTCACTGAAACCACAATGCGATTAATTACAGAGTAAAATTGGTTACTGGATCTGGGGGGGGGGGGGGAGGTATCGTCCTTTCGTCTCAGAACCAAAGGAATCTCGCAAATAAACTGCGCAATGTGTGTTATTTATCAAAGCAAGCTGTGAGTAATTTGTATCTCCCTACAAAGAATTAACTAAACTAGTAACTAACCCAGCAGGCCGCGCTATAGCGCAAGCAGTTAGTCGCTGGCTTCCCACCGTGGCGGCCCGGGTTCGATCCCGGGTCTGGTCAAGTAGGATTTGTGGTGGACAAAGTGGCGCTGGGGCAGGTTTTCTCCGAGTACTTCGATTCCCCTGCCAATCTTCATTCAGCCAATTGCTCCACAATCACCCTCACGTATCATCTGGGGCTGGTACAATAGGCCAGAAGTGGCCGCAGTACAAGGGACTTAGTCCCACCCCACTAGCAACAATATAAAAAAACTAACCCAGCAACCAACAGATTCTAATAATTGCTCAGTTGATTAACAAATTCCCCACCCTTCTTGAAACCCACAGATTTGCAACGCCAGGCCCATCTCATCCTCCTTGACTTGATCATTCTAATTATATTTGGCGAAGAGTACAAGTTATGAAGATCCTCATTATGCACAACTTCTGTCACTTCATCTCTCTTCGGTCCATTCTTTGTGATTTTCTTTAGTCCCTCCAATCAAATGCAGAGATAGTACTCTAGTAGGTCTCGTCCACTTCCTTTCAAATTCTTTCCAATTTAACATTCATCAGTCTTCCTTAACATTCGATAATATATAGTCCAGAAACAGCGTCGTAAAATAACTCCCCTCTCCAACAAGGATTTTCAGGCTTCATCAAATCTGTTCGATGAACGTGATTATCCACGTTATTACGGGCGAGGACACACCAAGGAAACTGGCAACCGCAATGAAACCGCAACAGCCTGAGTTGAACACATGTTACTGAATGGAGCAGCGCAAATTGTGGCTGTTCAACAATTCTCGGAAATTGCGGTTATGTTGCGGTTGCCAGTTTCCTTCGTGTGTACCCTCTCCAGATCGTTAAGTAATTTTCGCGATGCACAATCGAACCCAAACTGGTTTAGCTATCATTTACAACGGCAGACATTCTAGGAATTGGGCGTAGAAACGAAATAGAAGGCAGTGGAAGGTTTTAATAGACGCCGCCATTGTAAACATATATGAAGCTAGCCGGCTAGTAACAAGTAATTCAATTGTTTGTATTATTAGTAGTATACTGTATAAGTGTTCGTGTTGTATTTTGAGTCAAATAAATTTGATGTAATATGAGGAACACATTTTTGTATTGGATAGATATATATATGTGTTGAAGTGTTTCTGAAGATTACGAGAAATAACCAAAACAAGACAGCGTTGCAAGTTTAAGGCCTTTTTGCGTTAGTTTATGAACTGTGGCATTTTTCTCCTGTTACTAGGTAATAGCAAATATGGTTCGAGGAAGAGGACGTGGTGGTATGGGAAGAGGAATGGGACGACTTGGACCATTTAAAGTAAAGCCATTTGTACCTCGACATCCATTTGATCTTGCACTTTGTGAGTCTGCATTCCCTAGAGTTAAAGCTTTGCCAGATGAGGCTGCTTTTACTCAGGTAATAAATTACTTATGTGTATGTGTAATTTGTAACAAACATAAGACAGTTATAAGAGTATTTGCCATTTTGTAGAAATTCATAATTTAAGTACATGACATTATTTGTCGTAACAGGCTCTGTTGAAGAGGAACACAGACCTGTCCCCATCTTCTCATGAACAGACATCGGTTCTGAACTTGGTTACCAAAATTCAGACTGTTATGGACAACTTAGTTGTTGCACCTGGGACTTTCGATGCCTGTGTAAGTAAAGTGAATAGTTGACAGAAGTGGTACCTGTACATTAAGTAAGGAGTTTATATTGTAATATAAATAGGTGTAACTATATTTTGAACTTGTAATTTATACATATAGACATACTAGTAAGCCCAAGGAAATGAAGTGTGTTACATTATTATTATATCATGATTACTCATTCATTGCCTGTAAATAAGCTGATAATTAAATATAAATAAAATATTGTAGTCCATGATTTATTTCACCGTCTTTTAGTGCATACACTTATCTACCTCACTCCTTTATCCCGCACTACATGTTTCGGCACAAAAGTGCTATCTTCAGGTGCTTATTCGGTTAACGTCAAACTAGTTCACTGCATGCCTTGTCNGACAGAAGAGATTAGAGGTGACTCGAGAAGTGAGATACGACGTAGGAAAAATCCTGAACAATTTTAATATTTTTAATATTTGATGTTTGTCGGTATATATGATAAATATATATTTTAATTATTTTGATATGAAGACAAGGCATGCAGTGAACTAGTTTGACGTTAATCGAATAAGCACCTGAAGATGGCACTTTTGTGCCGAAACGATGTAGTGCAGGAGAAAGGAGTGAGGTAGATAAGTGTATGCACTAAAAGACAGTGAAATAAATCATGGACTTAAATCAGTGCAACAGGACGATAAAATATAACAAAATATTGTAATCAGAGACATTATCCAAAACCCAAATGAATATAACAAAACCACTTTGTAGCTGATTTTAGAAAAAACCAAGAACGTGCCAAAAAAAAAGAAGGCAGGGAATTCTGCTGCCTGTCTGCAAACAAAGTTCTGTAGTGTTTTTTTTTTCAAGGGGGGTCCTACTTTGTTTAAAGTAACCCCAGTATGAACTTAGAAAAATAAATGCTTTCATTATTGTTTGTAGCAATTAGAAGAAGTTCGTCAAGTAGGCTCATTTAAGAAAGGCACGATGATGACTGGACATAATGTAGCGGACATAGTTGTTATTCTGAAGACATTGCCAACCAGAGAAGCAGTGGAAGCCCTTGGCATTAAAGTGCACGAAGATCTGAAGTCCCAAGATCCTCATGAAGGTAACTGAATTTTTTTTTTTTCACTGGCTCTACAGTATACCTTGGGCCCTGGCCTCTGATTTTTAGTTCTGTGACCATTTTACAGATTGTAAGACTGCTTGGATGAGTGATCAGCTCGTCGCAATTGAAAATGTGTAGTGAAGAGAAATAAGTAGCAGCTCTTATGATAGGCTTAAGATTAGAATGTGGTCATCACTGTCAGCAGGCTGCCAAGCTCTCCTTTACTAAGTTACCAGCATTCCGTATTCAGGAGAAGCCTTGAAGTGGCATCACATACTGTCGTTGACTCCGTGTTGTCAGATGAGACAGAGCAATTGACTGACGAATGATAACTTTGTGACATGTTGGAATGTGTGTGAAGTTAGGTTCTTGGGTTGCCTATATTATGGTGGAGGGGAGGTGTAGCCCCGCCATCCTTGATCTTGGTACTGGATGGAGGTGAGTGGTCAGCTTCATGCCCTGGCCACTTCATAATGAGGAAATAAACACCAGTACCCACTGGGTAGAAGGCTGGATTGGCCTCAGAGCTGGTCTGGGTGTTATAGATTATAATTTGGTTATAGTTACTATACCAATAATATTTATTTTCCCTTACTGCTTATGTTTGCTGTGACCTACGTCCTGCTATTAAAATTACTCAGGCCAAATACAGTGACTAGCTGCTTGCTGTAGTCTGGGGTTTGTTTTAGTAAGGTAGCTGGGCTAGTGCAGTCATTATAGGAACTGGCTGTGTGCTGTATGATTGGTTCTATTCCTAGAAGGAGCAGGAATTTTTTTCGTGATTAACATATCCAAACTGTCCCACCCAGCCTATTAATAATGGGTGCCAGGATTACTTTTCCTGGGAGAAAAGCAGCTGGGTCATGAAACTGACTACCCATCTTGACCTGCTGCTGACTTTAAGAGCAATTTTGCTTTTATTACATTATTATTATAAGTAACTAATTAACTCAGTGGAGCTGAGTCCTTGAGAAGCCACCAGTTGCTCGGCTACTCAAGAGTGTAGCAATATTTTATGGAACCTGAAGGTTCATTACTGTGTTCACAGGAGCCCGTCACTGGTTCCTCTTGTGAGCCAGATGAATACAGTTCATACCACTCCATCCCATTTCCTGAAGATCCATTTTAATAATACCCTTCTACCTACCTCCCGTTTCCCCACCAAAACAATATGCATTTGTAAGATTTGAGAGGTTTTCAGAGCGGTGACTATGAAGAAAGCAGTCTTCTGAGATGTGGCGCTGTGTACATATTGTGTTAACCGATGTTTCGCAGGAGAGCATCTCCTCAACCTTCAAGGTAGAAGAAAAAAGAAGAAAATCCGCAAGCGAAGAACCAGTGTGAGCAGGTACAAATAGACTAATATCAAGAATAACCTGCTCTAGCCCGCTACCTGCTGGCCCACCACACCAAACCCTTCCCTTCTCCTCTCTACTGAGTTCCCATGTAGCCCCTCTTCCTTCCCTTCCCGCTCGTATACAGCTGGGTTTATTCTCAACATTAGTCTATTTGCACCTGCTCACGCTGGTTCTTTGCTTGCGGGTTTTCTTCTTTTTTCTTGTACCCTGAAGATGGAGGTGATACCTTCCTGCGAAACGTCTGTTAACATAATATCTACACGGCGCCACATCCAAGACGAGTCCTTTCTTCAATGTATGCATTTGTTTTCCCTCCCATTTGCGCTAGATGCCCTGGCCATGTCATCCTCCTCAACTTTGTCATTCTAATTACTTTTGGATACAAGTTTGTTAGTGTTGTAGTAAGTATAGTTTTACCTGACTTTGTTTTATAAGTAAAAGTGATTGTGACACTAGTGCTATTTATTGCTTATTTCTGAAATTTTATGTTTGCTATAATTATGTAATTTTAATGGTGGTGATGTTATTTCATCTCCAGTTTTATCAGTGTTGACAAATGATAGGGGATTTGAAGTGAGCAGCTCAGAAGCGACAGTGCGTATATTAATGACCACAGTTCACCATAACTTGCGCAAACTTGACCCGGAGCTGCATCTTGATCAGAAGATCCTGCAGAGTCATCTAGCAGCCATTAGGCACAGGTTAGTTTTGTGTGTTATGTATAGAGAGTGAACACATGCATGGGACTTGCTGTATGTCAGTTGTGCTGCATGTTGCTGCTCAGAAAATATTGAGCATAAACCAAAACTAAACCAAACTCCATGGCATGTAGTCTGCAAGCGAGCTATACCAACCGAGCGACCACTGCTTGTCGGTGAAGTTAGTGCCAACTTCAGTGGATAGAGGGTGTCACATGGTCAGCGCAGCGGATCCCCATGGCCATTAATCTTGGTTTTCTAGACCGGAATACTGATCATATTTCAGTGAAATTTAATATGAGTGGGGACTGTGGACTAAAAGTTGTCAGAGGAATTTAATTTCTGTTCATATTGGTCCGGTAAACCTCAGCTTGTATATGAATCGGAAGTCATACTGTATGAGTTTAGACCAATTAATGACTGCAAAACCAAAACTGATACTCAGTATGAAATACAGCCTGAATCTCATTACGTTTTTCACCTTCTTTTTGAAACATCTCTTGATGTGGTTTACATTTGAGAAAAACTGAAAGAAAAATCATTTCTGAGGCTATTTTATGTGGCATTTGTAGTAGCATTAGCTTTATAATGATAAGCCTAGAGCAGTGAGATTCAAAATAGTAAAAATTGTTTAAAGAAAGTAAGTGTACTTCATTTGATTACATATTTCTGCCTTTGTCATGCAAGTGTGGTGTAGGAATACAGCATGAGATGCTATAGTTCTGAGTCTTAGCTGCTATATCAGCTATGCTAACAGATTTTCCTAAGGCCCTCCTCGCAAGTGCAAGAATAGTACCCCAGGCTACAACTGTTTCCTTTCAGAACCTTTCCAATTCATTATTCATCAACCATCCTGCAGTTTGATGCTGATAGCATAATAAAATAAGCCACAAACCCAGAACAGTATGGAATTAACAGTGGGAAGGAGTGGTATCTGAGGTTGTCACAGCCGTGACTATCAAGAACATGTTTCTGAATTTTTTTTTCTTTTCACTCCCACTTTGGGGCATAGGGCTAATTTCTCAGTTTCATGTTCATTTTTACAGACAATAGGACTCCTTGGACAAGTGATCAGCTCGTCATAAGGCCGCTACCTAAACACAGGGCAACACAAACACAGAATAAACATACACATACCAAACATCCATGCCCTGTATGGGATTCTAACCCATGATCCCTCCTTCTGAGCAAGGGAAGACAGTACATGCCTTAGACCACTCGGCTACCATGACCTGCTCTGTATGCTTAAAGCAGGGTATTTTTGCTTCAGAGTTGCTGCTGTAGAGTAATGTTAAATGGGGTTGACAGTAAATTGTATTTGGATATAAAGAAGAAACATTGTGTGACTGTTCTTGTGTCATGAGTTTATTACTGTTATGATATATAGTCTTTTCTTCACTTTTTCTTTTCAAGCCGTTGGTTTGAAGAAAATGCTCATCACTCATCGATCAAGGTGTTGATTCGACTTCTTCGGGACCTTCGAAACAGATTTGAAGGTTTTGAGCCCCTCTCACCATGGATGCTAGATCTCTTGGTATGTTTTCATATTTAGTGATCAGTAACATTCTTTATCTTACTTCTGTAATGTCACATGGTTCACAGTACTGCTGCATTGTTAATGTTCTGCATGACCATGCTCTACAGTTACCATTTACGTAACTGGAAACTGAACAATGCCAAAATTTTATTTTTGAAAACATATTTTTTAACTACAAGAAAGTTTGAGATAAATTAAATACACAACTCTCGATTATCCGGGGGCAGATAAACCAGTTTGCGANATAGAAAGTCGTGTGAGCTGGGCTTTGAAATGTTAAGCAGTGACAAAATTATAAGTTCAGTGGGGGTGCAGCCAGAAGAGCGGGAAGAAAGTGAGAATGAGGAAGAGGTGGACAGTGCTGCTAGTAAGAAAATATCACATGGTGCTGCTCTTAATCATTTGGAATCCTTACTAGACTATCTTGAGAGTGAAGAGAATAGTTTATTAAGTGACAAGCTAATATTACGTAGGCTTCGTACAGATATCCGTAAAAAGGAAAATGCAGCGAAAAAGCAAATGACAGTATTAAATTTTTTTAAGTGTTAAGTGTGAATATTCGTAAAAAGTGTTGGATGCTGTTGAACACTCTGATTGAAATAACTAATTCATACTTCAGTGTAATGTAAAAAAAGTATTAAATAGGCCATGAGATGACATAAAAATGAGGTTGAATAAATTTAAATACAGGTAGACCTATAGTATTATGAAGGTACAGTATTGCAGTACTACTTTTAATAACATTTGTCTTAACCGGGTTTTCAATTAATCGTGATTTCCATCCCCACCATTATCCCGGATAATCGCAAGTTGAGTGTATTACCATTTCTTGATTTATGTAATGATAGTTTTTCAAAAGTAGTTTATGTAGCCGTGCAAAGTGTACTTGGTTGAGGCTCTGTGCTACAAGCTGGAAGGTCATGATTTGATTCCTGATGAGGTCATTGGATTTTTCAGTTGACTCAGCCTCTAACAGAAATGAGACCAGGTATGTTCTTGGGGTTAAAGAGCAGCCGGTGCATAAGGCTGACGTCACTGCCATCTGTGAGCCGATTGTCTAGGAAACATGGAAGCCTTGACATCTCACAACCCTATGGGCCTTCATGGCCCGTTACAGGGATAGCTTTTTCTTTACCTTTTATAGATTATGTAGCATGTTGAGATGACTGAATGAAAAATTGGAAAGCGTGTGGAAGGAACTAGTTGTGACCTATTTTAGGGCAGCATCCCAGCATTTGCTTGGAGAACCTGAGCAAAATCACAGGAACTTCAGAATTCTCAGTCTTGAGACTAGATTTTGAACTCTGAACCTCCTGAATAAGAAGCAGTTGTGCTAGTCACTCAGCTGCAATATTCAGTAAATTCAGTGTTGTCTGTACAAAGTAGGTGTAAGATTAACATTGTTGTCTTCTGCATTGTGACACCATGTAGTTCGGACAGTGGATACTGAGATTTTGGAGGAACACTTGTAAGGCTTGAAGAAGTTCCTTCTACCCTGCAGATGGTAGCAGTGTGTTCCTCTGGAATGCTGGTATTCACCCCCCACCCCCAAAGACACTATGTTACAACTGAGGAGACCACAATATGATTGTTTGCCACTGTGAAAACCTGAAAACTGTTGCGAATAGGATATTTGTTTTGGAAAATATCAACTTCAGAGTTCCCACTTCACACGCAAAAGCATAAATTTAAGTGTTAAGGAAATAAAACCGATTACATTGAATGTTTTTATAATACAGTATGCCCCAAAATATGCAGTACTGAAACTCACGCATCTCAGACGTGCATGTGTGTTTGTCAACGGGACATAGCTTCAGCCGCACGTGTTCCCAGTAGTGGAAAGGAAGTTGTGTTGTGCAGTTGTTGGAAATGGGTCTCTCAACGGAGGAAAAAGTATTCATAGTTGAGTATTATTTCCTCTCATATGGAAGTGGTTGCCAGACAACTCACTTCCTTGGTTTTGAGTGGCCAGATGTTATTGTCCAGAAACCGCTACATAGTACATGTGTGATGATATGGTGTGCCTTGTCAGCATGTGGTATATTAGGCCCCTATTTCATTGAGGATGATACCATCATCCAAACGCTACAGGGACATAGTGATCGGACCATTTCTTCAGGATTTGAGAAGGTTCTGTCATGCAAGGGGCCTTCACATGAATGGACAGTGGTATCAACAGGACGTCTTTTCATTTCAGTACTGTATGTTTTGGTGCATACTGTATCTGTATTACTGTGAAGTTTGTAATAGAAGTAGCACTAGTTGCTGATTTTGTTGGTTGCTTTGAAGTTGAACTTGGAAGAAAGGAAGTAGTATGGTATAGCTGTACCTCCAGTTTGTCTTTATAACTTCAGGATATGGTGCTTAGTACATACAGGGGCAACTGTGTTGCTATATTATTTCTGATTTAACTCTTTGACTGGCGCGAAGGGTATTTAAATCCCACCCCTGTCCTGGCAGGCCATTTAAACCTTATGTCGCTAAGATGCATGTGCTTACTTTTTTCTAAACAACTTCAACAAAAATTGGTTTTTAAAAATGAAATTTTCAGGAACTATTAAAAAGACAATATTTTATGCAATAAATGTCTTTCCATACCTTTTTAGTAGTTTTTCTTCGTGTGATAAACATTGAAACATGAAAGTTTGCAGAGAGCCACACCACAGCTTGCACACATGACACTTGTTTCTTTTCTAATCTTGTGCTTAGCAAACACTCGACACTTTCTCATGGCACCATTCTTCTTATTGTTACTGGGAGGAACATGGACCATTTTGTGAACTTTCAGGCCACCCTCTAGACGATTTTCTGGGTCTTTCACTGGTGGTCTTTTCAAGGTCGCGTGCGGAGGCGTGACTGCACTCGAGTCTGACGCATTAGTTTCGTCATTCACTTCATTCCTTGACTGTTCTCCCTCTCCACACTGTTTGTTTGGTTCTGTCATTTTTTCTACACAGTCCAATATAAAATCTTTGAATTTGTAATTTCTCTTCTTGTATTTTTCTGGGCGTGTCAGGCACCGCACTCGTGTTAACTAAATGTTCATCATTACTGTCTTGTGGATCATTGTCTATCACTGTATTATTGTCACTATCAACTTCATCCAATTCAGGAATCATTATTTCATCGCCACTATCATCATCAGCACAAATCTCCTTCACAACACTTTCCAGCTGGTCTGTAGGAACACGTCGACACTTGCTGCGAGAAGCCATGGTGAAACTGAATGAATGTGAAATATTTTTTGAACTTTTCCTTCTCGGAGGGTTCTGACAGTAATATAGACCCCCACAAAGTTTACAAGGGTTCTTTACAACCATGCACAAAAACTACCATATATATGTCTTTGGTTGATGAGTGCCGAGAGAGCAAATAAGGGAAGAGATTTTCAAAGCGTTAAAACACGCCAACACCAGGGAACGGCTGGCATCACCCCAGCGTTAAAACACGCCAGCACCAGTCAAAGAGTTAATCAGAGAAAGTGTTTCACTTATACAAATAATTCAGGTAGACAGTGATGGCATCTCAATTTCTTAAATTGTGAAGCCAAGTTCTTAATCAGAAAGTTTTGAGGAGAAATTATGTGAATTATGCTTTGAAATATAGTAATTAAGTAGGTTATTTGATATGAAAAGTCATAGAGGAATCATTTTGCTTGTGTTCTTATTCTCTTGCTGTGTAAGTGGTGGTGTATGTTGGAACTCTCATCCCCCCCCCCCTTGGGAACAGATTGGAGGTGGACCAGTGAACTTCCTAAACCACATGTGATTAGTGTGTTATAACACCAAAATACCTAAATAAGTCATTGAACTATAATGTATTACCATTGTTAAACAAATTCAAGGTACTGTTACAAGGAATAGAGTACAGTGTTTGTGCCTACAAGAATTACTGACACGGCTGCTGCCACCTGTTGGTCTTTTTGGAACATATTTAGGGGCCATCATCCAAAGTGAACTTCTGCTGGACCATGCATGGTGCTCTTCCATGGAATGATGGATTTGAGAAGCCCAACCTGTGCTATCAAATTCCTTTATAACTACAAATCTTTCTGTTTGTTTGCAGGCCCACAGTTCTATCATGAACAATCCAAGTCGTCAGGCCCTACCTATCAACCAGGCTTATCGACGGGTCTTACAGCTTCTAGCTGCCGGTCTTTTTCTTCCTGGATCAGCTGGTGTGTTTAGTGTACTCTGGACCGCTCTAAATTTTATGTGACTTTGATTCTTGGTGTGATAGTTATCCTGTCTTGGAGGTTGTATGTATCAGTTTTGGCAACTAAATTGAAAATCAAAAGTAGATTAATAGTTTTATCATAGGTCTAATGTCAATAAAGAAGCCATGCTAACTCAGTCAATATAGTGACTAGACTATTGGCTGAATGACTGAGGAGCAATTGGGTTTCCATTCCCAGCAGGGGCAAGAGATTGTTTGCTTATCCACAACACCTAGACAGCTCTGGGGCCAGACTTTTCTCTTGTCCAGTAGGTGCTGGGGTTTGCTTTATCTTGTGTTAAATCAGGTATATCATGAAGCTGGGGGCATGCGATAGCATAGTTGGTTGAGGCATTGTGCTCTGAGCTGGAAGGTTGCGAATTCAATTCCCAGTGAGGTCACTAGATTTTTCAGTTGACCTAATCCAGCCACGCTATGGCCCTGGGGTTGACTCAACCTCTAGCAGAAATGAGTACCAGGAATCTTCTTGGGGGAAAAGAGTGGCTGCCACATGAGGCTGGCAACCTCACTGCCATCTGTGAGCTGATTATCTAGAAGATGTGGGAGCCTTGACGCCTCACAACCCTGTGGGTCTCCACAACCTCTTACAGGGATAGTTTTACTTCTTACCTTTTTTATGTATAGCATGAAACTGACCACTCATTTCTGTCAAATGCATGGAACTGTACAGCCACTCCCCCATACATCTTCATGGCATGGTACTTAATTAAGCACAGGAGCAATTTTACCTTTACCTTCTAATGTTCAGAATGCAAATACTGTTAACCTTCCATATAATAAAGGCAGTAAAACTGTTAAGTTTTAAGTTTGTTTCAAAAAGACTAAATTTTGTTAATTTATTTTTTATTTAGGTTTACGTATTTTTAAGGACCGCTTTACATACTGACCTACATGAACTTGTACATACATCTTTTGAACCCTTTGACAGATTTTGATTAAACTTTATGTATGCCATTATTCATTTACATGTGTAAATTTCATTAATTGTCCACTTTACATATCTGTATGCTCTTGGTAGGCATCTCAGACCCATGTGAGGGAGGAAACATTCGGGTGCACACAGCCATGAGCCTTGAGCAGCAGGACATGGTGTGTCTAACAGCCCAGACTCTGCTACGAGTCCTAGCTCATGGTGGGTACAGGCGTATCCTGGGTCTTGAAGGGCATGGAGGTATGTGTATTTCATTCCTGCATCCATGGAATGTATCGTATTTTATATATTAACTTTCTGTGTAATAAGTGGATATTTGTGAAGGTGTGCAATATTGGTACAATTAACTAAAATAGGTAACTTATAAATACTGCTGTCTATAGAGATATACTTCTTTATTTCCCCCCCCCCCTTCTTTTTTACCCAACTGGATAATTGCGGTCTCATGTAAGTAAATGATGTAAGCAGTATGAATGTTAATTCATCAGCATCTGTATTGGTGTAAGTTTCGACTGGTAGTAATTAAGAATAGTATAATTTGTACTGTGTTAATGGTTGTGGGGATTCATTGCGCTGACCACACGACACCCTCTATTCGCTAAAGTTGGCAACAACTTCGCTGACAAGTGGTCGCTTGGTCGGTATAGTTTGCTTGCGGACTAAGACCACAGTTTTTTATTAAACGAACACACTGAAGGCTTTTACATGTTTAAAATATTTTTAGTTATAGCGTAGCGACTTCAGATTTGGGTGGTACGGATATTTCAAGTTCTCATTTTAACTTTGTTATAGTAACTTCTATCTTGTCAGTAAAGTAATTGCTCATATGCAATAGAAGTGTCATATAATGAGTGTGGCCTATAACAAGAAGCTTATTTCAACAAGCATTTTCTTGTACGGATTTGTTTGTAGTGAATGTTCTTCTCTCACTTCTGGATTCATGTAAATATACACTTGACAGTGTGGCTTATATACTAATTTCTATTCCTTGCCAGTCAAGTAAGCTACTGGCAGGAAAGTGTTCTTCTGTCCTCATTCATCAAGAGCGTGTATGGGGTACAGTAAGAGTCTTCGTCCTCTGCTTTCTTAATACTTGTGCGGCAGAATAGCTGTCAGTGCATCGTGGGAAATAACAAAGAAAATGCTTAGAATATTTTCTTTCTACCTCATGCTTTTGCATCACTGACCATCCTGTAGGGCTAGCATGGGCTCTTCCATCCCCCCTTTAAACTTAAGAATGATACACAAATGGACAATTGTGCTTGGCCAGATGATGAGCCAAGCGGTGAAGCAGGTCAGTGCACTGCATGGTTTGGCATAGAGATAATTATCCTATAATGGCTATGCTGTTTTTTCAGGTATAGCATGTACTGCCTGCATGTTGAAGAGTTATCCCACCACATTGCTGCTTTCCCTCACCTTCTCCTCTTGTCCTTTTTTAAAGTCATGGAGTTTCTGCAGAATGAGATTGGTAAGCGTCCTGCAGGAGTCACATGATAGGTGACTGTTCTGCTCATGTGCATGACAAGGCATTTGAATGAAATTGAATGGAGCCAGAAGCAGTCAAGTGATATAGTTTGAAGAAAGTTTTCATGAGAGATGCTTCTAGCTCAACTTTAAATAGTAGTACATCATCAAAACTACAGGACCTCGGGTAGCTCAGTCATTATAGTGATTAGAATATGGGTTGGGTGACCAGGATATAATTCCTGGTAGGTACAAAGATTTTTCTCTTCACCACTGTCAAGGGCCAACCCAGCCTTGTATCCAGTGGGAACTAAGAGTTCATTCTCTTGGGGTAAAGCAGGTGGAATGGGAAACTCACCTTCTTAACAGTGCTAAGGTTAGGAATGCATTGTAACTGCTTATTAAGTTGGAGGCCCATAATTATTAGAAATTATTGTATTTAAACTATATAATATCTAGATAAGGGGATGTGACCGCCTCTGTGGTCTAGTGGTCAGTGTTCCTGGCTACAGATCCAGAGGTCCGGGTTCGATTCCCGACGCTACCAGATTTTTTCTGGGTCTGGAACGGGATGCACTCAGCCTTGAGATGATAATTGAGGAGCTATTTCAAGGAAATAGCGGTTCTGGTCTAAAAATCCGAGATTAATGGCCATGGGGATTTGTTGTGCTGACCACCCGACACCCTCTATCCGCAAAAGTTCGCCGACGAGTGGTAGTCGCTTGGTCGGTATAGTTCACTTGCGGACTAAAATCATGGAGTTTGTTTGTTTAAGGGGATGTAGCTGCATTCTTGCATTTAGACAGATACTTAAGGCCATTCTTGCTTATTAATGGTATGACAGTTTTACTTATTCCTTTGAACACAGACTTGGCATAATTATTCTTTCAGGGATTGCAACTGAAATGTCAGTATGGGAAGGAGTGGTAGTGTCTCCTCTTGATAAGGCATATGAGAAACCCCCAGAAAAGAAGGATGGTGAGGAAGATGATATGGAGGCTGATGGAGGTGGAGATGAAGCTATGGAAACAGCTGATAACTAGGCACAGCAGTAAGAAAAACATTCTTACTGTACCAGTGAAATATTTGTTTTGATCACATATTTAGATTGTGACAAGACTGTTGCGCCATCACCATATTCAGTCTCATTGTGCATTTACTGTCAATTTGTGTATTTTCTTATTGTACTTGATGTGTGTAGTTATATCAATTTTGTGCCGAATAAAAAGAGCGATGAATGTAAATCTTGACATGATCCATTCTGTTACTGGCTTGTATCATGCATCATTTCTGTGCCCCAAAATCTTGTACCGTAGATGTGGGATGTAAAAATCACTGCTCACCAGTATATTAATATTACATAATTTATTTTGTATCTGCTTACAGTGTTAATATATGATGCATGTAAAACATAATACTTTGAACACAGTGACTAATCACATGATGAATTTTGGTATCTTAGTACATACATCAGGGCTACAGTCATGTATTACACTAGAAATAGATGTTCAATACATAAATTAACTTCACGTTCTTAAAAATATATCTGAAAGAATCATATAATTCTGTTTGTTTCATCTATGTTGTAGAATGTTCATTAACCTAAAAAAACCAAAGCTATCCCTGTAGCAAGCCATGGAGGCCAATAGGGTTTTGAGACATCGAGGTTCCCACACTCTCTAGACAGTCCGCTCACAGATGGTGGTGAGGTGGTCAGCCTTATGTGCAAGCCACCCTTTATCCCAGGAAGATTCCTGGTACCCATTTCTGTTAGAGGTTGAGTCAGCCCCAGGTCGTAGTGCAGCTGGAAGGATTAGGTCAATTGAAAAATCCAATGACCTCATCAGACCTATCATGTCAAAATTATGACACATTTCTTCATATATACCCTCCAGAGGATTCAATCATGTTGATATTGCATTATAGCAAAATGTTAGTTTGCAGCTCCTCTCTCAACATCATAGAAGATCTGCAGCTGCCAAACACTTGACAAACACCTATAGCCAATGGATATGTCAGGCTGTAAATCACACTGATGTCCCTCTCCTGGTAGATGATACAAGTATTTATTCTCAGATCTTTCTGAAACTGGTAGTCAGATGTGTAGATGGTTGTGTCCAGTGAATGACTTTGGTATTAGAGCTTTTGAGCGCAGTCATAATAGTGACTGGCTATAAGCTGGATGGTCAAGGGGTCAGCGTTCGAGTCTTAGTAGGAGCAAGATTTTTCTCCTCTACATCATCCAGGCCAGTTATGGGGCCCACCAAGCCTCTTACCCAATGGGTAACGGGGCTTTCTCCCTGGGGGTAAAGTGGCCATGGCATGAAGCTGACCCACTCACGTACAACTAGTGCCAAGGTCAAGAATATGTTGAGCTATACATCCACCCCCACGTCTTCATAGCGTAGTGCTTAATTAGTTAAGCACAGGGACAGTAAGGTTAGTATGTGGTTTGATAACTGAGTCATTTACACAACGACTTTAGAGGTATTTCACTTATAACAGGAAAAATGTTCTCCTCCTAGTGATGCGTCAGGTCTCGCCTTCATAATACTGTGCTTTGACTTTGCATACCTTTGGTATGTTTTGAGTAAATTAATTGAAATTGGTAACATCTAGAGTTAGATGTGTTGTGTTCTGTACTGAATGTGGTAAGATACATGTATGCTATACACATCATATTCTTTATAATAATATATGTATATTCATNTATCTTTGCTGTATGTGCAATAAGACTTATTGTGCGATGGTCGCTGCATTTTGTAGCTTTTGTCTTTTTCTTTAAGGCAATCATTGTAACTTCTGTAAAGTCCTTGGGCCACTCTCCACTTTCATATATGGTGTTCATTAGTTTTGTCAGTGTTTTCAAACCACCTTCCCCCAGTAACTTGAGCACATCTCCAGGTACATCATCATCTCCTGTAGCCTTTCCCTTCCTCATTTCCTTGATAGCTTTTTCCACCTCACTTTGTAAAATATATGGTCCTTTCTCGTCTGTATCTACTTCTTCTTCCGGTTCAACTTCTAAGGTTTCTGGTCGATTAGGTCGATCATATAGTTCTGAAATATAATTTTCACTTATATTTCACTTATAACAGGAAAAATGTTCTCCTCCTAGTGATGCGTCAGGTCTCGCCTTCATAATACTGTGCTTTGACTTTGCATACCTTTGGTATGTTTTGAGTAAATTAATTGAAATTGGTAACATCTAGAGTTAGACGTGTTGTGTTCTGTACTGAATGTGGTAAGATACATGTATGCTATACACATCATATTCTTTATAATAATATATGTATATTCATGGTATCTGGCCATCATGCTTAATATCTTGGAAACTAATGATAACAGGGCATTTTATCAAAAAAGCTTCAGACAATTATTTTTTATTTTATTTGATCAATTTGAATCCAAGTCAATCCCCCCCCCCATAAAGAAATAAATGGGGACCATGACAATGAGTATATAACCTTTGTATGTTTCCACAGAAGTGGTAATGAGGTGTGTTCTAAGGTCACGAAAATAATGAGAGTCCAATTCTCTAAAGATATCAAATGTAAATGACAATGAACGACAAAAATTGTTCCTTAAATTTTGCATGATGAATAGATCTTCATAAAATATGCACATTTCTTACGGTAAATTTTTGTAGAATATAGAGCAATAACATGGCAGCCATAAAAAAAGTCAACTGTCTTTCAGTTTGGTCATGATAGTTAATCAGCTGCATACCTACAAATTCTGGACAAAACATTTGTGTGTCAGCTGGTTCACCTCCCCCCCTCCCCCCAAAAGAGGCAATGATGTGATACAGTTCTGATATTATATTGGGAAAATCTGTTGTAGCTTCACTCTTCACTACTGGAAACTATACACGTCAATGCATGACTAAATTGCATTATAGCTATTTACAGTTCTTGCTAGCTTCATCATACAGACTGAAACACAAGACATAAAGGACACAATATAAATATGGTATTTTGGGATGTGACATCATGTACCTTTGTACATTTTCAAGGGGCATGCTGCCTCTGTCTGGTGCACACATGGCATCACATCCCAGTATACAGCAATCATGATTTTCACATAGACAATATGTTCTTCCCAGCACTAATTATGTACATACAAATTCTACACTCTAATTAGACAATATGTTCACTCACATGGAAGCCTGTTTTAGCTGTTCTATACACAAATAAGAACAAAGTATTATGACTAGATATTCTACAGTCGACATTGAACAGTTGACTGTTACATGCATGGATTGGTTTGGGACGAGAGATTCACATTATGACATCCAACATGCATGTTATTCCCACCAGACGGAACAGGGACTCGAAACAGTTTGCCCTCAGGCATGCAGACACATACTTTATATTGCACTGAGGCTGGATTTCCTCCATCACCTAATGCAATAGGAATGCTTTTAATATCAACAGAAATACCTTCATGCCCACTCAGAATTACGCTTCCATTAACACTTTTGAGATAAATATCTTGATCTGCTGACCACACGATCTCCCGACCTTCCATACGTGTGCCCTCAGTACCACGAAGCCGAGTGTAGGTGTCCGAACGTAGGAAGAGACTGGCATTCACAGGACTTGTAATTCGTTGAGTTTGTGCCATCCTGATGTCAAGTTTCTTCACACCACGAGGAAGTCCAAAATTAGGGAAGCCCGTTGAGAAGACAGATTGTCCAGTCAGAGGATCACGAACATCAAAAGAATGAACACCAGTTACTGTGGTGATGCTGAGATTAATGTTTATCCTAGGTTCAGTCAACCGGCCTTCCTTGTCTACAAGATTAATATAAACTGAACCATTGTCACCTATCATTTCCACGGGACATTCGGAAAAACCTTCCAATTTGCCATCACGTTTGTATATCCTGTCCAAGTCTGTATTTCCATAAAACATGATAAGTGACTTCTCTGGTACAAGTTCAAGGCTTTCCATGCCCTGACCAAGACGAAGTACACCCAAAATGATGAAAGTCAGTAGTAAATTTCCCAATGCAAGGAAGAAGAGTAGCATTACCAGTGTCCAGAAGGCATATGTTTTTCTGCCTCGTAATCCAGTTTTGTGGAGTGACTGCTCATGGACTGGGACATAACCGGCTCTACAACAGAATACAATGTACAAACCTCTTCACAGGAATAAAATTTACGATGTTAGAATTAATATCTGGTAAATGAACACGAAAAATGAGGTTTTCTTTTACTGTATTTAATCTGTAATTTGTATTTACTAATAACACTTAGCAGTATCCTAAATTAAAGTTACATACATGAATTTTACACGTCGTACTTGTATACGAACCTGAAATTGCTATTATGGTGTCTATTAATATTTCTTTTAATTAAAGCTTTATCCCGCAAAGACAAAGTTGTAAACCCGCTTTCTGATGGGGCATCAGACATCGGAGATGCTCTGGAATCTGGCACAGTAGACATTTCTTCTACTAAATCGGAAAACGCTGATATAGTGTTGAGAATCAATTACTTTTCTTCAACAGTAAATATATGATGCCCAATTGTAACAGCAATAATAATAATTTATTTTACTAGCAGAAGTAACAATTCACCAATAGGGAAGAGGCAGACTATCGTTCGACCGTTAGCATTACAGCTAGTCGACTTGGTGGCGGCCAGAATCGAGCGAATCGAGTGAGAACTATCGAATGGTGTAAACGAAAAAACACGGATGAAGGTGTGAATGATGATGAATACGTTGATGACTGTGGAATTATGTGTGGTACGAATTATTCGATAGAGTCCATAAATTGATAGAAGCTATGGCTTGTAGTTGCATATTATATAAACGTGNCCTCCGAAACGTCGGTTAACACAACATATACACGGCGCCAAAGCCCAGAAGACTGCTTTCTTCATAGATAGATGCTGTCCCTGTGCTTAATTACTTAAGCACTATGTTTTCACGACACAGGGTAGTAAAGGTACAGCTTCACCTTTCTTGAGCTCGGCACTAGATGGTGATGAGTGGTCAGCTTCACGCCCCTGTTGTTTTACCTTTCGGTTAAAGAGCCCCCGGTACCCATTGGATAAGAGGATGGATGGGTCTCAAGGAAAAATCTAGCATTGCTGGGAATCGAACCCGGGCCTTCCAGCCCATAGCCCGTCGCTATGTATATTTTATGGCTTTCAGTAAGAGTGATAAAGACGGTGAAGGTTCCTCTGCGAATCAGGGTTTCTAAATTCGTGGAATGTGTGTAGTTTTAGTTTTACTGGAGGTATGGATGGGGTGGTAGGTATTTTGAAGGTTGAAGAGTGGGTAACCTTTCCGATCTGACTACTGGTTACACCACGCACGTCGCCGTTGTATTTACCGGTAGTTGTTACATAGATGGCAGCATAATTTGTTTGGCCCCACTAGGCAACAGCATTGGAGTTACGCATCTATAAGTGTGTTATCTATGGGGTTATTCAAGTTGTGAAGTGTGCGTAGTAATCATGGCATCTGAGCGGTACAGTTTCTCGTTGACAACATTTAGGTATGTATTTGCAGGGCTGTTTCAGTATAACAAGATTACACGATAGCTATTACATTTCGCGAAAATTAAATGTTGCTGAAATATCAGTAATTTACTCAGACTTGTGTATTTGTAAAACAGGAGAGCTGCTTCCATTTTAGTATTATTTTCTTAAAGTTTCTTTTGCTATATGTGTGTTTATATGCTGTATTATTCTTTAGGACTGCAGATTTTTATTTCATGATTTAAATTTTAAGCAAACATAACCTCATTTTGACTGGTGCAGTTGTGCTTATATGTTTAATGTTAGTTTTTCTAACCGGGGGGGGGGGGCCCAAGTGAACATAATATGTAATCGGTGCATCCCCAGGGAGTAAAGTTGACTTAATAGTAAAGCTCATTTTTAATATCTTAATTTACAAAGATGTGACTTTATAGTAAGTCAGGGGTGATGCATAATAATTAACATAGTGGAAAGACTCTGTTATTGTCCCAGTTTTTGAAGATTGCGGTAACACTGACTGAACCAAATAATGAGGAATATCACTGTTGTGAACTACATTGAAAACATCCAACATTTCTTCTCTAAAGCTTATGTAAACAAAATTATTGGGGAATGGCAGTGTGCATTTCAATGCAATGTATCAACTACTGATCAGATATTCAGCATCTGGAAGATACAGTACAATGGGGAACTACATGAGCTATTTATAGACATAAAGACATCATGCAGTGTGGTTAGAGAAATAATACACATTTTCATTCAGTTCAGTCTATGAAATTTGTTGGGTTGATTAAAATGTGTTAAATGATGCATGCAGTAAACATTTCTGTGATGTATTTCCTTTTTTGGAATGGTCAGAAACATTGTAACTTTATTTCAACTTTGCTTCTTTACTATATGCCATTAGGAAGGTGCAAGAAAGTCATTTAGAGATTAGCACTGAATGGGTGTATCAACTTTTAATATATACTGATGACTTCCATTTATATAAAAATATAAATATATTTTTGAAACTTGGGTCTATATTTGAGTTCATACTGATGCTGTTGCAGCCCTTCAGGGAAACTGGTGCAGATTGAATATGCTTTGGCAGCAGTTGCAGCAGGAGCTCCATCTGTTGGCATCAAAGGTATACTTACAGTACTTCAACAGTTACGAGTATATTGACTGTATGATCAGTTATTCCCAGACTCACAACTAAATCCCAGGTAGTAGAATCCAGTGATTTAACACCATTAATACCAAAGCCTACCATTGAACATGATTCTGAGCCAGTTCCATCCACCTTCTGTCCTCTCTGCCTATTTCCTTGATATCAAAGATAATATTACGTGACATGAACTCAAACTATGCTGCACTGCTTAGTGTTCGAGTTTCAGAGATGACTTGATTTTTGGTTAGACTTGAAAGGATTCTGACGATGGTGTATACTGTACTTCTTTTGTCTTTTACATACCAGACGATGGATGAAGTCCAAAATAAGCCGAAAGAAGGACTTGATTTTTACTTCTGTTACTTCAAGGAAATCTAACATATTTGGGCTGTTTTACATTGTTTTCTTTGTAATGAATATCATGCAATTCAGGGAGTTTTCAGTGAATATGAATATTATATTTTGATTTTTTTGTAGCCTCCAATGGAGTTGTGCTTGCTACAGAGAATAAGCACAAATCAATTCTGTATGAGGAACACAGTGTTCACAAGGTTGAGATGATAACAAACCACATAGGAATGATATATAGTGGTGAGTACATACTGTTGCAACTAAAAAGGTATGTATTTAGAGGGAGTTAGGAAGCAGAAGTTAAACTGCTCAGTTACAAGTCTGCCATTGATGAAATCAAACTTCCTTTTTGAATAATTTCGTAAGAGACCCCCTGATGTAATGTTCAACCAACTTCTTTGTTACTGGGTTCTTAATGCGGCAGTAGTTTCCTGTGAATCTCTTTTGCAGGAATGGGGCCGGATTATCGTCTCCTGGTGAAAGGGGCACGAAAGATGGCACAGCAGTACTTTTTGGTATATCGGGAGCCCATCCCGACAGCACAGTTGGTGCAGCGCGTGGCCATGGTGATGCAGGAGTACACCCAGTCAGGGTATGACGACTTTAAATTTTATCTGTTTGAAATTTAGGGCATGGTTTGAAGAAACAGAACAGAGGTAAAGAGGGAGGAAGATGAAGAAATACATTTGTAGAGAGCTTATATGAGTGTAGATTACATGTCTCTTATATGATAGAAAATGTTTATTTTCAAATTGAATATATTGTCACATGTTGGGTAGGTCACGCGACAAATAACTTCACGCCTTTCTGGATCTAGTGAATTTATTGAACACTCACTCTCACAATTACACAATTTACAGTTCCACAACTACTGCCATCGGCAGTATCACAAATACTTCTCCTGCTGGAGTCCCTGCCATGCACTCAATGCAACCATACTCGGTGACTGCTAGATTGAAACTGACCTCGGCGACTTCATGATCCACATTGTGTCGCTCCTGATCACACTCTCTTCACATACTGCTCAACCTGTTTTTATAATGTTCCCTGTTGCCTCGTGTTACAGCGGTGTCCCCTTGTTACGTAACCGCGGGTGAGGGTGATGGAGTGTTGACTTGCCTGTCACCATAGCAGCGGCAGTTGCTATGATGCTGCTATGTCAATGCTGGAGGGGTGTCCTGCATAGCGCAAATACGTCACTATTTTTAAATCAGCATTTTTCATAATTCAGATGCCTAAAGTTGTCCCTGTCCTTAACTGCTGAAGCACTGTGCCAAGAAAATGTATGGGGGAGTGGATGTATAGATCGATGTATTCTTGACCTTGGTGCTAGTTGGAGGTGACCGGTCAGCTTCACTCTGCAGCTGCTTTACTCCTAGTACCCATTGGATAGGAGGCTAAGCAGGCCCCGTAACTGGTCTGGACTATGTGGAGAGGGGAAAGATGTTGCCCCTAATGGGGCTTGAACTCTAACTGCTGGGCCCTCCAGGACTGTGCTTTCCTGGCTCTCTGATTCATATGCTTATGGTGCCAAAATCATTCCTTTTGAAGATAACTGTTTTCCTAGATGTGTTGCCTTGTGGTCTGGCCCCGATGCTTTGCAGGACACAGACAAATTGAAACACATCCCTTCCGTAACATGAGGACATGCTGACTTGTTGCCCTGCTCTTATACATTTTAGTGGCGTGAGACCGTTTGGAGTGTCCTTACTGATATGTGGTTGGGATGAGGGGAAACCGTACCTGTTTCAATGTGATCCGTCTGGAGCCTACTTTGCATGGAAAGCAACGGCCATGGGCAAGAACTTCGTCAATGGGAAGACATTCCTTGAAAAAAGGTAGACCTGTTTTCTGACTTCTCACTTTTCCTTCCGACCATTGGATATCTCAGTATCCTTTGCTTACTGGTGTTTTCTTTCAGTCATTTTATGTTCTATTTGCATTTCGTAAGTATTCTTACATCCATGCAACTCTTTGGTGTATAGTATCTAGATGTCTGTCTGTCTTAAATGACAGTTATGTCTTTGTTTTGGTTCTGTAGGTACAGTGAAGATCTGGAACTGGATGATGCTGTTCATACTGCAATTCTGACCTTGAAGGAAGGGTTTGAAGGTCAAATGACAGCAGATAATATTGAAGTTGGAATTTGTGATGCTCAAGGTTTCAGAAGACTCGATCCATCCAATGTAAAAGATTATCTTGCCAATATCCCATAATTTTAAGCTTTAGACTTTACTCACAGTGAAGGCAATTTTATATTTAATATACTGATTATGTATTCTGATTTTGTGTTAAGTGAGACTGTATGCAATGTTAAAAAATACAAGTAACTGAACACCAGAACTGTTAGACAATGAATCTTTTTTTTTGTACTTTTGTAAATTTCTTTCTGTGTCCTCTAAAGGATATCCTAAACTGTTCCCCTAGTGGGAGTCATACTGCGTAGGAACTATTGGAAAACAGTCCAATAACAGAGANGGCCTGCCAGGATGGGTGGGATTTAAATACCCTTCGCGCCAGTCAAAGAGTTAATTACTTTTATTTCTAAAAAGCGACATTAGAATACAAACATAAAATTTAGTGTAATAAGTACTTAGATAACATATAGAATTACTAATAATTATTTTTTTTTTAATTGGGCACTGGCATTTGCTTTGAATGAGGCTGTTTTCTGGGATATAATGCTGTGTAGTCCACTGAAAGTCAACCAAACTCCACTTGCCACTTGTTTTCATGCTGGTTTCATGCTCTGCTTATTCTTTGGCCCTGAAGATTGAGGTGACATGTTGCTCTGAAATGTAAGTTGACTTTCAACATGCTACGCAATGTATTATCCCAGAAGAACCACCGATGTGGGAACCTCAGGTCCTTCACATTTGAGTCATTTTTATGGATTTATAGGCCTCTGTATTTTTTCTTAATATAAAGAGAGCCTCAGACTGATAGGGTTTCGGAATTACTGTCCTGGACATGAATTAGAGCTCTGTTCTTAAAGGAATATATATTTCAAAGGTGTTCTATGATATGTGTTTTATATCCCATTCTCGTGCTGCCTGAGATGGTACTTCCTTCAGAAGTCTATAGTTATCCAGTCAGTAGCCAGCAAGGAAATTCTGTAAGAATACATTTAAATGCCAGGACAGAATATCTTTCTCAACTAAATGAATGTAGCAGTCATGCTGTTCACAGATTAAGAAACTAGTAAATGGAACTAAAGCAGAATGGAAATGCAAAAATAAAATCGTGCCCTCCGTTTCCCAGAAGCAGTACCAAGTCACATCATTATATAAGAGAGAGTTGCATCGTACGATGCAGCTGGATATCACGAGCATTTATTGGCATTGCCTGAAAATGAAGTCAGTAATGAAAATCATTATAGTTCTGGTAAGAAAGTAGAAAGATGAGCAAAAATTAAAATAAGCTGTAGTTTTATCTGTTTTTTATGCATCTGAATCTTGTTCTTTTTCATCTAGTGAAGATTACTGACTGGGAATGTGTAAGATCCACTTAGAGGAGGCAGAATTTTGTTGCCTTTGAAATTACCCAACCCACAGCACAGTAGGTTGACCAGTACTGTGCTTGGTGAGCACTTGGGAATGCCAGTGGCTGACGGTTTTTTTAACGCACTGATTGGCTTTTTCTGGTAACATCTCCATGCTCACTATCCTTGTTGACCCAGGCTGGGTACCAGCCCTCACTGCTTGTACCATTAGTCTGTTGGACAAAAACCATGGGCACTCACCCAACTCACTTTGAACCTGAAGACAGAGGCAGCATGTACTCTGAAACACTGAAAACAGTGGTCATATCCACACTGAGCAAAGACACAAGAACAGAGGCATCATTTGTATCACTTGTGACACAGGTGTTTTGTTTGCAGCAAGATCATAGAAGCTGTAACAGATAAATACAGAAAGTTACATTGTAGTTGTTACAGTTGTTATGGGTTTGTGTGTTTCAGGAGCTGTAAATTGTAGGCCTATGGATTTCCATGCCATACACGTTACATATATGTTTGACACTGATACTGTATCGTTTTGTAGTCCAGAAGTAGGAGCACTGCCCCCTGCTGACTGTTGCTTGCCAGTGCTTGCAAAATTTCCGTGTCAGCAGATTATTGCATATCAGGATTATTTTATAATATTTAATTTTGATAATTATTACTGAACTTACATCCTTACGATTGATGTGAATTATTACAGATGGAATGTATTTTTATGTTCACATTAACCATTTACGTGAATTGCAGTACACTGTGTTGTATATGATGTCAATTTTCCTCTGATATTGGTTTACATATGTCTTTGTCTTGTTTAGGCCTGTTTATTTACATGTGCACAGTTCCTCATTTCATTGTCATATGCTGTCTGAATATTGGTAGTAAATCTTACCAAGGGAAGCAAATAATAATTTGATATTGTAGAGAGATCACAATTTAATAATTTAAGGAGAGTAAGAAAATGTTCTTCATAATAGGCATCTAGAAGGTTTATATACAGACAATTCAGTAAATTGTGGCCAGGTGCTCTAATGTGGATTTAAAATGCTGTCATTGATTATACATCCTCAAAATCTGTAAATCATTATATCCCAAGTCAAAACATCTGTATATTTTGTGCATTCTGCGAAGCTAATAAGACAGCCTTGCCATTGGTATGTATGTATAACTGCTTCAATACGCATCACCATGCTGATCACTGACATAAAACGGCAAAGCTATCCGTGTAACAGGCTTTGGAGGCCCACAGGGTTGTGAGATGTCAAGGCTCTCACAGTTTCTAGACAGTTGGCTCACAGCGGTGAGGTTGTCAGCCTTATGCATTGGCTGCCCTTTACCCCCTCCAGGAAGATTCCTGGTAACTCATTTCTTTTGGAGGCTGAGTTGACCCCAGACACATAGTATGGCTGGAAGGATTAGGTCAATTGAAAAATCCAGTGACCTTATTGGGAATGAACCTCTAACCTTCCAGCTTATAACATGGTGCCTCAACCNAGGATTAGGTCAATTGAAAAATCCAGTGACCTTATTGGGAATGAACTTGTAACACACTATGCCACTGCATGCCCCATGATCACTGACACGCAAATGCCAATATAAGCTGCATGTCAGTATCAGGTATTTTCAGCAATAAACTGGTGTAGTTTGTTATATTTTTTCACTTAGTAAACATGCAGGAATATATAGGGTATGCTTCCCCATGTGCTACCTTCTTTTACATCTATGTTGATGTATTTCACCACTTTATTACTCATTTCACAGGCAACTTGAGGCACTGAAGATATAGAAGGCACTGATTTCGTTTACCAACAGAGGTGAAGAGTAGTGACAATTATGTTGTAAATACTTGTAGNTGTAGTTTGTCATCTTTTTTGACTTAGTAAACATGCAGGAATATATCAGGTATGCTTCCCCATGTGCTACCTTCTTTTAGATCTATGTTGCTGTATTTCACAACTTTATTACTCATTTCACAGGCAACTTGAGGCACAGAAGATATAGAAGGCACTGATTTCATTTACCAACAGAGGGGAAGGGTAGTGACAATTATGTTGTAAATACTTGTAGTTATGGTTTGTGTATATGGTATTTGCTGTCTCATGTGCGTAGTATGATAAATTATTGTGGTTGTGAAGGAAACCTGCTTCAACATTTTGACATATTTTGAGCCTCTCTGATAATGAGAAAATGTGAAAGTGACCCTTGCTAGTGCCTGAAGGATTGGATGCTTTTGTTCATATTCGGTATTTAAGAGTTTATTACCAGAACCCGACCTGAAATCTCCATCGAATTTGGTGAGTTTGTAAGCAGTATATATTTATACAGAAGCCTTTCTGCAGTTTAACAGTGTAAATATATGTGACTAACATAAAATTCCTATACCCTTAAAGGGTGTACAACTTAAAACTATGCTTGAAGGTGAAGACTGAAGGTCTTCGCATGACGTTTATATTTACTTTGTAAATTAGTTCCAATTAAATACCCTTATTCATTCCAAATTTCTTCTCAGATTTAATGACTTTAAGTATTTCATCATTTATTGATATCGCCATCAACATTAGCCTTAACCTAGCAGGTTAGCATGGCAGTAATGCCCTAGATTTGTATTTTTTGAGATGATCGGTTCGAATCTTGGCCGAGACATTGGCCATTTCATGATTTTCCTCGGTTCTATGAAAATGCCAAGATAGGACCTTGATTACGCGACTACTGCGTCATTGCAAAACCCTTCAAACCGATAATCATCTTCGTCATCCTACTTTTCGGCGCGATAGACTAGGTATTGACCGCGTCGTAAAGTGAACCACAGAAAAAAACCATTAACCTCCACGCAAAATATGAAGTGTAATTGGAAATCACTGTACGAGTATAGTGTATTACTCTGGACCACGTGGCGCCTGATTTAGCTGTAATCGATATATCTCTAAAGAGGATTATTTTATGATACTCGGCGTTATGGACCCAGTAATGTAAATTAGTTAAACTTTATTAATGAAATCCTGTATGCCATTTATCACGAAATGAGTCCAGTTTCGAGTAATTTGTCATCAGGAGCTTCCATCTGCATAGTAATTTGTCACGGAGTCTATAGTCTGTTTCCGATTATTTTCCATAGGATACACAGTTCGCTTGCGGACAAAAACCACGGAGTTAGTTTTTCTGTACATTATATTTTTCCACCACAAACTTAATTTTCATTAATTGTAATTAGGGTTAATTTTGTGTTTCTAAGCAATCTATAATTTGAAGAGTATTGAGTTTTGAGGGCCGCCTCTGTGGTCCAGTGGTCAGAGTTCTTGCCTACAGGTCCGGAGGTCCGGGTTCGATTCCCTGCGCTACCAGATTTTCTGAGAAGTAGTGGGTCTGGAACGGGGTCCACTCAGCCTCGGGAGGATAATTGAGGAGTTATTTCAATGAAATAGCGGTGTCGGTCTAGAAAACCGAAATTAACTGCCGTGGGGATTCGTTTCGCTGACCACGCGACACCCTCTATTAGCTAAAATTGGCACTAACTTAGCCGACAAGCCGAGGTTGCTCGGTCGGTATAGTTCGCTTTTGGACTAAATCCACGTAGTTTTTTAGTTCTGAGAGGTAACTTCGCAAATCCAATATAATATGTTACCTTTTTCTTCGTAAGCTATGGGTCGTAGTGTTGAATTATATGCAGATGATAAGCTATAAATTCGTGAATGAAAGCGGTCATGGCGTTTTTCGAGATATATCCCATTATTTGACTGGTAGGACTTCATAAAACTACGATAAATCTGTCTCCTGGTCGAATCGGTGCATGTAGAATACCAACAGAAAGTAGTACTCGCTCAAAAGCGGCATTTAGGTGGGGGCATTAAAGATTAAGAAC